CAATGTCCTAAAACCCAAAACCAGTTTGACCGGAGCAAAAAAACAATTTTGCAATGTGTTTAAAATTTTATAAGCTATTTTTGATGCAATTTCGGGGCTGGCAGAAAGCAGAATCGTTGAAAGGGGACCTTTCAAATAGATTATCCAACAAATCCGAATTTGAATATTTTTACAAACAGATGCGAAGAAGACTGTTAAAGACGTCCCTGTCCCAAACACAGCCAATCATGGTAGCGTATTGATCTACATTCTATTTATCTTTGTCTATTCTGTTGTTTTCTGTTTTCCCGCCTTCTCTGATTGGCGCTGGCCAGTAGCGGTTACAGTGGTCGTCTGGATCTTTGAGGTTATAAACACATTATTAAAAAATCCAAGCCAAGCTTTGAATTATTGCTTCTTTAGTGTATTTTCACTGCTGCTGGTAAGTATTCAAACTTCCTTTGTTGAACTGTAAGTTAATTTCATGTTTTTTTCAGCCAAGACAGCTTGCTAAATCACCTAGCGTCTTTGAGACTTCACATCCTTCTCACGTGTTGCTGAGTTTTTATAGTGCCTAAAACCGTAAAAACACACTCAAAGCGATGGCAGACGAATACTTTTTCGCAATTACACTAAAAAAGGATGACACCTCATATGTATTCGACCCGGAAGCTAAAATTCCAGAAGATTGTCAAGGTGGTCATAAGCTTGTTATAAAACAGGCTTTGCTAGATGCAGATGCCACAGAGGGTGAAGTTAACGTTATTCAAGTAGAAGCTATGACGTGGAAAGACTCTGTAAAGATCCCCATTGCAACATTGAAAGCAGGGAGTGCTTTGAGCCATGCTTTGCTTGATATATCGCTGCCAGATCCTCCAATAACTTTTTCTCTTATCAAAGGTAAGAAACTATTCAGCTATAGTGAGATAATTGCTTCAACAACTTATCAATCATTTATTTGTATTTGCATAATTTCAGTAACTGCTGTACAGGTTTTCAGTATAGATTGCCATATTCTGCAAAATGGTGTATTGGTAGTAAAGTTTAAGATTTAGAACATGTTCACTTCCCCATTTTTGAACTAGTCCAGAATCATGTAATTAAACCAGAAAGATGTATTTGAAGTAGCATTTTTAAACACCTTGAATATGAAATTATGTTAGGTAAAAAGTTGCGTATTTATCTAAGTAAGGAGCACATATCCAGTTATATATATTTAAAGACTTCTTTACTTAACCACATTGTGATTCTTCAAGTTATCACTTGTATTGTCTTTTTTGTTGAATTTTTTCAGGTCTGAAGTGTTTGATAATTCATGTTTTTATTTATGTTAATACTTATTAGTAAACCATAGGTTATTTTGACTTTACATTTTCAGGTAATGGACCTGTACATATTACTGGACTGCACTTAGTTGGAAGCCCTATCTTTGAACCTGAGATGGAAGACGATATGGAGGAAGAAGAGTTGGATGACGAAGAACATGGAGAAAGTGAAGAAGAAGACGAAGAACAAAAAGCCAAAAAGGCAAAAATGACCAACAGTGTTAAAGGAAAGGCACCGATTAAAAACGCAAACTCAAACTCAAAGTCCCTCAGTAAAAAACAGTGAGAATGACCGATTCAGTGCGTTGATTGCATAGAAGTTACTATGTATTTCAGTATCTTTAAGTTTAGGTATCATTTCAAGAAATAAGACATGTTCATTCATTTTCTTCCACATAGTTTTTGTAATTGATATCAACAGTGACATTGTTTGAGATATGGTATTTAAACTGTTTAATGAACTTTTTCATCCATAAGGTTTTCCGTTGGTGTCATCATTCCTAACATACTGATGCATGTTTTTCCCCAGTTACCTGTTGTGAAGGTGAATTTTATAAAAAAATAGATGTAGGCATTTCCTTTCAAGTGCATTTTTAACCAGCATCAGCCTATTTAGTTTTATTCAATATTTTGTCCAGTATTCTTAGTCCTTTCCTCATAATATGTAAAAGTGTTTTTTGAATATATTAAGTTATGAATACTTGGAATAATATTTTGTATTAGAAATTGATGGTATCATTTTGTTTTCGATGTAAGTATTCATTAAACTGTCATGGAATATAGTTATTTTCAGATATTTCATAAATCATGGGAAAATATGAGTTTGTTTTTCTTATTTCCTGTCCAGTTTATTAGACAATACTAGTGCTTGCCCCGATTTTCAGATGCCCAGAACAAGGCCCAATATGATTGCTCATTTTCCTTTGTATTTGGGTCCAAGAGGCTGCAAATGTCTCATAACACATTTGTTGAGATGCTTGTAAGTCAGGCTCTTAACAGGATTTTGAAGATCATAAAATTAGCTTTTAGGTATTAATAGGTGTTATGTAATCAAATGATCATAATACACACTGCCATGAAGAGATCTAGGGTTGAATTTCTTTAAAATGCTTATATTTTATCTACAAAAATAACTTGACATTTTTTTATCCTCCCCGATTTAAAGTATTTGAGGTTTGCCACAAGAGTTGTCATTGAAATTCAATTATATGCCATCTGTCAAAAACTACAATTATTTTGATTCTGGATGAAAACTGCCTACGTGACAAGTTACTTAGAAAAATAATCGGTTGCGTCACGTTTACTCCGCCGCAATTTTAAAAGCAAATATACAGCGTGATTCACAAGTCGAGACCAAAAGGTCTCCTGATTTGTGCCCCCTGGATTTTTTTGTGGGGCGCTTTCAAACAACTAGTTTATGCTGAACAAATCAATACTGTTACAACAGAACGGGTACATATCTCAGATTAATACACCTGCTAGGGTAGATTCTAACTCATCTGCGATTATTGACCACATATTTTTGAAGACAAACATATTTGAGGTCTCTGAAACAGCAATTCACTGTAAACCAATAATTTTGGGAAATTGTATGACCGATCATTATCCTGTTTTGTTCAACGTTGGGTATTTGGAAGAAAGTAATTGTATCATTAATTAAAAGAGCTATGAATTTAAGAAAATTGATGAGAAAAGGTTGACATTATTTGCAAGTGGTGATTTGGGACAGTGTTTTTTCACATCGATGTCCAAAAAGCAACTGATAACTTCTATAGTGAATTATATAAAGGCATAAATCATTCAACGTATTATTTAAAAATAAATAGTAAGACTAGAAAAACGAATAGTTCTTTTCTTGAGAAATATGACATAATATCGAAGTGTCAATTTGGGTTCCACAAAAATTGCAATACAGAGCAATCTCTACAAGAACTTATAGGACAAGTGCTTGAAAATTTCCAAGATGGAAATAAGACTGTTTCAGTTTTCCTAGATCTTTAAAAGACTTTCGATTCTGTATATCATACAATTTTATTGAAGAAACTAGAAAGTGCTGGAGTGCGTAGTGGAGTTCTGAGCTTATTTGAGAGCTATTTGGCTGATCGATTACAACAAGTTAAGGTAGGGTCAGATTTAAGCAGCTTCAAAAGATTAAAATAGGTGTGCCTCAGGGGACAGTTTTGGCACCAACACTGTTCCTCATATACATAAATGAACTACTTCGATGTAATTTCAACTGTAAAATGATATCATATGCAGACGATATTGTTTTAGTTTGCCCTGGTCATTCATGGGATAACGCAATACGGAATGCCGAGTTGTCATTTAAATAAAGTCAAATGCTGGTTGGATAACAATTTACTTAAACTTAATATCTCGAAAACTAAGTATGTGACGTTTTCTCCAACCAAAGCAGGCATGCCATTACACCACCGAACATTAATTATAAATGATAGTGCTAACACTCTTGAAAGAGTTGAATTTATTAGATACTTAGGAATCATTGTTGACAGTAATTTAAAATGCAGTCATTGCCGAGCTTTTGGCAGCGAAATTAAGGAGAATTATTCATAAGTTTTTCATTCTTAGGAATATTTTAAGCAGAAAGAGTCTTCTCTCAATATATAACTCGTTTATGGGGTCTCTACTAACTTACGGGATAAGTATATGGGGAGCCGCATACACTGGTGCTTTAAAAATATTACAAACCACGCAAAATTATATTGTCAAGACTATTTTTCGTATTCCATGTAGGTCAAGTTGCAGATTCGTTTACATTGAAAATGATCTTTTGAATGTTAGAGGTTTATATATTTTTGCTGCTCTAAAATTTGTTCACTCCAGAAACAATGTTCCAACCAGCCACGCTTACGAAACAAGAACTAAAATAAATATAAGTTACACTTATACCACAGTGAATAAATCTGTTAGCCAAAAATACATAAAGTTTTGACGGCATTAGGATGTAGGTATAATAAATTACCCCTAGAATATAAAATCCTCTCGAAGTATAGTTTCATAAAAAGAGTTAAGACCCAGTCATTTCGTTTCTATCTAATGTTTTTATTTCGTTTTTTTTATATACATTTGCTCATATTACACTTTATGACCATTAGCCATCATGCATTGAATTTGTATATTGTGTGACACACATAAGCTTATAGCCTAGGTGTCCATTATGCATAAACAATGCACTATAGGAAAAAACACAGAGTATTTATTTGTAGCAAATTGGAAGTAAAATTTGAGCGTTTTGAAAAAAAAAACAGTACGTACTAGTTTTATTTGGAAACTTTGCCACTGGTGCACGTCAATTTTAAGCAAAGGCTTCTGAATGTGGACAATACCAAATTTTAGTTCATTCCAGTTGACGGTTTTGAAGATATTAAAAAAAATTGATTTCATTTATTATTATCATATACATGTTTCATTTTTGGTCACGACTTGCGAATCACCCTGGATATGTTGGAAGATATAGTTTTACTGCATATGCCTATAAAAATCTAGGTACAGATAATATTGAGTTAAAGTTATATGAAACCATGGAAGATCAAAAGAAAACCTCTAGGAATGTTGGTGGAATTCGAACCTACAGCTTCTATATTTGACAATTGCGATTGGAAGCAGTTTAACACGGTTAGATGTGAGATGTTTTATCTATACTTTTTATTAGTTTTATTTTCTGTTCATAAACAGGATAACTCGGAAAATGAGATGTCAACAGAAACTGAGAGACCATACAGAAGACAGAGACCAAGGCCGAACAGGTACCGAGATCCTGAAGACAGACCTAACAGAGTTAAGGATTCCGATGAAAGGCCTAACAAACTAAGAGATTCAGAAGATCGGCCTAGTAGGCATAGGACGCAACAGACTACGGGTACAGGTGACGGCGAAGACATCAGCAACGAGAAACGTGTCAGAGGAAGATACAGATTTAGGCAAAGAGGCAAGTTTCATAAGGTGCCCTGGCATTTAGCCTTCGGCCAGCGCGGCTGCTTCTTGGTAAAAAAAGAGATTTCTCACGTTTTAATTTTCCGATTTTTCAAACGAAACCCTTTAAATGCGGTTGTTGATCTTCCTCCCAAATAGGATAGCAAACACTTATGAAACAATAAATATTTATTGTCACATAGGTGTTTGCTGAAGATTTCGAAGCTGAATAAATTGTAAGTCTTATCATTCCAAGGTCTTGACCTTATTTTGGTCAGGTAATATGGCGTGATTTCCAAGACCCTTCTATTATCCAAAATCAAATCCATAAATTGATAAAATCTGGCATTTTTTGAATTTGAGGATTTTCCTCCCTCAATTGTTTCCCAGCATATTCAGAAGCTAGAAGATCAACAACCGCAGTTAACCTACCAGTACTCGCGCGGGGAAAAATCACGTAGGCACTCGCATGGGGTACTGAGGTACCCTAACATGATTTAGTGTTTTTGAATTAAAAAAAAAACAATATGTTGCAACTTTTCTATCAAAAATGTAATCAAACGATTTTCTTAAATGCTTTTATAATAAAAAAATAATATTTATATAAAAACCTAACTAACTAGTATGACCCCTGAAGTTATAATCTGCCAAAAACATTTAATCAGTGTCACAATCAGTTTCTATTTCGCTACCATCAAGGCAATTACTGCATACGAAATTTTGGTGAATTTTACATTCGATTTTCCATTTCTTACTGGCGCTGGAACATTCAATATAACATTATGAGCCTTTGTTCTTGACGTAGGTGGTATCCTCTTATTCCATTTAGTATCTTTATCTTTTCTCAAGAAATATGGACCAACATTTTTTACAGAATCTTCTTCACTTATATTTGAAATATCAGCCTCATCTTCGGACCGTATCTGAACATTTATCTTGTACTTCCAAGTTACCTGTTTCTTGCTCCGATGGATCATCTTCACCATAAACTTCTTCGTCGTCACTGTCAAGAATTTCATTCTACCATTTCAACCATTGCTGTGATTCTCTACTTGATAAATTTGCCATATTTTTACCTGCAATAAAACGACTAATCTGCAACAAACCTCAAAAATCAAACAAAAACACTCTTACTTTTTTGTTACTCCGATGCTCGCGAGCGGTATCTAAATACCCCAATCAAGTTTCGACTCGTAGCAAGCTTGTGTATACTACACTCGAGGAATAGACGAAACTGTATGCTGATCGTCATTTCTCCCACTCTAGTATAGACAGTAATATTACTAGTGGGGTTAAGTTTAAAAAATCCGAATTTCCGGATTTAGGGTAGCTGAAGCATTTTGTCTACTTTGCGCAGAAACTATTTATTATACGTCACATATTTCCGATCATTCGTTAACCTTTTGTATACTAAATGAATCTGTTGCAAATTGTTCTAAAAATGCCGCTTCAGAAATATAGGAAATCTAGAGTTTTTGGAAATGTCTCCTTTCGAACAATTGATCTATTTACCAAAAGTTGAAGAAAAGGTCTTATTTTTGAATTCAGTACTGTTCAATATCTTCGATGTACTAGCTCCTGTGAAGGAAATTCAATTTAAAGTTCGAAAACTCCCATGGTTAACTATTAAACGCATGATTAAACTAAAAAACGAAAAATTCCGGAAATTTAAGAAAAACAAAACTGCTGCCAATTGGGAAAATTACAAACAAATGAAAAATCAAACGAATATTGCCATATATAATAAAAAGAAGAGTTATTTGAAATACTGTATTGATAAAAATATCAATCAAACTAAAGTGCTTTGGAAAAAAAATATTAAATTTGAATATTAGCAGCAAAAAAACAGGTTGTATTCCCGATCAGCTGAATAATCCGGATGACATAAATAACCATTTTCTTCAGATCTCTCGGGCAAGCTCATCAACAGACTATGACACTTTGGATTACTATTATAGCAATAGGAGTACTAACGTCAACACTCTTTTTGAATTTCACACAGTTTCTCAATATGTCGTTAAAAATGCACTTCTCAGAATTAAATCGCTTGCCATAGGTGCTGATGATCTAAATCTTGAAATGATCTTATTGTGCTCCCATAAAATCATCCCCTACATTACAAATATAATAAACTTCTGTATTTTACATAGATAATTTCCAGACTCCAATGTCTCCGAAGCTCTCAGGTACATTTGTATGCTGACGATACTCAGCTTTATTTTTCTTTTAATCCTAACGAGAAACGTGATGCATTGGCCATTATTAATCGAGATATTGAAAGATTAGTTGTATTTTCAGAAAATCATGGTCTACAGATTAATGCATAAAAACACAACTCATGTTATTTGGCAGATGAAAGACAATATTGAGCCCACTTTTCATGTCAAAATAAAAAGTGAATCTATAACTTGTTCTGCCACTGTGAGAAATTTGAGAGTAGAATTTGACTCATATCTAAGATTTAAGCCTCATAATAATAAATGTATCCAGAAAGCTTATGCTTCTCTAAAATTTCTATATGCTTATCAATATGTCCTCCCTGTTAAACTTAAAATATTGCTTTGTGAAGTACTAGTACTCAGCCATTTTAATTTTTGTAACAGCGTTTATGGGTTTTGTTTAGACAAGATTGACATGGATAGAATTGAACATGTACAGAAGTCCTGCCTGTGATTTATTTATGGTATACGTAAGTTTGAAAGAGTTTCGCATAAGTTGCTTGATGCAAACTGGTTGAATATGCGATGCCGATGAAATTTGCGGTTTCGGGGCTACATATCACCTCCTCCTCATCAAACTTCTCTTTTTTGTAGATCTTTTTCATACAACATTTACCGGCTTTACAATCAAATTCCTAATGACTTTAAAATTCTGCATCCAAACCAGTTTAAAATCAAATATAAAAAAATTATTTTTTAAAACACTTCCGCGCACATTAATGGCACAAGCGACAAAACTAATGAAAAAGTTTTTTTTGTACTATACCTCTATTATTCTAAATCTATTATTTGAGGCTTTCTAAGGTAGATCTTTCTTTTTATGTATATATATATATATGAATGTGTAATAGGTAAAGGGCTGAACTTGTATCATTTTTAAATGCCTTCAGCCCTTTTTTGCAACATATCTCATTTAAATGTATTTTTATACTATTTTCACCTAACTGTATGTTGCCAATAAACATTATTATTATTTGATTATCTAATAGGTATTTTGAAAAGCCATTGTATGGAGAAGCCTTTCATCATGAACACTTTATTTGCCCAATAACTTTTTGTACAGGCAGTATACACAACACCCCCATCTGGAATTTTTCATATTTGTCGATACGATATGATCAATTGAGGAATCTATTATGTGTATTTTTCATCTTTATTTCATCGCATCGAGAAATAATGTATAAATATGCCATACTAAGGCGTCTGGGCAATGATTTACGAATATTTCCGTGCATATGAGATTATTAATCGGTACTCAATATGAAATATTCATTTAGGTGGACAATACGAAAGTACCGAATACCAAAACCAACCAATTCGCAGACGGAGACCCACCACGACAGAGTCGCCTTACAACCACAGGTCAGCCGAAACAGAACCTTCCATAGACCAAACTGGCGAAGGTGAAACTTTTGTAGAAACGCAAAAAGTTCGACCCACGCAAGAGGTCGAGGCAGAAACCTACAATAGGTATAAGGAGGAAGAGCAGACAACATCTGCTAACGAGTTTGCAGTGGCGACACCTAATGCTGAAGTGACAGAGGAAGCCAGTGTGGTATCAGTTACCGAAGCTGTTGATACTGTAAGTTTTCAGGTGTTATACCGTTTTCGGGATATAAGAAAAAAAAAGAGGTCGTTTGCAGGTCACGTGTATTGTACAAATAGCATAGTGTGAGTCTATTGACGTAAAATACTGACGTCTTTACGAACATGCGATTGCTGTTAAAATTTAGACTTTCCAAATACACCCCATATCAAGGTATAGCGCTTCTTACTAACTCTACACATCGGTGAATGTATGATGAGTGCAATTGAATTCACAAACTTGACCTCCAAACCTCCAAAGCCATTGTATAGGTTACTTTTAGTTACGTATTTTCTGGCGTTTCCAGATATGATTGATAGATCAGGTGTACCAATGATCATTTACGTAGCATTTATATTTCTCGATGATAGTTTCCTAGGTTTTGCACTTAGGAAATTTTATTACCTTTTTATTACAGCTGAGCTTTACGTTAATATGAGTAATCATTACGGCTTAGGTGAACGTTAACCTCAACGTTATTTAAGACTCAAGTCAACCTCTGCGTCTACAACTGCACAACACTAAAGCTACTGAACGATTTTTTATCAGCTTTGCTAAAAGCGCTGCAAAAGGTCGCTTGAAGTATATCCTGCTGAAACTGGCCTAGGCACACACAATATCTTATACGTGATAATGTCAAATTATTATTATATATTATTATTATTAAATGTGCATTTTTTCAGACGATCCATAACGCCCCCGAAAACGAAGTCGACTTTTCCACATCTCAGCCTCTACAAGAACATTCTTACGAACACCAAACTGTTATTGTTACTACTCTACCCCCTACTACAACCCCTACAACTACCACGACTACGGAGGAACCATCTACTACCAAAGCGACCAAATCCAGGGGACGGCCTATGAAATACAATACCGCTAACAGGCCCAGATTCAGCGTGAAAGACTACAGGCAGAGGTTGAATCAATATACTTCAACGACGCCATCTACTACCACGGACTTTTCAAGGTCCTCTTCAGAGGGACCAAAGATTAGGTGAGTTGCATAACATTTTGTGTATGAATTATGAACTGACACTTGATTCTATGTTCCTTCTTGTATAGTTCTTTGTTAGTTCAACATGCGAGAAGTACCTCCAAATATTGAGGGAAAAGTTTCGCAAACCAAGCATTTTTGGTGCATTTAATTCGATAGTAGTTGCTGGGTGCGCGATAACAGCACATCCTAGGCAGCAGCGGTGGCCGCAGTAGTAGACTCTTCGGTCTCCTGATCAGTCGCCGTGCGCTGTGCGGGTTCGAGTCCCGTCCCAGGAGAAATTTTTTTCTTGGCTATGGATGTTGTGATTGTCCGTAGGTGGTAGATGGTCTCTGACTTTCGAACGCGGAGGTACCACCCGGCGGTTCTCGTAGGCGGAGCCAGAATGTGTGCATGTTGTATGCACACGTGTTCCCTCGCCAGAGTCCGTGTGGCGTCCCCCCCTTTCCCATGTATCCCCCTATAGCCCCACGGTACCCAATGGGTGCTTAGGCCTTAGGCCTTCGTGGTAGTTGGAGTATAAAAAAAATCCTAGCAGATGTCTGACAAATATTTATTGAAATGAACATGTTTGCTTTCCGCCTCTGTAACCACGACCGACCGGAGACAGCGCTGTTTCGTTCGCCGTTGGTCGTGATTTCAGAGACGGAAAGCAAACATGTCCATTTCAAGCCTGTCTGTTTAAGCATAAATGCATAAAGAGCCATTGTTGGTCTGCTCTGTGAATACTTGGTATTCCGGCTGCTTGATAGGTTGACTATTTTGGTAGAGCGTCATCTAGATAGAGAGACCTTCATTGCGCAGAACCTCGTGTAGTTTTGAGCCGGCAGAGTAAGAATCTTTTTTCATCATCGATTGTTATGAGTATGCAGATCAGCTTGGCAAAACTTCTCATAGCATCTGCGGTGCCCTCGTATTTAGGTTTCTGTCAACGCGGCTGCTTGGTTATAAAAAAAGAAAGATTTGTGCTCGACACGTGCAATATAAAAATACCATTTAGTCGATTTGAAATCAGGAACATTTTGAGTTTCAAACTGACAATTCTCTTTTGAACTGACAACTGATGGCAGCGATATAATTGCACCATTGCCAGGCTTTAGTTGGCCCCACGTGACACATATTCCACCAAATAGTCCACGCCTATATTCTATTGTCAAGCCGACGATGTTTCGGTTTTTGTCCACTGCGTGCTGGCGTCCGATTTAGTCTCCCCACTATGCACTTCGCTTCCGGCGAATTGACGTGTAGCTGTCAAGACGCTGAAATACATCTTGCATTTTCCACAAATTCTCAGTTACTTCTGCCACGCCAGCTGAATTAAGAAAGAATTACAGCGGAATCAACGTATCAGGACTCGTCGCATACGCAGTTTTTATACCGTTAACCAAAACAGGTTCCAACCTCAGAAACCTATATAACAAAGACCAGGATACGAGGTCTGTAAATTAAGTAATGAGACAGAGGAACTTGTAATCCGCCTTCAGTACAATTTCGAACTCGCTCGAATCAGTTGATTGTCCGTAGCGATTTTTTTTGTGAAACAGTTTTTGATATTGTGCTGTAAACATGAGTGACATCGATTTCGATCAACGATGTGACTTGGGCACAGTGCAATGGAAACTCTTGCTGAACAGGCCTACCGAGATGGTGTTTTGTCAAGAGCCTAGGCTTTCCGGTGGTTTAAATAATTTTCAAAAGGGAGAGAGTCGATTGAAGTTGAACTACGAAGCGGAACACCTTCACCTTCAAGATCCGATAAAAATATCGACAAAACCCGGGATCTTGATCATTCAGATTGTTAGTCAGAGCGATCGGGAATGAGTTAAATTTGACCCATACTACCGTTCATCAGATCAAGAACAACTGGGTGTTGCATCATTATAATGCTCCTTGTCGCACAGAAATATCAATTAACGAGTTTTTAGCCAGTAATAACATTATTATGGCTCCTCAGCCTCCTTATTCGCCTGACATGAGTCCTTGGAACTTTTTTCTCTTCATGAAGTTGAAAAACCAGCCCAAGGAACTCATTTTCGAAAACATTCAAATGACTGAAACTGACCAGCCGAAGGCTATTCCAGTACGGGAGTTCCAGTGCTCTGTGGCTTCAGAAGTAAGTTATTTTGAAGGTGACAATATAAAATTGTAATTATATTTGAATAAAACAATTCAAAAAAATCAGTCTTATCACTTAATTTATTTACAGACCTCGTGTCTCATTTCATCAGTACATGACTCGCTATCTAGGTAGAATATGTTAAGCGATGCTCGAACTTAACCGTCACCTGAAGATGCCAATTCAGCTGGACATATGAAATATGTTGAAAATCTACCCTCCACAATAGTTTAGGAATCTACTTCCCCTGAGGAATATTCTGTTTGCCTTAAAATCTGTTATTTATTTACAAAAATTGATTTGCAGGTTCCCAAGCAGGCTAAGGACGAGGCCTACAACCACTACTACAACCACCACACCATCGTACCCACGAGATGAAGAAGGAAATACCGAGCCAATTTTCAGACGCAAATTCAAACCCAAAGATCCTAGGCACCAAGCTTCGCCCGCAACAGAGACTGAAAATGCGAATGTCATTACAGAAAACACCGTGAAAGCGGTGAATCCTCGGTTAAGACCTTTTGGCAGGTTAGTGAGCATCACTAACATAAGTCGGTCCTCTTCTACCATCACGGTGTCGTCACATATTTGTTGAAAAACCTTACTTCCGTCCCATGCAAACATCACCTGTCTATTTTTTTCCCTCCAAGTTTTTTTTTTCGGAAATGGCGCATCTGAATCATCAAAAAGTAATTTGAACCAATTTGGAACCAATATGCAAAACCTAAAAAACTTGGCTATAGTAGCAATTCTGTGTCAAAATATGAAACTACTGGGGATGTTTGACAAAATTATTACTACTTATGGATTGATTTATTTTGCAGGTTCAGAACGACAACAGAAACCAGCGAAACAAAAGTTTCTATCAAATCGGATCTCTTCAACATCGCGAGACGGCGAAACAGCTTCAACTCAAGGAATAAACTCAGAAATAAAAATGCCACTGAAGATGCAACTACTGTCAACGAGATCGAAACTACGGAACCAATTACTACAACACATGCTCAGATAGATGAAAATCAAGACGAAGAAATTAGCACGAAAATCCATAGAAAGACGACAGAACCGTCAAGTACATCTACCGAGTCTAACACAGAAGCTGTCAGTGAAGATGACTACTCTCAAAGAGTGTCAGAGTTGACATCCTCGTTCAAGAATGACGACGGGTACTTCAAGTCACTGTCTACGAATAGTCGTAGGATACCAAGTCACTTTACAATATCTACTGAAGATCCCATACTGCCAATAGAAGCTTTTTTTCCAAACATAAAAGAAAAAGAAAATAAGGAGGGTAACTGAGGTACAAATTGAGATTATAGTTTTTTTTTGACAACTGTGATGGACTGAATCATTTTAGACTTAGAAGCTATCATTTTTTATTCTGCTAATAGCATCAACCAAAAAGATAAGAAATGTCTCCTGTACACTTTTTGAAGAGAAGAAAAGATTATACTCATACACACACATTGTAAACCAAAAATAATTAAATTCGTAATTGTACAGGTTCAGTTTTAGATTGAAAATTAGGAAGATAACGTGTCGTGTAAATACACCGAGAAGTGATAAAGTTAAGTCTACAACATTGGTTTAAATAGAAGGGTGTTTATGAATTTGCTTGTTCGGAAAGGGTTTCGATGTCTCTACTTTCATTGTTTTGTAGAGCAGCATCACAGATGTGGTCCTAAAATTGTTAAAGTTCATAGCCACGTTATATGAAAACATTTTACAAAATTTGCTGAGCCCGGCACTATGAACAAAATCAAATCCAATTGAAATACGGATCGGCCAGATCAGCAAATACTTATTTTAAGCTGAAAAGTTACCAGGGAAATATTGTCGAAATCTTAGGACAGCAAATTCAAGAAATAGTGTTTTTGTAGCGTAAGAATTGTAGTATATTTATTTTTATTTATTTAATTGTATACTTCATGTAATATAAGATATTTGTATACAATATACTGTCATTATCCCTTTGTGAGCAGCTTTATCCTTTTATTACGAGATAGCTCACTTTATGTTATACAGGGTTATCCAAATTAAGTGTCCACCATTAGTAACTTTGTTATTAGTGAAAATACAAAGTTGTTTGAATTAGCAAACTAGTAGCATTTTTAACGCTGGTAAAAATGAGAAATAAAAAAAAACAATTGAGAGTCGTTATTTTGATTTTTTTCAGTAAAATAACATTTTTTTAAATGGAAACCCCTGTATATTATATTTTTTTCTGTTAAAGCATCAAATTTTAAACAAAAAAGCTTACAATAACTTTTCTCCTAGGTTACAAATTGTTGAAGTTATGGCCTCCAATCTGAAACAATTAAATTGTATCGACAAACTTTATTTTCAACATCAACTTATAATCTTACAAAATACAATAACAATTTTTTTTAAAGAAGATGCTCGAAAACACCACCTTGTTCTTCAATACATTTTTGGGCACGTTTTTCAACTGCTCGAACTGTCTTAAGTATGGTCCTACCATCTATCTGGGTTATCTTTTCCCTAACTGCAGTCTTTAACGCGTCAAGGTTATCGTACCTTCGCTTGTAAATTTGGTTCTTTAAGTAACCCCACAAGAAGTAATCAAGTGGGTTTAGATCTGGTGATCTGGGAGGCCACTGTATTGGGCCATTTGTTCCTATCCACTGATCATTAAAAGTAGTACTTAGAAAATGATAAGTACCTCTGGAGTTGTGGGCAGGTGCGCCATCTTGCTGAAAATGCAGATGATGTCTACTTATAAGATCCAATTCGTCTAAGAAATTAGTCAGAATTTCTGACATAAATTCCACATATCTTTCACCAGTTAGGGTTCCCTCATAAAAGAACGGGCCAACAATTTTTAAACCAATTATACCGCACCAAACGTTGAAACTGAAACGGACTTGTGGGCCTCTTGGATGTACTAACAAAAGATTTTCTCTTGACCAATAATGGTGGTTTTTTCTATTAAACATTCCAGAATTTGAAAAATTTGATTCATCTGTCCATAAAAGGTAACGAAAGTTATTTACATTTTGGCGACAGAAGCTAAGATACCAATGGCAAAAAACAAGTCTTCTCTCTGGATCCCCTGCCAAAAGCGTTTGAACTGGTCGGTACTTATACGGAATAAATTTGTATTTTTTTAAAATCCTTTGAACAGTACCATAACTGAAATTAGAGTCCTTGAGAATATCTGCTATTGAATTCTCACGATAAGCTTCAAAATATCCAATAACTGCAATTTCCGTGGCCTCGCTTATTATGAATTCTTTTTTTGCCCTTGTTTTAGCAAAAACATTTTCGTTGCCCCTAAATTTTCGATAAAGTCTCAGAAAATATCGTTCATACGGTTGAATGCGAGCGGGATATAATTCACTGTAGTATTCTCTTGCTCTCAAGGAGGATTTTCTGCACACTAAATAGCATTCTAACATATCACACTTTTCTTCATGGGAGAACATTTTTCTTTAAATTAATGACACAATAAAGCTTATAAACAAGTATTTACACTAACGTTTGACATTATTTGATTTTATCATTGTTTTCCAAAGCCTTCTAGTTGCGAGTATGTCCAGTTTAACAATTTGTCGCTTATCTTAATGCTGTCAAATCGCGAACGCCATGCTGTTTTCATAGCCGTCTTAATATTATAATACTGCAAATAATTAAAAATATTTATCGTTATTTTGACTTTATTTTTGACTTTAGCGGAAAAGTCATTATGAACTTTTTTGTTTAAAATTTGATGCTTTAACAGAAAAAAATATAATATACAGGGGTTTCCATTTAAAAAAATGTTATTTTACTGAAAAAAATCAAAATAACGACTCTCAATTGTTTTTTTTTATTTCTCATTTTTACCAGCGTTAAAAATGCTACTAGTTTGCTAATTCAAACAACTTTGTATTTTCACTAATAACAAAGTTACTAATGGTGGACACTTAATTTGGATAACCCTGTAGATATACTAAGTGACATATAAATCCGAACACCCAGTTTAAATGGTTTTATTTTAATAAAAGTTGGTGAATGTATTTATCTTACTGTAAATAACAAGTGAAAAAATTTTCAGCATTATCAGTTGGACATTCCGGTTTTTATACTGCTTTTTTTTAATTCACTAACGCTCTAAAAATGAATATTTCAGCCGCAGTAAAGAATCAACGTTGGCGGATTTTGGTTCTTGACATCCTTTACGATCGGTTACGATATCTAGAGTACGGAGACCTGTACGATTTCGTCAACTTAGTGAGTTTGATAGGGGCCGTATAGTGGGACTTCGGGAAGCTGGACTTTCTTTTCGGACAATTGCAGTTAGAGTGCAAAGAAGTGTAGACTGTCAGGCATGGCTTCGAGAAGGCCGTACGCAAAGAGCAAGGGGCACTGGACGCCGCCGTAGAACAACAGACCGTGAAGATCGCCGCCTAAGATTATTGGCCTTAAGGGACCGTTTCTCCACTACCAGGTCCATTGCAAATGAATGGTTTGCAGAACACGGAAGACCTATTGGCATGCGAAGTGTTTACCGACGAATGAGAAGTTTTGGCTTGTTTTCATACCGGCCACACTGGGTCCTCCCTTCAACTCGAGAACACCGACGTAATCGCCTTGAGTGGTGCAGACAACGGTCACTCTGGGATCAGGAATGGAACAGTATTGTCTTTAGTGACGAGTCTCGATTTTGTTTAGGCATACACGATGGTCGTGCCAGGGTTAGAAGGCGACGTGGTGAAAGGAGGAATCCACAGTTTTTTGTTGAAAGACGAAGATGTTCATCACATTGTTGGAGTTATGGTTTGGGGTGCTATAGCTTATATCCACGAAGTTCTAGAACCCCATCTTTTACCCTATCTTGACACCCTGGCAGATCCAACTTTCCAACAAGATAATGCCCGACCACATGTTGCAAGAGTCACAATAGACTTCTTTCAACATAATGATGTCACATTGTTACCATGGCCACCAAGATCTCCCGACTTATCCCCAATTGAGCACGTGTAGGATATGATGGGTAGGAGATTGCTCAATTTGCAACGTCCTCCTCAGACTCTAGAAGCACTTCGAGAGGAGTTGGTGGTTGCCTGGAATGAGATACCTCAGGAGGACATTGACCACCTGATCAGAAGCATGCCTAGACGCGTTGGAGAATGCGTAGCACATTTGGGTGCATCCACACATTATTAAAGGTCAAAGGGCTTTAAAGCAGTGCAATCATTTTGAAATTTTTATCATTTACTTATTATGCTTCATTAAGTACTTTTATTGAAATAAAACCATTTAAACTGGGTGTTCGGATTTATATGTCACTTAGTATATGTGTACTAGTAAAAAGCGAGTACCAGCTACTGCGTATACGCAGTACATCTGAGGCGGAACAAATCTTCCCCTGTGTCTCCTCCAAGCCCGGCACCTCCAGATCAAACGCTACGTTGCCAGTCTCATCACTTAATTTACAGACCTCGTAAACATAAAACGAATTCATGCCCTCCAACGGACCGATTTCCTTCTCTCTGCTATTCCTTTTTTCTATCTCAACCTTATCTGAAACCTGTCAACTAGATCTGGCTGACGAACTGGCAAACATATGATCAAGAGCAAATGTTCTACGAGCCGCTCTGTCAAGAAAGTGACGAATAGAAAATTAAACGTAATGGTTATTAATAAAATTTAGTTTATTTTTATTCAATAACAAGAGTTAAATTATACAAAAGCATACATGTAAATAAACTCTATTTTAAGTCTACCTTCCATACTGGCGATTATGAAAGGAGGACTTTAAAAAATGGTAATCACACTTTGACTTTTTTTAACCACCTTAGCAAGTGTTGGCAACATTGCAAAATTCATTAATCGTTTCTAGGTATATTTGAGAAGCGGGTTAGGAAAAATTAGTACAACTTAAGTAAACGTTAAAAAAATGGTCCCACTTGCCAATAATATACACATAATCTGCTTCAATCAAAATTAAAAAAGTTTAACTCGAATCGTGCTATACGTAACAATATACATACTGATAAGGATTTGCATCATAATATGGCAACAATTTACAAAAAAAAAAGAAAAACAAAAAATTAATCACATGGGAAATAAATTAAGTTCGAAGAACTAAGAAGAAACTCAAATATTTACTCTTATACATAATATTAAACCTAAGGTCAAGGACAGGCATCTCCATCAGGCAAAACTTCCCAGTTTTGTCGGACGAAGAGGCCCCCAAAAAATGAATAAATTATTTATACAAAAATATGAACATTTCTCTTGAACAAAAATCTATAAGTTATGTCAGTCAATGTTAAGGTTTGCAATAAGTTAAAACCTAAACCTACAACCGGAAGGGTTCCCGCTCTGACAATAGCTGTTTTTTACGGGCTTGACCAGTCGGAGTTTCGGAAGCACCAGAGGGCCTCCGAAGCAGCTTTGACACTGCTGTCTGTTGATCGGGATGCACTGGGGTGTTGGAACCGGATGGTGTTCGCGTCCTGTGAAAAACCCACAAAAATCAGTATGTTTTTTTATTTAAATAAAAAACTAATCATTGGTGTAAAGAAATATAACAAGAGCAATATGGCTCGATCCACGAAGTATAAAACACGATAATTCAGATATAAAAGCAGCATTGCCTTAGCAACGGTTTAAGAATTGTTAACCAGAACATGAAAAACGAACTGATTCTTAACTTACAAGTTATAGTTACCCAACTTGAAAGTTGATCAGTAATTAAACACCGGGCCTTAGTGATTAAAGACTGGTCATGTTCAAACCATAGGTGGCCAACGCTTACATAGCCACTAGTCATCATAGTTCATCTTAGTGCATAAACGCTTGGCTACTTACCATGTAAACAAGGTCAGTGCTAAAGTTTTGTGTAGAGAACTTTTATAAATGTTTGACATCTGATCAACTTTCCTTAATAATCTCTCAGTGTGCTTTCTGCTTGTCAGCCTTTGAATTTTTTGGCATCAGTCCAAAGAGTTTCAGGTTAGACACTTTGAGGACCAAGTCATATTGCTTTCTGGTAAGTAGATGTCCATTTATATGCCAATACAATTATCGCAAGCTCTTTCAGACCAGAAGATCTATGCATAGGGTCCCTTTGATTCGCATTTTGTATGCAGGACGACACAGACTTTGTAAAAAAATATGAATAACATGCATATAAAAAATGGCATCAAGTAGGTTGACTCTACACGTCTTACGCAACGCTGTCATCAGTTAATAAAGGATTACGTTCGGCACAAGTTGGCTCCTCTGAGAAATAAGCTAGCTAGGATCATGGACAACAAAGAAATTAAACAGATCAAGTTCGTCAAACAGACGCATAAAATTGAAATTTGCATAATAACCGGTTTTGTTGATGCCGTCTGCTACACACATTCTCCGGCGAAACCGTAAAGCGAAAATATTTCTCCACCATCTAAGTAGTATGGAGAAATTTATAATGAGTGAAATAAGTCTACAAGTGTGCGTAGAATTACCACGGCTGAAGGAGTATAAGTATACCACTGTCAAAACAACTGAGATATACCCTACAACACCGCCTACCTCCCCCACCCAATTTTTGGCCTCCTGTTTTTTTTTTCAAAAATGATAAAAATCCTCAAAAATCTCAAAAAACGAGTGGTCAAGGATTAGCGGAAAGACAGACAGACCGACGGAAATGAGTGAAACATGGCTCTTCGTGATGTACAAGTGATACAACACCCACAAAAACATATCTCAGTTTCAATTATTTACTTCCACGCCAGTGGCATAGGGTTCTAAAATCTTCCGTTACAATAATGAGCTCTGAGCTCCAAGTTTAGCGAAAAATTGTACCTCACTAGTTTTTGCAAAATAAGTATAGAATCTGCTTGCAGCCTGCCTTTTAAAGTTTTTTTACGTCTATTAAAAACGTCCAAAGCAATTGCCATTTTTCATAACAAACAGATTGATGTAGCGGTTGATAAAGTAATTTCTATTTCCAAAACTGGCCGAAAAATTCCAATAGACAGTTTTTAAGTAGAGTCAATCTAGCGTTAAGTTACTATCTTTACAAAAATCGGTGGCGTATAATTTTTTGCTAAACAAAAAAGCTGGCCAGCACGAACGCCACTGATATAAGTGAAACGTTAAATTTATTTTGTAGATATTTGTGTCACTTTTGGAAATACATATACGAACCTTTTCGTATTTCACTGCAAGTGCTGAATCTCTCCTCAATTTTGCTGCCAATATTGTGTAACACCTGCATGCTTTGCAATATCAAGTGGCATATAAATACATCCTACTTGTCTGTTACAAAATTAGTGTTTTAAAAAAATTACCTAGAAGCGGTCCGTAATGTTGGCGCAACTCCTATGGTCACTTGTTTAACTTTGCTTGAACTCGCACTCCTGGTTAACAGATATTAGAACATGCTAGTTAGTTGGGAGTTATTTCATTAATTTCAATTAAATCATTCGGGCGTACACTCAAAAAATATTCAATTTCAGCTTGAATATTTTTTAATTGTTTAGGGTTAAGCTCTGAGACACTTTCTCAGAATGCAACATATATTTATTTATAGGATAGTATGCAAAATTAAATAAAAAATCATGCTGAGAAAAAAACCGCATAACTACAAAATCGGATTAATTTTTCAACATAACTGCACAGAACAATATTGCCATAACTAACCTAATGGGTGGATGTCATACTAGAAGAAAATATCTCTAAGTATGATGTATACGAATTTAAAAAAATAGGGTCAAGCAGTTTGACCCCGCACTCCCTATACAACGCTCTCATCAATTCATAAAGGATTATAATCTCACAAAAAAATTTTGGCTACGAACATTAGATGGATCACAAAATCAGTCCATCGTCGAACAATTAGGTGCGTAGAATTAAACGTATAAATTGCTAGCACCAAAAAATTGACATTTACTCTTCCCCACCCCCGACAACCCCCAACATAAAATTTTTAACCTATGCAAAATTTATTATGAAAATGATCAGGAGCTTACAAACTACAACAAATGAGGTTTGAGCGACTTTTATTTGTTTCGTGTTTTTACCCCTAGTTCCGCCGTCAGTGGACCGATTTTCAAAATATACGGAGCTTCCTCCCCTACCTCCCCTTGGCATAGTAGTAATGTTGTGTGAAAATTTCATCCAAATCCGAGACGTACTTTCTAAGTTATAGACGGTCCAAAGATTAGCGGACCGACAGACAGACGGAAATAAGTGACATTTTCCGTGATGTCATATCCAAAAAACATAATATCTCATTTTAGAAATTATTCCTGATTACAATACTTCCTCGCCCAGTGGAGTAGAAAGTAAAAACAAAAAAAATTACAATGATTCTCTTACGTATACGCACCAATTAGATTAGATGTACCAAATGTGCATGCTTCAAACAAACACTTGTTGCTAATATGATTTTCACTCTTAAGAACGATCATATGAACACGAATATCAAAAAAAACCTAGACCTCGCATGCAGTTTATTGAGTTGTAAGAAAAACGTATAGCCAGAAAATTATTCATGCTTCTACACTGATTTACCTAGGTATGGGAATTTTAGTTTTGCTGGATTTGCTCGTAGGTGAACGAATTCTGTTAGTTAAGCAGAGAAAATATACCGTTAGTAACAAGTCTAACTATTCAAAGGTCAAACATCAATCTGCAACTACACCCAAAATTTGACACTGGATAAATGCATCAATCTGGAATTGCGTCATTCGTGATTTCCGATTCAAGATAAATAAATAATCAGACACATTATAGTACAAATCCTGACTCTACATGGCAACACAACACTAAGTTTTAAGCTTCATGAAATAACGAATAAATATAAACAATGAACAAATGAGCAAATATGATTTATTTTATTATTATTAGATCTAGAAGAAACGTTCACACAAATCAAAACATTATACCCAAACCACGAATCAAAGCTGAGCTCTAAAAGTAGGGTTGATGTATAATCTGAGTATAAACTAAGAAAGGAAATCAGGAATGCGTTTTTGTATTTGCAAAATATTTACGATCTTTTGTTTCAAATATTGAACTATTCTTCCGATAAAGCTTCAGCAGGAAGAGTAAAATATCTCACTTAAAAACAACACACGACAACACATGCATAAAACAGATAACCATTACCCCGCAGAAGAGAAAGATACAGAGCAAGAGCTCGAAGTTGATGGACAATCTGCTTCCGTGTCCTCACTTTTCCCCTTAAATATCGGTATGCGAGACCTTTCCAAGAAATAATAAGCTTTTATCTACTGAAAACTTAGCGGTGTATATCGAGGATGATTTTGTGATTCGGCGAAATCTGACAACGTTTCCTGGTTATATAAGTTGAATCACACAGAAATTTAAACCGAATATGGAAAATGTTTTGTGGGGTAAATCAAAGTAGTTATATCCTAGCTAGGTAAAAGTTAACACTTGTTTTTTAATTTGTTGAGATCATCAATCGTATATACAATAGTTAGTGTTACTGTCGTCAAGCATTCAAACAAAATATCTAAACCTGCAATGGTAGGACGATAACTCTCTTACCAAGTTTAGATTTTCGTTTAAGTGCATTGCATATAGTAACTCATCCAATATGCTTAGTTTATCTTACAATACTGTGAACTGTTAATTCAGTTAGAGTGTTTTAAGAACCTGTATCCCTGATAATCCTCAATTTTCAACAATACCTGTAACTACTAACTATGTGTTTGGACTTTTAATCGTCAGTACTCTCTCTGCTTTTCAAACGAAAAGATAGCCTGGTGCTATCAGATCTTCGCCTGTAATACATAAAGCAAGTTCTCTAATTTGGTCATCGTTATTCATATTTACAAATCTACAAAAATTGGTTTAACTTACACCTTTTAAGTATGTATGGGATTATTCGTGAACCCGTCAAAAGTTTAGTTGAATTGATGTAAGCTAGTTTGTGTTGTTTGTCAATATTAACGATATGAAAAATGACGTTTAGTTTTACCCTTACGATATTGCAACTGCTACATAAGTACATGGTATTATCAAAAAATCTAGTTGTCAAAATATCATCAAACAGTTTTTGAATCTATATTATTGAAACAAAATTTTGTGAAATTATCATATGAGACAAAGGCTCGGGCAATACTGTCAAAGTTACATGATTGAAGGCCTTTATATATTTCTGCTCCCATTTCATTTGAAAGAATCTTTTGTCAGATTACTGAACTAGCAGAATACTGTACAATAAGAAAAGCAACCTTTCGAAAATGCACAGCTTAGAGTTACCCAAAGCTACTGAAATTCCCCGAAAATAAGTAGAGTGGCCATAGTATTTACAATGCCAACATAGTGAAATTCTGAATTTACCTTATTGGACCAGGGGTTCCTGTTAATGTAGGTATACTGGATGCTCTTGGAATGCCAGATGATCTGTTAGTGTTACAGACATGCCCAAAATTAGTTTGACATTTATGGTAATATTGAATGCAACCAATTCTAATACAGGTTCTCGATCATATCAAGTTGTCAGATTTGTGTTATGCCGATGACAATGTGAAGGAAGATAACCACTGTTTTTAGACACAATGTAGAAATATTTACCATTTCCAAAATAGGGTTGTGAATCGTTGATCTAAATCCAATTTAATAAAAAAAATTCTACAGTAAATGACACAGTTCTATGGTAATATATTTTTACATTGTGTATAAAGAATATCAGATTATTGTTATTGAATGAATGCAACGAGCGAACGAAACAATCTAACATGAAATTAAATTGATTAATTCAACGTGAGATATGTACTACTTCGGGATTATTATATTTTGCTTACACTTCAATTTTTGCATAACATTCACAAGCGAATCTTGCGTACCGCATAACTAAGAGCAGACAATTTGTATTTTTAGCTTAAAGACAATTACATTTTTACAAAAAGTGAAGTATATGCAATAATGAAACATTTAGTTAGCAATACGTTGAGATTGATACGATTCATTGCACGTTAAAACATGCCTTTGAGTAGTTCAAAAAGGATAGGAAAAAGTATTCGCAAATATATTTTTTACACAAAACTCTTCTATATAAATATATTAAATTAAAAACCTTGCCACACAGAGAGCATTAAAAATGTACAGAATCATTATGCGATTCAATAAGAAACTTTTTCAAACATCCTTTCGAATTACTCTGGTACTTTTGTTACAGATTTTTAATTTTCTAATTAAAATTGTTATTTGTTCAATACCTGACTGAGGGACTAGCTGGGGAAATCAATCCGGTAGGTGTTCTTGGTCTAGATCCTGCCCCATTTGTTGATTTTTTTGCGGATGATAAGGTGGATCCACTTCTTCCTGGAGTTGATGTTGGGGTTCTTCTTGGTATCCTTGATGGTGTCGCATCATCTGGAATTATGTAAAGAATGTTATATAGTAGGTGCCAAAATTAGTGCCCTACTACATAATCAAAATTTTCTCGCTAAATTCGTATCAGCTAGTAGTACCAATGTTTGAAAATAGTTATTTAGACATCGAAATACTTCATCTCTCATCGATGTCAGACATCCTTCTAGTTAATGGTGATATTCAGTCAAAATTGTCCCTAAATGATACTGAAAATTTTATTCGAAAAATGAAATAAAATAGGAACACCTGAAATGGGCATTTGGAGACATTTATAGAACGTAACTCTCTTACCTATACAGGGTGTTCCTTAATGATATGTGAATATTTAAGGGTGTGAATCTACATGAAAAATTAATGTTAGTTTGATTTATAAACTATGGTTCAAAAATGTTTCCTTACAAAAACTGGGGGTGTTGAAGTTTTAGGAAAAAAATGGAAATTAATATTTTCAGTACCGCTTCAGGTATTTCACTGATATTTAGTACGTAGTGAAAGTAAATAAAGTTGCATATTTTTCAATGCAAAAATAATTTTTAGCTTTAACAGTGGCGTGCGTACGGGTATTGACTTGAATTAAACACATTAGGGGTAATGAACAACAACAACTGACAACATAAACATAACATTAAAACCAACGAAATGATTCAAAAATTGTTGAAAATGGCCCCCTTCACATAGTATGCATGCTTTTGCCCTCCTTATGGAATTGCGCACGCGTTGAAATATCCCTGGAGTGTTTTTTATTCCAGCACAAGCTGCAACTATTCTTTCTCTTAATTCCTCTACAGTGTTAAAGGGACTTGTCTACACTAGTATCTTAACGGCGCTCTCACAGTCAAGCAGAGTTTCTGAGGGGCATCGGGGGGGTGATAGGGAAACTCTAGTAGGACGGCGTTGTGACAAGGCAAGCGCTCTACGTTAGAAAAGGATAGTAATACGCAGAGGTGTGCTGTTCGCGTGCCTTGTTGAATTTGCATATTGCACAGAGTCGGATTTGATTTGGATATACGATCTAGCGTACGACTGTTTCCCTATTTTGGCGCATAGTATACTCAGCCCTCATTACTCTTATTACCGTTATTGTATTGTTGTATTATCGTTTTGTTATTGTTATGTTGTTATTGTTGTGTTGTTATTGTTGAGTGTCTTTCTTATCAAGGCATCAAAAATGAACAATAAGAGAAATAAACGTGGCGTCTCGAAGAAGCCGCATTTAAATACGCACAGGAAAAAAAAAACGTTTTCCAGATAGAAAGGTAGGTACCAAAACAATTATGAATTTTAGCATTAATTTTGCCAATAAATTAGACTATACGTAGTTACTATTATAACTATATTTTATATGTTATTTTAGCTTAAAAATGACAGCAAGGTTTCGCATATGATTTCTCTAACAGAGACAGATGGCATGGATCTTCAAATTCAGGTGTGTATACCCTTTTTTTAGATTTGCACCAGAGGCTGATATCATTTCTGGCAATTCTGATTAAAAATGCAGTAAGTTTACTTCATGACGTCGATAATAGTATTGTAGAGCAGTTTAACTCAATCATAGCTAAATTCATTCACGGATTAATTATTGCAAGAAGAGATCCTACCAAGGAAGATGTGTTGCAGCCGTAGTGAGCCACAATACACAGCGACCTGTTTGTGTGATCCAAAAGCGGCTACTCCCTAGTTTCAGTCCAACCTCTTTGATTGCTAAAGTTGAAGAAAGGAGAGCGCACAAAAATCTGAAAAGGAAGCTGAAACCAAGGAAAATTAAAATCAGAGATACTGATACTAAAGAGAATGCATCCTATGGGGAATTCTGTGGGTAGCCTGACATGAGCAACGAAGATATAGAGGCTGCCAAGGTAGAATTCTTGAAAAAACTTGCAAAAACCGACTCCAAAATTTCCCAGATCGAGCAAGCCACAAAATCTCAGGATTGCAATTTGTGGCGTCTTCATCGAAGAATGAGGTTGACTGCGTCTCGGTTTGGTGAGGTTTGTAGAAGAAGATATACAACAAGTTGCAGAGCTCTAGTAAACGCCATAATATACCCAACCGAATTCTTTAGCAATGCATGTGACTATGGAAAAAAGCATGAAAGCGTGGCAAAGGCAAAAATGGAGAAATCATATTCGCAATCAGAAGTACAATCTTGCGGGTTGTTTATTGATAGGACCCATCCATTTCTGGTAGCATCGCCAGATGGTTTGATAGGCGAAAAAGGTCTGCTAGAAATTAAATGTCCACGGTCGGCTAGAGAAATGACCCCTGAAGAGGGCATTCTGAACAAAAAAATTACGTTTTGGATAAACGATGAAATAAATAGAAAACATAAGTGGTATTACCAAATTCAAGGGCAGCTACACGTTGCACAAAGAGAGTACTGTGTGCTTGGTGTTTGGACCCCGTATGGTTTGAAAATAGACGGCATTCAAAAGGATGACGTTTTCTGGAAAAATGAAATGGAAGAGAAATTGAAATTCTTCTACATGAACTGCTTGCTCCCAGAACTGGTCGATCCCAGGAAAAGCAGAAATATGCCAATCCGCGATCCCGATGTGATCTTGAAGGCACAAGAGAACCGTTTGAACAAGAAAAAGAGTTCTTGAGAATTGGCTATTTTTGCTGTACTCGGGTACCAAAATGGAAGAGATTAGCATATTACATTGTACGCCGTTACTAACCCCTTCGTGTCGGCAAATGCGGTGTGCAGATCTCGGTTTAGCAGCGATGTGCGAGATGTTATGCTAATCTCTTCCATTTTGGTACTAGTACTAGATGTTCACTATTTATTGTAAATTATGTATATGTTGTTTATTTAAATAAAAGTCAATCGTCAGGCTCAATAGCACGTAGCATGGGCTAGCTTTATCTAGTCTGTTAGATGGCGAATATTGAAATGTCACATTGACACGTTAAGCGCCACAGTAGAATCTGAAAATCCAGTCCACTGGGCCAAACTGTTATTATTGTCAAATTAGCTTGTTTTAAGTTTCGGTTTAATATATTGACTTGACTTTTTTCTCAAATCCTATGATTTTTCCCCTTTTTTGATTTTTTTTCTGAGGTACTAGTTATATGTCGCGTGGCCCACAGACCAGTCGGGTCGCGTGGCACATAAGTCGCGTCGCGTTTTTTGCAAGTCAAGACTTGCTTCATGTCGCGCATTGAGCACTGTTTCCTGTCATTTATTATTGAAGCGTTGTTGGTATTGTACGTCATCTTGTCCAAATTGCTTTACTGTTTATAAATTATTGAATACCAAATTTGTGATGTCGCATTACGAAGCGGAGCAAAAAAGGCTTGAACAATTGTGTAATGAAATACTATCGGATGAAGAGAGTGACAGTACTGAGTTATGTGGGGATGTATACTTATCTGATGCGTATTCTCCAAGTGGTAGTGAATCAGATAGTAGTTGTAGTAATTCTATGTTTATCTGTATTACTGTTTATTTATACCGGTATTTTGTTTATTCCTGCATAAGACTTTGTCAATCTGTTTAGTTTATAAGAGTTCCTCCATATTTGTGTTCGTTAGAATATCGACATTTACCATAACTTACTGATTTGCTGTGAAATTACTTTGTTCATTTTTGAATGAGAATGTCTGACTATTTTATAAGATTTGCTTTTTGTTTTAGATTTGTAGAATATCCTCTTTTTGTAAAACTCTATAAACAACGTGTTTTTTAATGTTTTCATTTCCAATTCAGTATAATTTGGTCCCTCAGGCCACGGACTCTTGGTTCCCGTAAGAAAATCACATCAGCATGACACACGTCTTACGTTACGCGGCCAAATATAACTGCCAGCAGTGAGACATATAATGTGTGTCACGAGGCCCAAAGCGCCAAATGAGGTGCGACACACGCATTATATCTCATGACGCTTATCGTGTTAACCCGTAACCACAGACGCGGAGTCAATTTGACTCCTTGCAAGTACGTGGTGGGAAATTTCTCGTTTTCTCCCCACTCTATCTGACCAGGCGTAGACGTACCTTTTCATCGAGTAGTATTGAACTAGCGCTGAGACGGTTGCGTTGTTTGTGTACATTATTTACATTTCATTACGACTTGTATTTTCGGCGGAGTCAAAAAGACTACAGGTCTGTGACAATGTTATATTTTTGTTACTATATTTCATGAATCTGTTCGATTAATTTTAGGTTTTTATGATGGATTTTGATAGCACAGCTGGTCCGTCAAAGAGAGTTAGATATGGGGATCCGGACTTCGAAGAAACTTTGCTGAAATGGGCGGATGAGGTCGATGAAGACGACAGTGATATTGATTCAGATGCCGAATTCATTTACAGTGATCATGAGAGCTTATCGGAACAAGATATGGACGCAGATTGTGAAAGACTTTCTACTGAAGACGATGAGACATCGATCGGCGCTTCTACAGGAAACTATTTCTATGGAAAAAACCGTTTCAAATGGTCCAAAGTATATATTCTAAAAATACACGTACTTTGCAACACAATATTGTAATCAAGTGTCCGGGTGTAAAAAGTATAAATCTTCACAAAGCCGATCCAGAAGAGGTTTGGAATCTTTTCTTTGATGACCGCCAAATTCAGATTATTCTTCAGTACTCCAATTTACGTATGGCAAAATTGAGAGAAAAGTATAAAAACAAAAACTCAAGTGATACTCGTGACTTAGATGTTATTGAGCTGAAGGCTTTTATTGGACTGCTTATGCTTACAGCTATCTTTAAATCTAATCACGAAGACATTCGTTCAATTTTTGCGACGGATGGATCGGGTAGAGATATATTCAGATGTGTGATGAATTCAAATCGTTTTGCTATTATTCCTGTATGCTTACGATTCGATGACCCAGAAACTAGACTCGAACGTAAAAAGAATGACCCATTAGCTCCAATCTCTGAGATATTCAATGCTTTGATTAAAAATTGCTAAAGCGCTTACACTCTAGGTACAAATATGTGTATAGATGAAATGTTAGTTTCATTTAGAGGACGCTCAAAATTTAAAATGTACATGCCAGCAAAGCCTTGTAAATATGGATTAAAAGTTATGGCTTTGACTGACGCTAGAACTGGATATCTATATAATGCATATATTTATTATGGCAAAGACTCGGATGGTTTCGACTTGTCTGATACTGAAAAACTATATTCCAAGCCCATTATTCGACGGGTCGAAGAACGCGGCGTTGGCCAATGACACTTTTTTATAGAATGCTGGATATTTCCACTGTCAACTCTTTTTTGGTTCATCAGTCATGCCGAGATGATGTCGAAATGAAACGTTTCAATTTCAATAAACATCTTGCAATGCTGCTAGTGGAACCAGAAATGAGACGTCGTTTTCAAAATATGCGCATTAGTCGGGAAGTCAGAATGTGTATTGGTCGGGTTTTAAAAATAGAAGACCATACTGCTAACCAGGAAGAAAAATTTGAGGTCAGAAAATATTGCAAACCCTGTCCAGCTAAAAAAAGACGAAACACAGCACACTCCTGCATAATTTGTAAAATCCCAATATGTATGGATTGCACTAGAAGGGTTTGCGTGGACTGTGCAAAATGAAAAAATAGCTTGGTAAAACCTACTGCACGTTTCGAGAATATTACTTTCACGTTTATTTATGATCATTGTAAGCATTTTGTTTTACGTTTTTAACGAGTTTTGTATGAAAAGTACTTCGCATTTCATTTTTTTTATCCTAAAAAGGTACCAAAGATGTTATTGTAAATATTCACGAAAATTGTGTGCAATAAATATATTTCTTCAAAACTTGGTTGCTTTTTACTGACGAAAATTGTTATTAAAAACAATATTAAAACAATTCTATTTAAGTAATATAAGATAGAGGTAAACTTGTTTTTATTTTTCAAATAGGCTTTCCATGGGTTCCTATATAGGAGTCATTTTGACACCACGTCTGTGGTAATGTTCAATTGATTAGACGTCTGTGGTTACGGGTTAAGCTTATTTTACGATACTCCATAAGGTTAAAGCTAAACAGCAAGTGACATTTTATTTGTGTTAAATGCGTTCACTATAATTATTATTTTTAACTAAAAAGATTACCGCCTCCAATGACCCTGGAACCACCTGGAAACTTTTGGTCACAAAGTTCTGTATTTTACCACACATGTCAAGTCTTTTCATTTGATATGTAAATTGGGGGTTTTGTACAAAAATATGTAACTCGCGATTTCGAAACGGCGGCAATCTTGGAATCAAATTTTTAGTGAAGTACTGTATTGTACAAGGCGACGACTCTTATTTGAGATATTAGCAAGTATGTTATCCGCCATTTTGTAACGGCCGCCATCTTGATTTGAAACTGTTTTCGTATTACTGTTTTGTACAAGTGCTTCCATTTGATATCCATATTGGGGTGATTGAACAAAAATGATTTTTTGTGGTATCACCTCTGAAGCATGGCCTATTGTATAAAAAGAAATGATCAAAATCGATTAAAAATGTCCCCTCTTTCATTGAAGTCTATTAAAAGTATCACTTACTGGTCCGATGTTTATCTCGAACGACCGACGTTAAAACTGCTACTGTTTAACTTGGGACAACAAATTATCTGAATACGTCCTTTCTTAGTCCGTACACACCGCCGCGTTGCTTCGACTGGCAGCACGAGATAGTGGATAAAATTCGTGTAAAAGCCTAATTGCAGAGGTTTTCGCGCTTCAAAATTGACCCTTCATTTTTGAATATTTTTCAATGAAATTTTCACAGTGCACTAAAAACAAGACTCCACAGGGTGCTATAGAGCCACTTTTTCGTTTTTTCCTCTGGGTTATTTTTAAAAAAATCCAGAAGTCGAACAACAATTATGCTGCACTTCCACCCACCATAACTCCTGAAAAAAAATTTTTTTTAGAAAAGTGGCTCTATAGCACCCTGGACAATTGTCTTCTGAAACTACTGTATAAATTTTATTCAAATATATAGAAAAATGGAGCGTCAATTCCGAAGCAGCTAAACCCTTGTAAATGGCCTGAAACTCACTGCGTCGGAGCCGCCTTAAGATAGCCCCACAAAAAGAAATCTAAACTGTTAAGGTCTGAAATGCGCTGGTGCACCATCATGCATGTACGACATATTGTTTCTTATTACTAACGGAACATCAAGCAGCAAAAGCAACAGTTGTTGAAGAAAATTGAGGTAAGTCTGTCCGTCAAGTCGTCCCGGCAAGAAGAATGGGCCAATAAAGTGGTTGCCAATAATTCCTGGCCTTACGTTAACCGAAAATTGGTGTTGGAAATGGGTTTCGGTTACGGCATAGGGATTTTCTTCTGCCCAGAACTGATTATTGCGGAAATTCTGAATCGCATTTCGAGAAAAATGAGCTTCGTCGTGAACAGAATCGTTGATTCAAATTGCGGATTTTGTGTAATTCTTTGAAGATACCACTGACAAATGGTCACACGCTTTGGAAAATCAATGGGAAGTAATGCTTGTAGCCTTAAAATATGGTGAGGATATAACAAAAAATCCACTAAGATTCTCCAAACAATTTGATGGTAAATATTTAAGTGTCTAGCGATCTTCGTACTCGTTTCAGGTTGTGCTTCAACTTCGTGCAGCACTGCTTCCTCAATTTCAGGTGTTCTCTCACTTAGAGGTCTACCTTCAGATATTCCTTTTCGGACAGAACCAGTTTCAACAAGACTACGATGAATATTAGAAAAGGTTCGAGTATCTGGCAAAGCACGATCCGGACATCTCTTGTGATAAATCCGTCTGGCTTGCTCACCACTACCGTCGGAAAGGCCATGTAATACATTTCCGCCATTTCTGCATTTGAATAATTCACCATTATTAACAAGATTGTAAAAACTAAATAATGAAAAAGATGTCATAGCTAACAGATTTGAATAACAGAGACTTGTCAGATGTCAAAAGCCAGTGACATATTCCAGAGCAACTAGATATTTATTGCTACATTGCATTCTTCAATTATTACATTAATTTTCTCGGACAATAGAACGGTTTTTATTTTTTTACTTAAAAATGGCGCATCGAAGGAAAACAATTCAAGAGCGATCATTTGTTTTAAATTGAACGGGGAATTCAAATATAATTTTTATTTGGCAAAAAACCATTGGCGTACCATTTTTTTCATAAAAAATAGCGAAGTCAATACCCGTACGCACGCCACTGTTAAAGCTAAAAATTATTTTTGCAATGAAAATTATGCTACTTTATTTACTTTCACTACGTACTAAATATCAGTGAAATACCTGAAGCGGTACTGAAAATATTAATTTCCATTTTTTTCCTAAAACTTCAACAGTCCGAGTTTTTGTAAGGAAATATTTTTGCAAGATAGTTTATAAAGCCAACTAACATTTATTTTTCATGTAGATTCACACCCTTAAATATTCGCATATCATTAAGGAACACCCTGTATATCCCGATAATATACATACAAACATGATATTTTTCAAAATCGTGTGCAAATAAAATTCCGAAATACCCTACTGGGACAGTTTACAATAATCTATACGACATACCCGTGCTATCCAAACTGAGATTGCTTCCATGCCTGGAGACCGGTTTGCTTCCCGGCCTGCTGCCCTGTCTCGATTGCGGCCTGGAGTTGCTCCTGGATCCTCCCGGCGTCAAGGTCGATCTGTAACTGGACGAGGGCCTTCTGGGAGTCCTGAAGGTACCTCCGCCACTCTCGTTGTCTGAAAGGGAGTCTGGCGTTCCAGCGCTTAAAGATGACTTGGAAGCGCGGGGCAGTCCGCCCATTGGCACGGAGCGTTGGGAGCGTTCTCTCACCTAGAATGCGAGGGAGACGAAGGTTAGTGGGTGGTTGAGAGTCAGGGAATTTCAGAGGTGTAAATGTCATAGCCAGATTGAGATAATCATTGAATTGAATCGATATTTAGCTGGAGCTACACGTGTTTGACACACCTCATAAGCAGTGCTCTTAATAAGCTTGCTTTCAACATCACTCACATCACAAATATAGTATCAGCTTAAAGTCAGTTTTAATTCATTTAGAAAAATAAAAATTACTGAGCAGCACATAAATATTTGTATCGTTATTGAAACGTTGTAGTCGAGCTTATCCAGCAAGATCAATATGGCCTTCAGAAAAGAATACCTATTTGTGCAAAAACCTATGACGCACAACTTTACAAATCAATCTGGTAATGACATAACGTAGCATCATTTAGGCAGAATTAACTTTTGAGTATATTTGTATTTTTGAAATGCTACTTCAATTGATATTATAATAATATTGTGAAAATCTTCAAACTGGATCAAAATAAGTAATGTACGTCGTTAAATTATCATATAGAGATTTTTACAAAAAATGCTAATTCTACCGTCAGTAGTGTGATGAACATCTTGTTAAACCACTAACCTAATAACAACAAGCTGAAAGTTAGATATACTTTGGCAATGTTTGTATCAAGAAATGCAAGATGTAATATTTCTGCTAAAAGTTTTCTAACTTCCATTCAACAACACAACTACACTACCACGAAACAATTAGTAACAGTTGCTTATTGCTATTTCTAGCAATAAACTAACTGAATTTCGATAGAAGAGCTACGATATTTCGCAGTACCACCATAGAATTATAAAATGTTGATAATCAGATTTGTAACAATCTAAAAAAAAAACAAAAAATAAATTAGTACAAAAGTAATTCAAATTAATAGATGAATGTGCTGTTGTTATAGAAGCAGTTTAACTTTATGGAGTAGTACAGTGGGGTCGGCAGAAACGGTCAAAGGTGGCCTAGTTGCCAGGCTTCACCATCTTACCACTACTTGAACTGTCATTACCTTTATTTCCATTGGAAGTTAGAATTTATAAAATTACACAGTCGAATTACTGTATTATCGGAATATTTTGTCTCCAATACTAAAATTATGGCCTCAAGTTTTTCCTTTGTTGAGCTGTTCCATATCAAGCTCTTCTGACGAAATATATAACATAATACACAACACTTTTTGGTAGATACTTACCAGCACAGTGCTTACCTGGTCTGGAGAAGTCAATACGATCTTTAAAAATTCAATTTTCAATCAATAACATTGACTTTATACTATTACTTTATATTTTTAAGCAACTTATTCAAAGTTCTTTTGACAATCAGGATAACTCCAATTGTCGACAAAGTAAATCTAAAACTAAAATTTGAGCAATTTCTGAACGTTACTAACCTGAGCAATACCTACCATTGGCAACTGTGATAAATACAAAAGCTTATGATGATCCTTCTCTGGCCCAATAACAGCAACTAGAGAACCGAATTTTTGAAAATTGGTATCAATTCTAACAATGATAGGATGGGATATAAGGAACTCAAATCAGGATAGTGTTGTGTAGTGGGTGAAATAAAATTTAAAATACATGCATCGAGAAAAGCTAGTCGTCTCGTATTTTAAAGTGTATGGTTGAGAGGCATTCATATGATCCGAAAAATATGGTTGTGGGAGGGAAACCTTGTAAGATGAGAATGTGCAATATGTATCATTAACTTCCACCCAGAATGAAGACACAACGTACTTCTACGCAGGCTTTCGGGATCGACTTTTTTTGTTTCTGAATTACTGATGAGAAATCATACTACTGAATATTTGATATTACATATCTTCTATTCCTAACGGATCGATTCAACATTTCATATATGACTGAATAACAAGGCTATATGTAGAATTCATATAAAAGTATATCGATAGTTATCAAAGTCAGAAAAATCTGTTTAACACAAAAAACTTCCACCTTGTTACTTGAAGGATTATTACTCGTAATCACTACATTATCAGTAATAATCGAAAGTGATATTGCATATGGACAAACACAACATAGGCAACAATATAAAAACAGCAAATTAGCAAAACGTTAAGAGTCAGCCAATGCAATAAGCAGCGTGTTTCAAACCAAACACCTGTTGATCACAGTTGTGCTGCAATAAGAGTACACTGTTCTGTCCACAATTAGTTATGTCAGATTTTTTTTTTGGTATAGTGTGCTACTAGTTTCAAAGATTAGTACTAATATCATTGTCAGAACATAAAGAAAGTAAAACTTGGCAAGAACATATAGACAAATAAAAATATCGTTATAGTGACTATTTCACTATTAACAATTTGTGATATTAAATGCCAATCAATCAACATTTTTAAATACCTGTGATTGCTATCTAGTCTAAAAACTAAACCATACAAAACCGAAACAAAACATAAACAGAAAACCACACCACGAGGTGTAAAGAGCGAAACCCCTAGCTACAAAAAACTTCAGTATAATCGGCTCTGGTATCAAAAATATTTATTTATAACACATTTTCAGATAATTTCATACCGTGTAGATGTCCACTAGATACGTCAAAATAGTTGTATTCTCATTAATTATCTATAGCAAACAGTAGTGCACTAACGTTTAAATTGACCCAAACTAAGAAGTAGCACGTAAATGCTACCACATTTATTGTTCTGTCCTTTACTGATATTCCATATCATAGCTCAGGTACTAATTCATAATCGCAATTATACGAGGGCATATTTTATTAAGGCTTTGGATATTTAGATGCTTGACCTTAATAACGAAGGCAGCAAATTTTAAAGACAGCTTTACTCCGCAGCATTTTTTTATGTTGGTTCCAAATACTAATTTCTTAGTGCTAATCATACATTTTACAAGAATACTAAAAGGTTCTTTTGGTCACGATTTATAAAAATTCCTGAAACTTTTCTATTTTTAACACATTATATATTGACACATGTTTTTGGGAAGTTTAATTGGAAACAACCGTTTTGTTTGAAAAAACGATCATGTGATTCTAGAGGGGAATTGATACGTTATCTCAGAATGTAAGAGAAAATTAATCGTCTTGTATTTAAGATATTTGTCTTGAAACTTGGGTTAAGTGGAAGAACAGATGTTACTGTGTCACTAAATGTAAGTTTATTTGTTGATGTTTGGCGAATAAAGACGTTTTTTATTATTATTATTATTACTATAAATAAATAGCTTTTGCCTTAACATTCGAGCGTTCGTTATGGAAGGGGTATTACGTAAAAAATCGACACTATGTCAACTTATGTACTAGCTAGCCGCGAATTCTCTGTGAACGCCACCTTTGGACAAATGCATCAACAATATACGAGTATAGTATAGAATTTACAGCTTAAGCCATAGAAGCTATGAATGGCCTACAGTAGTGCTATCTCTGAAGCCGATTTTAAATACATCACAACAGAGCCAAACCATATATATATGTCAAATGACGTTTAGGCAACACGGATAGCTAGTACAAGTAAACATGAAGTAAATGAGAGCTAGTTTCAACCTACATAAAGTCATAAAAATCGATATAACGTGACTTTTATGCTACGTAATACACTCCAATTTCGTTGCTACCAGGCGTGTTGTATCTAGCGGCATGGTTGACTATAAAGATGCAATAACAGAAATCTGACGTGACAATATAAGTTGACAACCAGAGCCAATTTTACCTGTCCGCTTGCAGCTACGAGCAAATAGAATTTGCGCGTGTCTCTCATTACCATATAGCAGGTATTTGGGTTGACGTGATGTGTGTGCAGATGAATGGGTCCAGAGGCATGCGAGCCCACGTGCAACGGGTACGCGTTTCCGCATTCACCACGCGCCCTAATCTCGTTGAAGATCGGCATCAGCTCAGCCATGTGCTCATCCGCTACAATCCAATAACCAACCCGTGTAGTTATAGTACCAAGATAGTACCAGAGAAAGTAAGGTGATGCGTGCGTGTAAGGATGTATTTTGAGTGCTTGATGGTGACACCTTCTGGTCAATACATTCCTTAGACTGTTTTTCTTTTATACTTCATAATAAAATGTTACATCTGTTTTTGACATGATCATGAAATGGGCATTCGTTTATGTAGATTAGCTACATTATTTCGCAATTTTTTTTCAATAATTTGTGAAATATGCCAATATTGCTAGCAGGGGCATTTAAAAGGTAGTGTTGAAGCATCGTGGTAAATAGTATATATATTTATAAGCGACCTTAAGTTAGAACACGCAAGTGATCATAAGCAATATTCAAGTTTATAAATGAATATCCCAGAACCAATCTGACTTCTCGCAATTGATTCTAGTGATTTGAAAATGCAATGCGATTGGCAACAGATAGTTCAGAACAGTTCTGGGATCGTTGCCTCTAAAAACTCGAATGAAGTTACAGCGTGTGGCACGGGAAAACCTGTCAAATTGGTTTTCAGAGTGGTTGTCACAGTCGTCAGTCTACTTACGTATTCCTTCTGACACGTAAAGATCATATTTACTTGGTCGGCAGTTTCTCTTCAGTAAACGTAATGTTTTAATTATACGTCTAAGGAATGCAATGACTTTTGTGAAAAAACAGTTTGATGTCATTTATGATGTGCAGCTCAGAGTGCCTATGTGCACGACTGTGCAGTCAACATTGTATGTATTGTAGTTTGGGAATTGGGTAAAAAATATGGAAATATACGTACGACGCAGTGGAACAGATTAAAAAAGCCTGCTTCGGTTTGGCGACAAGGTTTTTCTATTTTTAAGTTATGTATTTGGTGAATGAATAATCTAAATCATGTTAAAGGCAATGCAGCATTACTTTTTAGATCTATTGCACTACAACGTATTTTTATAAACTAACGAATATAAAAAGAATCGTAGTCGGTATTTGACTACGATGTAAACATTACAGAGGCCCTCAATGGCAAAATCGTTCAAATCATAAAAAAGGAATAAGTTTCCTTGGTAAGGAAAAGAAAATAAGGACACAGATTTGATGTAGAAAAAATCCGTAATGCTAGTGACGAGTAATTCTATGAACATGATCTGTCTTTATTTCTTTTTCCTTTTCTATAGCCCGCCATATACCAAAACTACAAGAATCTAATGACCCGATTATTGAATAAAATTGTTCTAAATTGTAGTTGAACTACTTAAAGATTAAGATTTGTATTTAAAAATCACATTTATGCTGAGCAGCGATTATGAAAAACAGCAGGATGATACAGCAACATTGATAAATAATGATTGGGTGAACGAATGAAGACGGAAACCAAAACACAAAAAATGTAAAATGACTATCCACTAACAAATTCATGTATTTTCAATGTATTAAAAAATAATATAACCTTCTGAGAAGCACAAATTCTGCTTCGCACACAGCATATACATTTGATCTTTATTTGTTTACCACTATAACACCACAATTTAATTTCAGAAATATTCTCAACGTCAGACTTCTCCATCATAGGAGTAGAATCTTTATACTAAAGTTTTTCAGTTTCTATAATCTTGATAGATGAAACATAAATTCGGAAAAGCCTCAAATACCACACTACTGAGAATATCTCTTGGATGAAATAGCTGAATTTTAAAGTGGCAACAAAAACTTAAGCCTTTTGCATATGCAGTAATAGTTGATAGAGAAATGAGATAGAATATATTGTACTTACCTCCGATAAGCAAAAAGTGCAACAGCCGAGTGCTAAAAACATGCAGTGCTCTTACCTATTCCCGAGTGTATGTACACGTGGAGATTTGGCAACAATTACAGGGTCGACATTCAGCATTCATACAGCACCGCAAAGATTGTTTTCAAGACCAAATTGTTGACACACCGTTTGGTCAGTAAAAATAACCTTATTGGGGCTTAGTAAGGGCAACGGATCAACAACTCAAAAACACAGAACTTATTGACAGAGAATATTAATGGTGTTCATAACCCTTGGAAAAAAATTTAATTCATACGAATTCTCAACACTGGATCTATTGCTTCTATATATGATGTGTTTATAAGCAATTTCAGAACCATAACAGACATATTCCAAAATAGTTATATTACACATCAAACTTCAACAGTTCTATAAATTTCATTAGCGAAGCTTATCATTTTATCTTGTTGATCAAGCTCCCCCTTCACGCATACCCATCCATTTTCTCTTCCAAGGGTGCAAAGGTACCAGAAATACTTCCAAGCACTATCACAGTCGGTATTAAAGTAACGTCAGAGGTCCAAAATTACAGTAAACTTCCATCGACTTTAAGCTCAAAGAGAAGTCTGCATCAGATTAATACGTTGAACGAGTTTTCCCATTTCTTAGTTTTCACTAACTAAATGCCTCACTCTAAATTCAAACAGTCCGTAATAGTTTTGAAGTCTTCATATTCAATTTCAAATTGGATAACAATTTCATAACCACAGTCGCTCACAATTATTTCGTTCGAAATCAGATTATATCAATTCTTGACCAAATAAATCAGACAGTCAAAAAAACTTATTACTATTATTATAAGATACTGCATATTGCAGACCAATACAAGTTTCTGCCACTTTTGCTAACGAATGCAATTAGCAGTGCATGCAACTGTAGGTTAAAAGTCTCAATATTGTTACAAATACGTCAAACTTTTCTCTCTCTTGGATTTCCAAACTTGAAAGTGATTCACTATGGACTAACGTCTATACGTTATTTTTCACCGTGTACCGTATTGTAATGCCCAAAGCTGTATCCAGATTCCACATAATTTGCATCCAATAAGGAAAGATAAACATTTTGTGGCGCATGAGATCCCAGACTACAGTTTCTTTTTTAATACGAAGATTATGTTGCAGATCTCAAAAATCTCGATTGAAATATTGTAAGACGTTAAAAAGTTGACAACTGAATGAACTTACTTTGGAATAAAAAATTGTAAAATAAGGCGATATATATTGAAACAATGTTTTTACTATTTTTGTTTGAAAGGTACCTCAATCGTGAGAGTTCTTAGCTATGATACCACAAAATATGTTCAATAGTTACGGACGTCCTAGCTACCTGATCAATAAATATAACATTAAATGATACTGATGGATGACAGTAAATACTGATCGTGTCACATTGTTTTAAGAGTTACTTGCAATGATTATAACACAGAACGTTACAAAAAACAGTGTTTCTTGCAATTTATCCAATTTCCTATTTTCAAATGAATCTCCGGTATCTCCAAGACTGCGTATATAAATATTCTTGATATATTTGCTGAAAAGCGAATATTTGCGCGGTAATGAATTATAAGCATGTGCTATTTGCGTGAATATAGATATTGTAAGGTCCTTGTATATCTGGAAATCTTTGTACCAGCGACAGATACCCTCAATGAACATCGGAAAATTCGACAGGTGGGATTGATGCTTAGCCAACCAGAATTACGGAACCATATATGAAGCGTAGTCGCATCTGGAAATCAATCTGCTGCCATTTACTCCCATGTAAGTTCGCAAGTACGCTAGAATGTTTCTCGACTCATCAATAGAGGAATAAATACCCGACCAGATAGCGGAAGCAGTCAGTCACAGTCGAGTCTACAGACACAGTCGAACTAGTGGACAGTGAAAGTGGAATTGAGTCAGAATAATAGTCCAGTCGACATAGTAATACATTTGTTAAACATTAGCTGCAAGGTTATTAAAACACTTGTGTTTTCATCACAATATATAAATTACTCATACTGCTTGTTGCTTAACGAACAGAGACTAATATTACATGCGATACTCAAAAATGACAGCTGCAGAAAATTTCTTTACTTCAAATAACGTCCTAGAAGGCATAGCAACTACTCAGTACGAGTGTTTGAAACTTCGATCTAAATTGTTCCGACTGTGATCAATGAAGTATCTTAGGTACACTTCCGCCCTACCACATTCCTTCCTCTGATCCCAGGATATACCTTGGTGATTGGCCCCTGTTGCGGTGTGCGAGGGGATGAGCCTGCAGACGTCTTCGGCTTGAACGCAGTCATGGTCTGAGACACTCCGTCGGCGAGGATGAATTGCTCGCGCAGCTCGATGTTCGTGCGTCCCTTGGCTGCGTTTGGTGTAGTTGGTGAGAGGTGCCGAGTGGTGAGGATATGGTGGTTGGTGTAGGTGTAGGGGTGAAAGGTGACGGAAGAAAGGAGAAAGAAAAACAAAACGTAATAAGCGACAACGTGTCTCACTGCCTGCGCGATAGCAGGCCGCTCTCGTTGGGTTCGGTACAGCCGGTGGCGTGGCATTTGAGAGCGGTCTCTGAACATATTTACGTGGAAACAGTAGGTCACATGAAATGTTTTCCCAAATGATTCTAATTCGAATATAATACCTACTTATCACCGTATGATGAAGCTATTTTCTTAAATTGTAATGAATATTTCATAATGTTATACTTTTGACAGTTGCTTCGCAATAAGCCAGCAAGTGCATAAATATTTAGGGTCAGAGTGATTAAGATCTTATTTCATACTCTCCTAATTATCCACTAAAATATTTCAATGTGCTATTTATTATATATCAGTTCTTTGTATTTGAGCCTATATTTTCAAGCACTCAAAAACAATAAACAAAGCATTATAGTATGGAAAATACTTAGACTACGACACGTAAAACAAAGCAGTTCCTGACACTCACCAGTGAAGTGAGCTATGCCCTTGTTGTCATAATTATTGATAACCTTGGGACTACTAATATCAAAATCGCAAATAATCAATTCACATACACCCTGGATCTTAATTTTCCAGTTCTAAAAGGGTTTCAAATCAGTTGTGATCGCCATCTAAGACCGTCTGTTTTTAGATTAATTAAAAAGGTATGCTCAGAGACCGCTATAGTTAAGAAAAAAGGAGACTCATTATAAAAAAAACTTATATTTGTCGTCTAGAGCGTAGACGGTGGACTTACTGAAATTGCCTGAAGATAGGCCATTGTGAAACTTCGCACAATCATAAAAATTGATCGAATGGTATTTGTTTACTGGTCACATTTATTTTGGGACTCTTCAAACATTATGCAGGTTTTTATCAAACTTATTCAGATTTTCCTAGCAACCGTATACCATTTTGTATTTACGGATGTTATGCAAAATCTTATCATAAAATTATTTCAAAACCATGTATCAAACAACACCCTATTTAGTGGAAAAGTAATATGGTCTCCTTTTTCCTTATACGGGTATGTTGCATTTACTAACTGCTTGTTTTTACTGGCCTGAAAATCCTATTTCTTCACTTGTCAAGGATTTTACTATCAATAAGTGAACTGACTGTGATATTCAAGGATATCAAAAGTGAACAAAAAAAGTGAAGTGGCCTTTAGTGTAACTGTTTTCGATGTACATGGAGTAGGTAAATATATGTTCATGTCCATTCTATGCTTCTAACAGTTAATGAATGCAACTGTTGAAACTTGTAACTCTGGTGCACAAATGCAACTGCTGTTCAAAAATATAGTTATTTCTCACTTTACTCACACTACCTACTGAAAAAATCACTACCACTCTCAAAACAAAACAAAAAACATGGTCGATTCGGTTTGATTATACTTGCTACAGTTACGAAGAATAAACAACATAAACCATGGAAAACGTCAACCATACGTTTGAAAGTTAGTTAACAGATCTGCAAAGTACTTCAAAACACATTGTAGCTAGATTTTTGAACAGCAGTAGAGCGTGCTACAAAATACAAAATAAAAAACAAATCATGTCAAAATAAAAAAGTGTGTGTACAAGTTGATTAGATCATGCTGTAAGTAACAAAAAGGAAAACAAAAACCTGTTAATCAAGGACGAAACCTCTCAACCGCTCATTTCCTGAACAATCATTATTAACTTGTTGGACATATTTTAACACAAGAAAGTAAAGCTACATTTCTATCAAACGATTACTTCAAATAAATATAAACGCTAACAGGCCTTGATATTCTGCCATCTTAGCCAATTTTCATTGGAAATTTTGAAGAAATGTTCAAACAACTGAACTTGACGAACAATAAATTGTAGATATATATCCAAAAATTGATCGTATGAAACTTGAATAAAACAATAATTAAACGTTACAGCTAAATTGGAATGCAATCCTATATTTATTTAATTTTTAATATTTAGCTTAAAGGCTAAGTCCATAATTCCTTGTATGCAACTGTTCGATGGTGCTGTTCGGTAAGAACGATCATTGCTGTTAAGCGTATTGGGTGTCAAACTTTTTAATTCTATCTTGCTAGTTCTACCTTATACGAAATTCAGTATTCACAATAACGACAGTTACGAACGGTCATTTAAAATTAGCTCGTTTGTTCTGTCTTGTTTATTTACTGGTTCTGAATAACTATTTCAACCGTGGCTAATATAAACTACAAAATAATCACTACGTTGATTAATGTAGCTTTAGGATTGAAAATATGGGTTGAGTAGGTTTCGGCGTGCATCGTTTCTTACCAAGAGGGCACCAAGCCTCGTGCTGTTCTGGTATATCAGGATGAGGTAGCGGTAAAACTAAGGTAACTATTATACGTATACCCGATCCAATGTACAAATGTAACGGAGATGTATGTGCATGTTTGGCAAATTAAATTACAACGCCAACAAAACGAGCGTTAAAATTAAAACATGAAAAGCGGAGAAATGAGGACATTTAAAGCGGACGACGAACGGCAAATCAATGATTAAATGTAACGAAAAGCAAATGGTAGGGATTGAATTATTTATTTTAGGGGGTGAGAGGGAAGAAAAAATAGCAATTAGTAGTTTGAGAACAATAAGCGACGTGTCGTTTTGAACAAACTGAAGCTTCACACAGAATACTCAGGTAAAAATTCACTAAACAACTTTTCTTCTATGCCAAATATTGTAAACCGAGCAGTATTACCAAAACGAGTTTAAATATATGTTTTCAATAAGTAAGCAAAATGAAAACAGTAAGGTGTGAAGCATATGAGGGAGCTTCAGTTTGTGCAAAATGTGGATATAAACATTAATATACAAATGAGATGTGTGATACGTTGAAGTATGCAGCTTTTAAAAAATACTTTACTCTGGCCTACGGGCCTACGTTCAGCACATTGATGTGAGTAGCAATATGATACTCGGTTTGGATATGTTTTGTTTTAAGCTGCTGTGCTGTATACTAATTAGTTTTTGGGACCTCTTCGGACTAGATTTCGTGTTTGTCGACACATTTTGGAGAAAATATTGTGCAATAAGTACTAATACATGTAGCTTACTTTAGAATCGAAAAATGACAAAAACATACATGAAATCTTCATGTATTGAACGAAACATAGTCTAAGAGTCCTTAATACGTTTTTTTTCTCTTGTAGATCAAGCTTTATAGTGCTTACTTCATCACTTTTGTGCTTTGAATTATGAAAATTACCCATAAAGAAAAAGATGGAGAAACTCAGTGGTTCCTCAATTAATTCACTCAATATCCTGCTCGTATTTAACGAAAATACGAAGTAGTTTTTGACTTGCATAGAACATCTATAGGACGTGCCGAGACAACATTACGACACACCTTATTAATATTTTAAACTTTAAACTGGCTTGCAGTACATTGCAAAAAAAAACTTATGTGCGAATGACTCATAACTCAATTCAATTATTAATTATTGGAAACAAATTATTATGTAGATCTGGAAATGTATTTAAATTGCTTGCACTACAATGGATTTTGGATAAAACCAAATAAAAGAAAGCAAATATTTACTGTGACCAATAACTTTGAAAATATATACACCTTGTTTTATAATCTTAGCTCAGCTTGAATAAATAATAAATAATATGTCGTCACTCTCTTGTGACCTTGTCTACTTCATGATTTCGTTTTGGCAAGATATAGATGAATGGATTATTTACTTCGGAACCATCTGAGGTGACTAAATGTCATATAAAGTGTATTAAGAAGCCCATTTAAAGTGATTTTCTCAAGGAAATGTATGTTAATTGATTAATACATGAATATTGTTAATGGAGATCATGTTTCCTGTTGTTAAAATGAGTTAACGCTAAGCAGGGATACCGGACGATTGATTAAATATTTATTATAGATTAAGTGTTTAAACGGTTTTTACTTGTTAAGTAATAGTCCCTGTTATATTGATTCCATGTTAGGTTTGTAATGTGTTTCTTGGTTTCATTAGTGTATTGTTGAAGCTTAGTGGAAGTATAATTTGGACGTAAAAGCAAACATTTTTCAATAAAATGTATTTTATTTACATACACAGGTCATAATTGTTTTTATGACACTCTTTTCCGTGACGGTCAAGACACCTGAGCATACAAATGTTCAGGTACCATCTATCCTCAAAAACTAAGGCATTACTTTTTAAGGACTGCCAATATTCTGAGAATCATTTAATTATGTTTTCAGATATATAGTCCAGTAAACAGTTTCCAATACGTACTTCCAATAAACAACCAACGATACTGGATACCCGTTTCGATTTTCTTTAACAAAATGTATCATGAGAAGAAGTTGATTTTGAAACTTACCTCTGCAAGGATCGTTCTTGAGCAGGAACTCGTCCAGTGCTACCCAACCACCTCCGACACGCACCATTACGGTACTGCGGAGGATACGGACAAGACGAAGTTTCTGGCTTTCACCAAACTGAAACAAGATAATTATTTGATAAAGCTCCTTCTGGTATTTTAAGTATATAGCTTATTTTGCCTAATTGGACGTAATGACAGCTAAAGCTCTAGTATCGCACATCTAAAGGACGTCTCAATAGGAACTTCAGAATTTGAATTTGGCACGATTTTTCAATGACTTAAAAAGTTTATATCGCTCTTGTATCATCTAGAGACAGAGGAATTTAATTAAGGATCCTTATACCGTACTAAAGAGTTAGCTTTCATTTTTTTCTTGGAAATGACGATGGTGGAACCGAAAGCCTTACCGGAAATATGGACCCTTCGTGACCCCATTAGATGCACCTCAACATATTCTTCCAGCAAAACAGAGCCATATGTTATACGGCAAGGGAAACATTGAAATAAGGAAGTTTTCGATTGCCTCTTTCGGAAATATCATCACTGTACTATTGTGAATCTCAAACATTTTATTTACTGGCCATAAGCAACTGGAAACAGGAAACTCACCCTGTACTTGCCCTCTCCGACCTGGAAGACCCTGAACTTCTGCCTGCAGGTACACAGCATCACCAGCCGTTTGACCTCATCGTGGATCTTCTGAGCATCGTTGTCCACAGGACGTTCTTCCCAATCAGGCCTCAAAGCGGCGATGAACTTCTTCCAGTCGATCAGACCACGGTTGTTCTCGTCGAACATGTCTGCTACATGCTTCATTTCCAACCGAGAGGTGTCGAATTCTGAAATAAAAGTTGGGAGTATGAATACCAAAGTATCGAGAAACATTGATATAGTTATGAAGTGGTTCCTGTAGTAGATTAGTTTAGAGTACGTTCACGTGGACGATACTCGATATATACAAGGTCTGTAAATTAAGGGATTTTTTTTATTCAAATATAATTACAATTTTATATTGAAACCCTCAAAATGACTTCATTTTGAAGCACAGCCTTCAGCTGATCAGCTGGTTTTCGACTGTCCCAAAATGAGTTCCCTTGAGGTGATTTCTCAACTTCGAGAAGAGAAAAAAGTCATAAGGACTCAAATCAGGCGAATAAGGAGGCTGAGGGGCCGCAGGAATGTTTTACTGGCCAAAAAGTCGGGTATTGACATTGCTGTGTGACAAGGAGCATTATCGTGATGCAACACCCAGGCCTTTCGCTTCGTGGTTCACCTTTAATTGACTCTCTCCTTGTTAAAAATGCCTTAAACCACCGAAAACTTGGGCTCTTCACAAAACACTATCTCTGTAGGCCTGTTTAGTAAGAGTTTCCGTTGTCAAGTCTGAAGCAAAACGTGTTAGCACATCGATGCTTGAAATTGATGTCACTCATCTTTAGAAACACAATAGAAAAAACTGTCTCACAAAAAAAATCGCTACGTACAAAGAACACTCGAGCGAGTTCAATCTTGTATTGAAGGCGAATCACATGTTGCCCGGAGTCTCCAGTGTTGCCAGATCGAACGCTACATTGCCTCATCACTTAATTTGCAAATCTCGTATCAGCTTCTATCAGCGCCACCTTCAACTAACGAGCCATGAACAGTAGATATGGCAACGCAGCTTTGGGGTCTTCCACAGACAGGTGTTTGCCGGGCTTTTCGTTTGTTTATATTCCTAACCTCCGACTTTTTGGTGCAATTTTGTTGTAAATCTCTGGGAACAGTGCAATTCATACAAACCAGAGTAATCTACTTAGTTTTGCTCTTCAAACCGTGCAGAAAGTATTTATTTTAGGTAGTATAAAATCGTGCTTTGATGTGTTTAAAATGTGTGTGAATCGGTGCTTGTTAGAAACGTCTGTATAGTGTGTAGATTCGAGTGGGTACATCTTTTCTTTTAATTAATATGCCTAAGCGTTGCTGTGTACCAGGCTGCAAGGGAAACTACGAGGCAGAATTGAGATCGACACCCTAAAGGTCAGTGTTTCGATTTCCAAAAAATGAGGAGTTGAAAAGTAAGTGGCTAGCTTCAATACCAAGAAAGGACTGGTCGCCTTCTAAAGATTCTGTTGTTTGTGATGCACATTTTCAACAAGCAGAAATTGTCCGTACGGAAACTTATGTTCTGCAGGATGGATCAGCTAACACAGTCACACTGAGTCGTCCAAAACTTTCAGAATTTGCTGTTCCATCAGTCTTTCCAAATGTGCCATCTTATCTAAGTAAGCGTCAAGTTTCTAGTAGAACAGATCCTGCCATCAGACAAGATAAGATCCTTCAAAGGCATGAGAATTTGGTTTCAGAATTTCAGGAAAAAGACAAAATTACAGGATTCTCAGATTTATTGGAAAACTATTCTAAAATGATTAAAATCCCTGAACATTGGTTGGTGAAGAAGACTAATGACAAAATTTATTTTTATAAATTAGAAACAATCAGTGAAATTTTAGTTTTGAATACGCAAATTATAATAGACAGTTCATTAGAAACTAAGGTATTTAATAAAGGGGATCCGCTCTCATGTAATGATTTGAAATGGGTGCTCCCATTTGACTTGAAGCTCTCTAGATGGTCTCAATTAGAAAACTTACTGAGTAGGTATAGTTTTTATTTTGATAATACAGAAACACTAGAAAATATAAATTTAGCCTATAGTCATATTCACAAAGGGATTGAGAATCTAGAACATGTTGTTAGAGTAATAAATCATGTGTCAGTACCTTTCCCTCATTTTAAAAATCTAGAAGTTTTAATTGACCAGCTCAAACAAATTCAAAATAAGAAAAATAGATATTCTTCACTCACAATTGTTATGGCATTTATATTCTATAATCAGTCTCCTGCTACCTACCATGTAATCAAAGATTTTTTAATTCTGCCTAGCAAAAGGTATTTGCAGCATATCTCTTCAAGTATGAACCTCACACCCAACAGTGACTCTAACAACCAACATTATTTGGCAAATATGGGATTGAATCTATCGGAAAGAGAAAAAATTGTAATTCTGCTAATTGATGAAATTCACATTAACGCCAGATTAGATTTTAGGTCAAAAAATATAGTAGGCTATGCATCTAATGCCAATGAAGTAGCAAAAACTATACTAGCTTTTATGGTAGCTTCTCCTTTTGGTGACTTCTCTGAAATTGTTAGATTGTTGCCTGTACACAATTTAACTGGGGATCAGTTAGTACCACTTGTCAAAAATATTCTTAATATTATTGAAACATCAGGCTTTAAAGTTTTATGTATCATATCTGATAATCATAGGATAAATAGAGCTATGTTTAAAAAATTGTCAGAATGTTCATCCAACAGTTATATAAACCCAAATACAGGTTTTCCAGAATACTTCCATAGTCCATCTTCACCAGACAACAAAATATTTTTGTTGTTTGATTTTGTTCATCTTTTCAAAAATATCCGTAACAATTGGATCAACCTAAAGAACCTTGACAAGACATTTGTTTACCCACATTTTGAGACTGGAGAAGCACAGCATGCCAAGTTTCATGAAGTCAATAATGTGTATAATTTAGAAAAACATTCCGTAGTTAAGAAAGCTTTCAAATTAAATGAAAAAACAATACACCCAAATAATTTTGATAGACAAAAGGTACATCTTGCAGATAACTTATTCCACCATTCAACTATAGCAGCTCTTAAAGATTTTGGCTTCACAGAAACTGCAGGATTTTTAGATATCATCAGAAATTGGTGGGATGTTATGAATAATAAAAGTTGCATTAAGGGTGTATGTAAGTTAAATGAATTTTGAAAGCCTGTTTCTATTGTAGATGACTTCCGGTGCCAATATCTGAGAAAATTTCTGATTTGGCTCGAGCAATGGAACAGTATTCCAAACAACAATGGCCGCTTGACAAATGAGACTTTCACTGCTTTGTATTTAACAACTACAGTCATTTTAAAAATCATAGAACACTCCTTCCAGAAGTTTCCTGTTTCCTATATTTTAGTTGGTAAATTTTCCACTGATGCTCTAGAAAAACGGTTTGGTAATTATCGTCTTTTAAGTGGTTGCAATTATAATGTTTCCTGTGATGATGTCATCCATTCTGAGAAGAAGATCAGACTCAAACACATTATTAAATCACCATCACAATCATTTTCATTCACAGAAATCAAGAACAAATTTCAAAATCTATCATGTACACCAGGAAGTAGTGAAAATTTAGATCCTGACAAAAGTTTTGATATATTCTCAGAAATCTTTTGTAGCAATTATTTATCAAATTGTGATTTAGAAGACGATACTAAGATGTACATTTCTGGTTATGCCTCACATAGTATTTCTAAAAAACTTAATTGTCCCATATGCATTTCACTCATTGTAAAGGAAAAAGGAACAAATTTTGGAGGTGAATATTTTAATTATTTGCAAAGAGGAGGACTGTCTATTCCAACTGAATATGTCAATATTATTTTTTACCACATGTATGCCATTTTCGAATTTATAATAAACATAGATAGACTAGAAAATGAGTTTTTACATAGTACTCAGCAGAAAAATATTTTATGTCACCTAACCTTGCAAAGTATAGAATCAGATCTTGTTTATAAGGAATTTTCTCAAACTTGCTTATGTGGGAATAATTATAGAGATATCCTATTAAACCTCCTATCAATTTTTTCAAATATTGTTTTAAATGATTATGTTAAATTTAAAAATAATACAAAATTAATTGACAAAGCAAACCTTAAACAAAATGTATCTACTTCTCGGGCCAACCGTAATAGTGTAACTGAATCCCCAGTCACAAGCTTTGATTTGCAAAAGCGGAGAAAGCTGAGCACCTTCAATGTGTGAATGATATATAAAATGTGCAATATCTTTTTTAATATCCTTTTAGTTATTATTTTGTTACAATTGTTTTATTTTCTCTTATTATTTAATTTTCAGTTATCGTTGTTTTTAGTTTGTACACTGTTTTTTGTTTTGTTTCCAGTTATGTATTTTATTTATTTCTTATCTTTATTCTGAATATAATTTTTTTAGTAATTCCGATTTTTTTTTAAATTTTAAGCTCCTCCTTAAAAAAATAACATTAATTTAGAGTGTTACGGAAATTTTATAAATTATATCGGGTCTTGCCATAGAATACTTCGTCATTTGGTGTACATATTGACATTAAAAACAAAAAATCAATATTTTTTGACATATTGGGTTTTGCCTTAGTACCACAGATATATGGCTCTTGGCAAAACCTCCCGATATAAATTGGTAACTTGTGTGGTAATGCAATACCTCATTTATACATCTCAAGTACGATTCTACTCCTGTATACGTCTGCCAGCAAACAACTTAGTTATAAGAAGCACTACATAATTAGTATTCTTGTGAATTTCCCTCTCTAGGGTTCCCATAGAGTATTCACATTCTGTAATTTCGATTTTGAACTTATGTTTAGTGAAATTGTTTTGTACTTTGTACTCGTAAATTTGAGATTCATCAAAAAAATGCTCGAATCGAAGTTTCTGTAAAAGCGCGTTTTCACGGTTCGATCTAAGTTGAACCACCTGGGTTATTCGACCATGGTCCGATCAGAGTTGAAAGCAAAAAGGTTTACACGATAGGCGATGTATGTTGATCAAAAATAAAAACGACACCACTTTGCTTTCGATTCAATGTTCGACACAAATTGTTCGACTCAGATCGACCCGTGAAAACGCGCCTTAATAACGGCACACACCAGCTGGACGGCCGGACCCCAAAATGCCATGATGCGGTGTTGCCTTTTTCTCTTCATGGCTCGTTAGTTGAAGGTGGCGCTGCTTCTATGCTCAATAAGCAAAAATATTCGGAAGAATGTAGTTGCACAGACTCTTATGACCGTATTTGTTAAGGGATTTAATAAACCTTTTGTGTGTCTCAGTGATAAGGAGTTTCAGCTTTAATTAGGTTAGGTCAGGCAATGGAATTACTTAAACTCATTTCAAAAATCAGAATTTAATGTTTCCATATCATTTGCAATCACTGTGAATACTGTTTTTATAGTTATGCAACTAAAGTGTAATTTTCAATATGATTTATCTAAGCGGATTAATTTATAGGGTTAATTTGTCATGGAATCTAGTGGTTTGTCGATAGGTTCTAGAACAAACTGTAGGGTTTTCTTGAAGGTTCAAAATCGAATTCTTTAAAAAAAATCACAAATGTGAAAATGTCACCTCCTGAACTATCGAGTTGCAAATAATACATTCATGGATTAATTCGATAGATATTGAGTTCCTCATCATCAGGCTTTTGTTGATCTATCCATAAGGTTAGTATTTGATATATATTAAAGCAACCTCTACCGCGGTCGTACGCGATAGGAATTTTCCTCCAATTTAATTTGTAAATAGCTACATATTTTTACCGTACGAATTTTTAAAAGCTGCTTTTGGAAACCATTTTGCCAGGGTGGTGACGCGAGCGGAAAAGATATTAAATAGCAAAATGAAAATTTGAAATGAGCGCGTCTAAATCTGTAAGAATTGTCAGCCATCCAAAAATTTACAGGCAAAACTAAAGTATGATGGCACCATTAGTTTTACATTGATGTACCAAGATGACAAACATACCTTGGTGGCGAAAATGATATCAAAGCATGAATCAGCTCAAAATGAATAATACTTACTGGTCTTGATGATTCCTTCAATAAAGTCCTCTCTCGGTATCAATTCATTGTTATCCTTGTCCATCTTCCTGAACAGATCCGTCAACCTGGACTTCTTGTAATTCATGAATTTGAGGAACCTCTTCCTCCAGTCGTCCCAAGAGAAGTTGTCTGCCTTCTCCTTCTCCTTTAGATAAGCCAAATGGTCGTACAACTCACGCTGCCTTTCCCATGATAGCATCCAAACGTGCCTCCATTTGTCGTACAGGAATTTAACCCTTGGTGATCTGAATTCTGGTTCGCTACACGTATGAAAAATGTATGTTTAGATGTATATTTTTTGAAATTCAAGTTGGAGTTGTGAATGTGCGATTTATAAAATGTATCATGATATTAGGTGTGTTTGGTGTGATTACTACAATAAAATTTATACTCACTCAGAGTTGGTATAGAATACTTTCTTACGAACATCACAGGTATAAAAACATTAGCAATACATATTCCGACTAAATTACTATTTTGATCACTGTTCAAAAACTGTACTGCAACGTCATGCAAATACTATTGAAATTGTTCTCATGCATTTATGCTCAAACTTTTATCGTTACTTCCATTTTACAGCAAATAAAATAAAAACCTACTATGAAAAAAATGGATGATCAGGTGTTAGTAAACAAAAAATGAAGACGATATCACAAAACTCCTAAAAACAATAAATGTATCTCTAAAGAAAACTAAAATTTTTCCCATAGTCCCACACTGTGTATGTACATACGCAAAATAGGTAGGTGCAAAAAGCTGCGTATTTTTTAAATTTCAAATTAAGTAAGCATGACAGCGATATGTCACGTTAAAAGTGAAATAAACATTTACACAAAGTGGCAATAATTTTTTTGTTGAGCCGATTGACTATTAGATAAGCTAGACAATTGATTGACATTTGATAGAGCATATATTTTTATCAGCTTTGCTCTGAGATTTGAAAAAAGATGTCAGTCATCACTCGCTCTGACAACCATACGTTACATGTCAATACTGTGGTATAAACTTGGCATAGTGCACTGTAAATGGGACTAAGCATTAACAGACTTGTTTGAATTCGAGAAACATCTAAAAACACGTTCTGTATTTAAAATCGTAAGTCACATTATAAGTTTCAATCTCTCATATCAAGAACTAAGTCATTCCTCAGATTGTAAGTTACTCCAAGCAAGATACGCGATTTCAGGTGTACTGGTATCAAAGAAATACTTCTTTAGGAAATGTTGCAATACTAATACATATCTGGCGGCGTTGCCATTTCTCTCCGATCAAGAGATTGTTAAAAAATCTGGTGCAGCCCAACCCATGGTGTGCAAGTATGTACATTAAACCTATGTATATAGAAACCAGAAATATATAATTTTATACAAATGTTTAGGAGTTTTGTGTGTATGTTCATGTGTAGATGAAAAACGAAAATAAAATGTAGATGTACCTTCCAGCAGGAGGGAACCGTGGCCCAATATGGGGCAACATAGGATCCGGACTGAATTCCCTTCCAGGGCTGACACGGCTGTCGAGAAGAAAAAGCAACATGCAACACTCAACACAAATTTATACTCACTACTAACTAAACATACACTGTATACTAAAAAATAACTAAAATAACATCAAAGATATAAAATTGAAACGGCCAACAACGTTATTGTGGACACATATTCTAACAGACTCAAATTGATTGAGAGATAACATTGTACAAATTTTAACTTGAAGGCCTTGAAAGTTGTAACCTCTTTGTATCTAAAATAGTACTAAAGTAAATCCATAATTTACCAACGGTTTGGTCATCACTCCAGTATTTTTTCAATTTTATACTTTAGACGTACTGATATACACTCGTTCCAAAGAATATTTCGTTATAATTTCATATCTTTAATGATTTTTAAACAAAATATCGAAGAAAACAATAATATGCGTAGCATCCAAAGCAACAAAATGCCTAAACTCCAAAATTGATTTGTAAAATTAGTGTCTAGTACTATGAATGTTTCACCAGATCTACTGTCATTCAAAAATAATACAAGAAGGTCGTTGTTTTAGATGCTATAAATACGATAAGATTAGATATATAACTACGCAGATTAAACACAAATATATAAAATATTGCATAAGCAAAAAGCTGACACTATATGCACTCTGCTGCAAAAGCATAAAAGATTGAGAATAGAAACATGGAAAGCATTACCCCACTTACCACCACCATTTTTAAAATTCGAAACTTCACGTAGTAACATTCGTTACATAATATTTTACTAGTAGAACGCTTTACTTTGATTATTCGACAAATCAAGCTAGAAAGTTGTCCCATAGAATCTATTATTACAAGAGCAAAATTTATTTCAAAATTTATAAACTTTTTTAGATATTTGGTACAACGCTCATAGCTTCTTAGCAATGTTGTTACCACCCCATGTTTTCAGCTTTCTACAAAAACAGCGGCTTATTTTTTACATTACAACCTATGCATTTTAAAACATTCGGTTTGTTTTACAAATGCATGAAACAAAGGTGATGCAGAATTATTTCGGTGTTCTATATCAAACAGTCAAAAGTTCATAAAACAGAAAATATGAAGCCGACACTATGAGACATCCTTCTTATAGTTTTTCTACAAGCAATGCAAAACATGTAATTCAAACGTGCTTTTCAAGCATGCATCTGTAAAAGCACAAAATCAAAAATGCTAACCTGCCGCGTTGGAGATCACTCCTAGATCCTTTGAAGCTATAAAAGGAAAATGATAATGATCAACAAATGCAAAAAATGGAAATGTTAGGTAGTTTCACATGTTATTTCGTTGATATTAAGAGACCGCATATGAACTAAGACTGATCAGAGACAGGTCGACAAGTGGAAGAGAGAAAGACACAGGTAAATGAAATATCATAAAACATAATGGATTGTGTTAATGGAATGTTATCTCACTGAATAAAAATAATCTCATAATACGTCATTTGAAACTTGTTAATTGTACAAGCATACTAATGTGACAGTTCTAGTTGATATCTAGTATGTAAGTTGTCAGTACAATTACTTCTACTGATACTGATGATTCTTGTAAATATTCTGTATAACAGTCTTAAAAGTTCATCTTTAGATTAGTTTTGTCTCTCTCATTATCTAGAAAATTAACTGCAAGCATTGACCAACATATAATACCAGAAGATATGTAATTGAAAACCGTGCGCCCAAAAATGGGCTTTCGAACCGTAGCGCTGTCAAACCACGTGGTGTCATCGTTCCCAAGATTCGGCCTGTTATCCTAGTTGTGGCATAACCTTTTCCGTCGTTAACAAATTCTGAGAATACGGAATAATCACAAGGAAGGTTGAGGAGTGGTCTTACTTTGGAAGGTTAATGTCATGTTTAAGAATACGCACTTTTCTTTAAAAGGAAAATGAAGTCTATTTTTGTTACTTCTAGGTGAATAACTGTGATCCTACTTGGAAACATCGGCTATGACGATGGAAATTATATGTGAACGTCTAAATACAGTATAGACTTTTAGCATCTTTCCGTAGAATACGTTAATCAATGCTGATCGTTAGAGAAAAAAATCTGTCGTTAATTAGATACCGTATTCTATTGATTTTACCAACATTTTGTAAATTGTATTTACACGCGACATGCTGGTGCTCAAAAAACAAACGTACCTTTGTTTCCTACCCAGTGACCCATAGATATCTGGTGATGAATCGTGAATATCGTGCTGTGATCCGCGTCTGTGAGGTGAAAAGAAACACATAGATGCAAACACAAACAGAAAATCAATGACATGCAGAGTAATACAAATAAGAAAAAACATGACATGATTAGCTACAGTATGGCCTATTTCAAAACTAGGAAGTTTGGCGGATAATATTATCATCCAATCCTCCTAAGGTGATTCATTTCACCAAGTCAATTACTATGGTGGCTAAATCTTTTGATGGTACAAAACCATATTCCATGTAAATAATGGAACACTTTTGACCCATATGCAGCTTACTACGTCACTAAAAACAAACAGGAAAAATGTTATTGTGAAGTAAAAACGAACGACAGTGTGCTAAAGTGTCAATTTAAAGCGGTGTGCGAGGTGCTGAATGTGTGTATGTCACAATGCATGTAATGTGTGTGTAGGTATTGTGTATTTTACAATCTCTATAGATGCGTAAAAACATGTTATCCTGAAACTGTTAATATTATAATTCTTATAATTCCAGACTGAATCTACATCAGGTACGTTGATATTTAACTTTTTCAGACGAAAAAGTCATGGTGATAAGCCCTGTATATTCACTCTACTCTAAATGTGTACAACGGGCACAATAAAAAATGTTTCCCCCATCATGCATCAAGGTATTATAGCAATTTTCTTTGTCATCAAATGAAATTTTAGCAGTCACTCTATACTGTAGAACTAACATAACTCTTTGCTCTCTAGCTAAACAATCACACCAGTAATACTAAGCACATTCAAGATTTATACTTCTGCAAGCTCTTCCAAGTTTCAAGAACCTAATGGTGGTATATACACGCGGCTACCCGTGTCAAGCTCATTCACCTGACTACGAGCTACAGCTACACAAGACGTTTCAAGTCTAGCACAGCAATCATCCCATTGACTATTTGACAAAAACTCAACACGTCAGTACTAGTAAAAATACTCACAAAGGTCCCTTTCCTTTGGCACCAGCTCCAAACTTCTTCTGACCTTGCTGTCCAGCAGGTCGTACCTGTTTGGCCTTGCATACTCTGTCCACTTCTCCTTGCCTTTTCTGGGTGTTCTCCATGAATTCTTTGTGGTCAGCGATGAGCCTTTCTGTAGTTGGAATGTCAGCGGGGAGTTCTTCTCGTTTCAGGGCTATAAGTGTGTTTTCCAAGCCGATCAACCATTGGATGAGCTCCTCCAAAGTTTCATCCATGTCGCGCAAAGATTGCATGTGCTGAGAGAGTTTTTGGTGGCGTTGAAGCGCCCATTGAGATACCTGAAATTAATATAACGAAATACGCATTAACCATTAACCAGTCTAAAAGGGGGAGTATGCTTTGTCATCAATTTCATCTTTAAAAGTTAACAAAGAATTTCAGAAATTATATTCTCAAGAAGGGGTAGGAGGGGGGGGATGTTGAATATTTCTAAGGGGAACCTTATTACTTTTCAAGTTTATAGAAATTTATCTCGAACACCATTTGACCTATGAGCATGAAATTTGGCAGAGAGGTAGTTTATAGACAGGGACAGGATGTGACAACTAAGAACCAATTTTGTGACAGGGGGGTTATAGGCAGATATATAAATGCGAAAAGTACACGCCCATAGAGGTAAAGCAAAAAAGTCAGAGTGAACAGATGAAGTTTGACGCGCCTCTTCGTGCCACTTCCTCTCAGCCTGCGGGTACCTTGACCGTTTAAACATTTGCAGTCATTTCAAATACGCTCATTTTGTATTGTGTTATTTACGAAGTATGGAGCAAACTAGTTTCTTACCTCTTCCCATCTGGATTGAATAACCTTGATCCAGTTCTTGATGACATTGATAGAATCCGGATGCGCTTTGGCGAGAATGCTGTGAGCCAAGTTTAGCGTCTGATCCTTTTCGATCTCCTTCTCGCCAAGTTGAGCTCTGAACTCGTCGAGAGCGCGCAGCTGTTCATAAGCCGTAGCTTCGTCTTCAGGCGTACTGCCGACGAACCTCAGCTTCATCTCAGCCTCTGACAGCCAGTCTAGGATCATGTTGACCGACTTGTGGAGTTTCTCGGCTTCGCGGAGAGCGTCTCGCAGCCTGCCCGTTTTGACGTTTGCCAGGTTGGTGACTGTTTCCCAGAGTTCGGTAAGCTCAGATAGTTGGGCTCTGTAAATCAATAAGTCTGCTTTATAGGCATCCTTTGAAGGCTGAGTATCGTTTGAGGGTTGATCTACCCTTGAAATGTAACCATGGTAACAGTAACTGTTCCTTTACATACTAGTCCAATCATATTAGCAAATTTCCCCGAAATAATTTGAATAAGAAAACGTGTTTTTTGGGATTCAATCGTAAGTGTTGACAGGAACGAAAAAACTTTTCATATAAGATTTTTAGGTATTTACGAGACCTACAAAATGAGACCACACGTAAGAAGACCCGACTAATAGCAAAAATGTTATGGCCAAAAAACGACTCAAAATGAAGGTTTTGGCACTTGTCGGCAATGCGACAAAAATTTCACGCAACTACTTGAAATTCTTCAAATCCCTAGGATTCATACTTCTAAACAACAACAAAATTGAATTATATTGGTCAAGTAGTTTTTCTAATTCTTTTTCCTAATTGGTTATCCCAAAACACCTTTTTTTCCGGCCATCACTATTAGCTTATTGATACATGGTTCGTTCAAAGAGCATTTTATAGCAAAATACACGTGTTTACCTTGTCGATATGAATCACAAACCATTCCGAAAGATAAATGTTATTTTTATGCGAAAAACAAAGGTTACGTTTTTTTCTTCTAAACAAATTCAAACGTTTCGAATTTTTGCGAGTAATTGAACAAATGCGCTGCGATATTCGAAAAACATACATTACTATACACATTTTAAAATGAAGCGGATGTGTCTATCATCTTTTGTTGCGAATCACTGAAAAATACGAAATGTTTGAATGGTTTTAAAGGAAAAAACGTAACCCATCTTTTTTTCATAAAAATAACATTTCTCTTCCGGAATGGTTTGCAATTCATATCGGCAAGGTAAACTAGTGTATTTTGCTATAAAAAAGCCCTTTGAGCTAGCCCTATATATTGCTCAATAAGCTAGTAGTGATGGCCGGAAGCATTTTAACACTATGGTATAGGATTCGGCACCAGCCTTAATTTTATTGGTCAATTTCAATTTATTTAACCAATAACAAGCTGGGTGCCGAAATCACTACCCGAATGTTAAACAGTGCTGAGCATGGGGTCAGAATGTTATCAAATTAAATTTAAATTTTCTTACCTTCCGCTAAAAATACGTAAGATAATAATCAACGCACGTTGTTTCCTATTACGATATTTAATGATTTTAAAATTAATAATTTGGTTTAGCAATAAGAAAAATTACATGAAAAATTTATATATATTTATATAGGCGAAAAATTAAAGCTTCCGCCTTTTGTTGGGTACTTCGACAAAATTTAAGCAAGGAGGACTCTTTATACTTTTTTTATTCTCTCTAGCTTTCAATGGTCTTTGTCATCATCATCAGGAGAGTAGTATGTGAGGATGTTGCCAATTGTTGTTTACGTTAAGGATGAGGATACACCCAGTAACATGGTGAAAGCTGGATAAATGGTACAATAGTCAAAATTATATAAAATACACACAGCTGTATGACAAGAACAAGTTAAAAACAGATAAACAAAATTTTTAGAAATTGAAAGTTAAACATTACATCGTGAAGCCACTTGATGATTGCACAAAATGGTGGGCATGTTACTGGGTGTTTCCCTCATCCTTAACGTAAACAACAATTAGCAACATCCTCACATACGACTCTCCTGATGATGATGGCAAAGACCATTGAAAGCTAGAGAGAATAAAAAAGTATAAAGAGTCCTCCTTGCTTTAATTTTGTCGAAGTACCCAACAAAAGGCGGAAGCTTTAATTTTTCACCTAACTGGTCTAGACGACAATGACCACGTCTCAAGTTATATTTATATATATTAGTAGAAGCAGTTTATTGATAACATTCTGACACTGTTTTCAGCACTGTTTAACATTCCGGTAATGATTTCGACACCCAGCTTGTTATTGGTTAAATAAATTGACCAATAAAATTAAGGCTGGTGCCGAATCCTATACCATACTGTTAAAATGCGACCGGGTTGAGTCATTTATTTTAACAGTGAGTAGATCTGATCAAAAGAAATGTTTTTTCCTTTAACATTTTTCTGGTAAAATTAAAGTAACATAGTTATAGCCATTTAGAAGTTTGAGTACCGCCCTGTCTCAATAATAATATTATGTGCTCATGTTTGGCAACAACGGATATAATCCGCCTTATCCGTTCATGGCATCGGAAACAAAAAAGCGAAATAATTTGAAACGATGTTTTTACTACAATGTACAATTTTATTCAGTTGTATTCAGTCGATGTGTCAGTCAGTAACGCGTGAGTGAATAGTGGTGTTTGTTGCATGGCTCAAACGAAATAAAAAATTGCACATGTTTGCGAAAATGCTGAATGTAGTACAAAGGGCTCGTGAATCAGGTGACTTAAGACCTCACAGGGGAGGGCATGCCGGTGCTCCAAGACCGCACGATCAAATACAGGTCCGCACTGAAATACTTGTCGGGAGGATACTTTATAAAACAAGGTAACATTTTTTTTATTTTTTTTTTATTTTTACACACATATTTTGGTTTATCTTCCTTCTACAATCATTATCTGAAAATTAATGACTCAACTTCACCATTTTGTGCAATCATCAAGTGGCTTCACGATGTAATGTTTAACTTTCAATTTCTAAAAAAAATTTTAATCTGTTTTTAACTTGTTCTTTTCATACAGCTGTGTGTATTTTATATAATTTTGACCATTCTACCATTTATCCAGCTTTCACCATGTTACTGGGTGTTTCCCTCATCCTTAACGTAAACAACAATTAGCAATATCCTCACACACTACTCTCCTGATGATGATGGCAAAGACCATTGAAAGCTAGAGAGAATAAAAAAAGTATAAAGAGTCCTCCTTGCTTAAATTTTGTCGAAGTACCCAACAAAAGGCGGAAGCTTTAATTTTTCGCCTATATAAATATATATATATATATATATATTCATGTAATTTTTCTTATTGCTAAACCAAATTATTAATTTTAAAATCATTAAATATCGTAATAGGAAACAACGTGCGTTGATTATTATCTTACGTATTTTTAGCGGAAGGTAAGTAAATTTGAATTTAAATTGATAACATTCTGACCCCATGCTCAGCACTGTTTAACATTCCGGTAGTGATTTCGGCACCCGGCTTGTTATTGGTTGAATAAATTGAAATTGACCAATAAAATTAAGGCTGGTGCCGAATGCTATACCATAGTGTTAAAATGCTGGCCGGAAAACAGGTGTTTTGGGATAAACAAATAGAAATTCTCAAAAACTACGTGACCAATCTAGTCCAATTTTGTTACGGTTATTAAGAAGTATGAATCCTACGAATTTGAAGAATTTCAAATATCTGCGAGAAACCATTGTCGCATTAGCAACAAGTGCCAAAATCTGCAGTTCGCCTCGGTTTTCCGACATAACTTTTTTGCTATTAGTCGGATCTTTTTACGTGTAGTCTCATTTTGTAGGTCTCATAAAAACCTAAAAGTCTTATATGAAGAGTTTTTTCATTCCTGCCAACACTTTCGATTGGATCCCAAAAAACACGTTTTCTCATTCTTTGTTGTCGGATAAAAGTTTTCCTACAAAAATTGGTGTACCCATTTCATGCGTCCATGTTTTGACTACCCTCTTGAACAAATTGCAGCAATAAAACCAGACTTTAAAATTATTTCGCAAACCAGGGGTATTTTCTTCTAATATGATTAGACTATGCTCACATCGATGTCAAGGAGATTTTTATTTGCTGCCCGTATCTATTCAGCAGTTTTATGATAAATTTGGGACAGAATGATAAATAGAGCAACCAGCACTGCAACGAACTCATGCTAGCTGTAGATTGAAGATCTGTCAGATTCAGCATAAAGTTTGGATTTTACAAATTTAAAGGTATCGTTGAAAATAATACACCCCAAAGAACCATTAAACAACTGAAAAAAATGTGGGAGAACACCAAACAAAGGTAAGCAGAACGATTTTGTAACAGTTGGGAAATAACTAATAAATAAACCATTCCGTCCCAAAATGTATCTTTCAAATGGTAAATAGATGTAGCCGGCAAAGAAAAATCTTCCTGACGTCGACGACAGCCTGTGATGAATCTGCAAGAGAATGTTTGGACGGAATGATATTTAAGAATTGTTGATAGTAATAGACATTTTCTTTCCATTAAGTTTGTATTTTTTTATTAAATCAAAAAGTGAACTTTCCCACTGGACACCCTACCCTGTAAAATAGTTTTTTCTGTGAAACACAAGACGCCAGAGTGAAATTTACTAAAGTACCCAGTAGAACCCTGACAAGAAAAAGCGTGTAAATAGTTAAAAATTAATGTCCGCGGAAAACGCGTAATCTTTTATATGCTAAAATGACATTGAATAATTTCCGGGTTTCCTGACCAGACAGGTTGCATATACTACTACTAATACTACAACTCAAGGCATTGAGTAATCAAACGATATCTTGAACTAAAATATAAACGTTAAGCTTGACTGTACCTTATCTGGATGGAATCATGTTTGCTCGCGGTCCTCTCAAGTTCTTGCCCATTTCTCATAACAGACTCCATCTGGCCATTGCGCTTCTCCAATTCTTTCTCGAATTGCCTGTGCAGATCAACCAAGTGGTTCACAGTGTCCAAGTCACCGTGTACGGGACTGTCAGATGACAGATCTTTCTCAGCCCTTTGTAACCATTGCAGCAGTGCGGCGATAGCATCCTTGAACTGTCCTGAATACAACAGAGCTTCTTCTAGTTTCCTCTGTCTTTCTACGCTCTTGTGGCATACTGAGTTCCATTTGTTCTTCAGATCTGACAGCATCTGCCTCAATGTTCCCTCGTCGGTCTTAGGAGCCTTGTCCTTCAGATGTTTGCCAGTCTTCATGACATTGTCGTAAGTTCCTTGTTTGGCAGATAGCGCCTTCTGGAACTCTTGATGCTTGGCCAGTCTACTCTTGATCTTTTCTGGATCATTGCCAACCGTCTCTGACAAGAATTCGTCCAAGTTTTGCTCGGTTTCATCCAGCCAGTTCATCAAACCAGCCCAAGAGTCGTGGAACTCTTTAGCCTCCTTGTAGCCCAGATCTAAGGCTCTGGTGCGCTCAGCAGATTTTGAGGCCACTCGCTCCCATCGGTGCTGTACACTGATGAGCAAGTTCTTGATTAAAATCACGTCTTGTTTTTGGCTAAAGTATTTCAAGTGAGTTCCCTTCTTGTCCAAGGCAAGCATGATCTCACGGTGAGCACTGACATCCTTCTGGAAGATCTTGTGTTCCTCGATCTGTTCTTGGATGGTGTTCAGTACTCGAGATACTGGTTTCAAGTTAGAAAGAACCTGGAAGAAAAACCAAACATAGTGAAAACAACCTAATTTCTATTCAAGCCAACATTAAAAGAATGTGTTTATGGTCGACTAAAAATCAACTATGTCTTGATAAAGTAAATCATTACAACGTTTTTCTTATTTAGAAAATCATCTCCATCATCTCGTTAAAGGTCATTTTTCATAATGTCTATTGACCGTAAATTCGAGAGCTGAAGGTGACTTGGTGCTATTTCCGCTGTTCTCGTGTGTGAATTCAGCGTCCCACTACCCGATTTTGTGAAATAGTTTCACACGCAGTGCTGCAGTTTATCGGGTGGTGGAGATTTTAATAGAAATCGGCCTCCATTAGTGAGTTTGTCATCGAGCTGAGGGGAACCGACTCCAGTGATAATCCGAGGCGAATTTAAGTAGGACTCACGCCTGTGAGGAGCAGTTCCTCATTTCTGTGAACCCTCATTATTCGAGGGTTCTACCTACGGGTTCTACCTTTGGGTATCGGGTTACATCTGGGACTTCCTGACCTGGTTGCCTTCCTGTAATAGCCAGGCACCTGCCAAGGTTTTTTTATTTTCGTTTTCTTTTTCACTGGAAACCATTTAACTGATCACTATTTAACCTTCTGTGATATACGTATTGCACGTCCTAAAAATCGACAGAAATTTGTGACATTCAGGGATTTCCATAGTTTAAATGAAATAGCGTTTGAACAAGATCTCAAGAGTTTTCCATGGTGGCATATTATATCGACAGATGACATAAAATTAACTTTTTAACAGATAGTATTTTATGTTTATCTAATGTTCATTGTCCAAAAAAGGTACTGCTGCGTGTAAACAAAGCTACAGCTCCTTGGATGGATGATAATACTAAACTTGTATTTAAGCAGAGAGCTGAAGCTTTGTCAAAGTTCAAACGTGATCGTACAGCCGCCTCTTGGCAACAGTATATATATTTCAGAAATCGTGCATTAACGCTCGTGCGAGGAGGAAAAAGAGATTATTCACAAGCTGTTCAAAATCTGGATATAAAAAAGTTTTATAATACCCTAAAGACTTTCAAAGTGCAATCTCAGAGAGATTCAATAATTCCCTTGAGCTTATCAGATCCGTATAAAATAAATGAGGCATTCATTTCAATTTTCGAGAATAGTGATTTAGGTTGTTCTGATAAAATTGCATATTACCGAGCTAATAAAAATAACTCAAAATCCAAATTTCAATTTAATAGAGTGACTATTGACACTGTTGTTAAGGTTATACATGAAATAAAATCAAATTCTAGTGGTTCAGATGGAATAACTTTGAAATTGATGTTATGTTATCAACTGCTGTTTAGAGAGGGGATATTTCCCCAATCAGTGAAAACGCGTTATAGTTGTTCTGCTACCTAAGTGTTCTAATCCTACTAGCTATGGTCAACTGAGACCGATCAGTCTAATGCCAATTTTTTCTAAAGTATTGGAACGCATTGTTTACGAGCAGCTTTGCGCCTACTTATATTCTGACAAAATTATTCGATATTAACAATCTGGATTTCGACAAGGTCATAATACAGCTTCGGCACCCTGTGATTTAGCAGACAATATAGCAATGGCACTTGGCAACCAAAAAGCAGTAGCTCTCATACTTCTTGACTTTACTAAAGCATTTGACACCATTAATCACTCACTTCTTGTGTCTAAATGCAGTTATTATGGATTTTCTGAAAAACCTCTTTCGTTTATTCAAACCTACCTTGAAAATCGGTATCAAAAAGTTCTTCTAAATCAACAGTACTCTACCGAACAAACAATTTGTTCTGGTGTACCACAGGGAGCAGTCTTAGGACCCCTATTATTTTCATTATATATCTCAGATTTAGAAACAGAGGTAATATCATGCAGCATACAATTTTTTGCAGACGATACTCAAATTTTCTATTCATTTAGGAGTAATGACTTGGAAACAGCAAATAATAAAATTAATCAAGATCTTGCCCAAATTGAAAAGTTCAGTAGTAGTCATAATCTTCGTTTGAATCCTTTGAAGACAAATATGTTGGTATACGCAAATAGAACAAAAAAGAATACTTTGGAAAGGGACATAGACATACATTTAAAAGGTAATAAATTAGTTCCTGTGGATCATTCGAAGAACCTAGGTATTATAATGGAAGATGACTTAAAATTTGTTGTACACGTAAGTGCTACGCTATTCTCAGAGTCTTATTTGCAAATAAGGTAATATTACATAAATCTGCGAGAAAGCAATTGTGTGAATCTTTCTTGTTTTCAAAGAAATCGTATTGCTTAGTTTACTATCCCTATTTAGATATTATAACAAGAAATCGTATTCAAAGTATTATGAATACATATTGCAGACTTGTAAATGGTCTCAGAAAGTATGATCATATATAGAATGCCATTAATGAACTCAAATGGATGAAAATTGATAAAATGTATAAGTACCCGCTCCTAAATCTGACTCATAAGGTTCTTTATTCAAAAACACCGTCATATTTAGTAAACTAATTCATACGTAGAGGGAATATGCATGGCATTAATATTAGATACAGAGAGACTTTTTCAATTCCACGCCACAGCACATCTCTATTTCAGAATAAATATATTTACAATGCGATCAAACCAATCCATTACCCAAATTCAAGAAAAAAGTGAAAGAAGTTCTACTTAATCAGCAGCAAAATCTTTTGTAACCCATAAGTGGCCTCAAATTTTCCTTATGCTGCCTTTACTTAGATTATACTTTATTCCGCCGTTATTGTATACAGGTATTAATTTTCAACAAATTCTATTCTTTTTACATCTCGTATTGTTAAGGGGGTTCGATGGTAGAATAGATATATTATCTAAATCTCGCCTTCTGTAAGAATATTACAGATAAAATACGTTAATTATTATTATTTAGCTAGGGGCTAGTACAAAATAACTTTCTTTACTTGTCCTCCAGGACTACTTTTATATTTTTTAATTTCTTTTGTTCAATAAATGTTTGTGTACCTTGTGAGTTTCTATCTCGTTTAGTGCCAGAGATCCAACATTAGTTACTTGTTATTTCTTTTCCTAGTGCTTGGAACTAGGTGGCGCCCAAACTACAACCATTTGCATCCAAAAAACAAAGTACAAAGAACCACCCCCCTGATGGCTTATTAACTATCGACTAACTTTGTTTTAGAGGGATAACAAATGTTCCAGATGACGAAATATGATGATTTGGAGGTTCATGGCTTACCTTCTCTGCGTTGGTCAACCAATCCACAAAAGCTTGTAGAGACTCGTGGAATTCGGTAGCTTCCTTCAAAGCAATCTCCAATTTGATCTTCTTATCGTTGGCTCTTGCTAATACACTATCCCAACGTTGCTTCAAGGTTCTCAGATTGTGTTGAAGATTGCTAGCAGGTGTTGTGGCTTTCTTGAGGTATTCCTGACCTTGAGCAAGGACAGTCTCCACTTTGGGTCTGTTGTCTTCGATTTCGTTGTAGATCTCCATGAACCTAAAAAAATATAGGTTACGTTAGAAGTGATGTCCACAAATTTCTATATTTTGTGTCCATAAGTGCAGGCCAGCGGTTTGAGAAAACATTAATTTTTAGACTAATGTGAAATGTAATAAAGTGTAGATTTGTCACATGCTTGTTGCTATTCACAAGGTGATTGGGGAAAATCTTCCCGTGGGTGCACAAAATATTTTTTACAAAATTTTTGTCAATGAGAATTTTAGTATGAACAGCTCAAGATTATCCTGTTATCACGTGTAATGAGACATTGGTCCAATTAAGCCCTTAATAGTGGCGAATGCAAAGACGTTGTTGTCTACTGAACAGGTTTTGGCCACATGTTCTGGGACTGCAAATGCTTGATACTGGTTGATTATTTCCAAAGTAATAGAACTATTACAGCTTCCTATCAACTTCTTTGAAAAGGTCGAGCTCTCTATAGGTCGAAGAGGTGCGACATTCTGAGCAGAAACGTATTGACAATGCTAAACCTTGCACCACAATAAAACTCAAAATGACCGATACACAGTTCTGTGGCCATAAGACCTCCATACGTTACAACAAACTAGGATTTGCAATTGGTTCGGTGGAAGCCCGAAAACGTTTTATTCTAATGGGTTTGAAAGTCTACCGCAACATCAAAGGTGTGTAAATAAGTTCAGAGACTATATAGAAAAACAAAAATTTGAACTAGAATCAATTTTAAATAATATATGTTTCTTGGAAAATGCTGTTAAAATTTTTATCCACTTACGTAGTTCGAGATAATGTGATAGCGTCTCCTGGTGGAGGCCAAACGTTTCTGTGCAATAGTTAAGAACTGCTGGAAAAAAATAGTAAATACCTTTCAAGTTGTTCCGAAGCTGTTTCTGGCAGTCCTCCTACAGGTCGGCTGGCTGTTATAATACTGTCGACGTCTCCTAACCAAGATAGCAAGTCTTGAATTTCAGCGTTGAATCTTTGAGCATCCGTCAACGCATCCTCAAGTTCTCGTTGTCTGTCGGCAGCCTTTTGCATAAGAGCACGCCACTGGGTGTTGAGTGTGTTCAGTTTAGTCTGAGTGGCGCTAGCTTCGTCAGCTGGAAGAGAGATATCACTTGAGTACTCTTGATAATAAAAACACACTGCTCGTAGACAAATGAATATACAAGCGAACGTAAGTGCTATGCATAATTGCTGGAAAAATGATATTTCCCGTAACAGAGATAAATATTTTTGTAGGAATTGTAATAGTAAGCGATGGACCTGTATCAAAATTAGTAATTTTTTATTCTTTGATCCTAGCGTCCAGTTAATGTCTTATTTAGCTTCCATAAATATGACTGTGTAACGATAAATCAAGTATAGGTACTTCGAGGGTTTGTTTTTGATTAAGCCAACAATTAAAAAAAAATAGCATCCTTATTTAAGTTATGAGTATTTGAATGTAAAAGTATGAGAGTTAAATAGTATTCTACAAATGTCGTCTTTCTATAGAACCATTGTTTGACTAAAATGTTCAGCAATCTGGCACAGTTATAACTCAAATTCACAATAACTGAACAATAATCATCTGCGGATTGTTTGAATACACTTTATCGTTGATGAATTCTCACAACAAATGTCAAGCGGGACTGGATCATATGATCTCGCAAGCCAGCAGACAATTACAAAGTTTCACTCGCCTTAAAATTTACCACAATCATAAATTTCATACAAAAATGAATGTGTACCTATTTTCATAGCACTCTTGCACAATTCTGATATGGTCCTTTGTCGTAAAACGATCTAGGTATAACTACACTGCTGGGCCTCTTTACCCTATTTCACGAGTATCCAGCACGCTTTGACTCCTACTAAGGTGAACAGCTGATCAGCAAGTGAAATGTAGTAAAAATTGTTTGTGGCGTTTTGTTTTATGTATATAAATGAACTTTTTTAAATGAAAGAGCCGTTAGCAAGAACAAAATGGATCTGTAGCGGACAGAACACCAAAATAAAATACGGCTCTGTCTACCTGGCGTTGACGGATTAGTCAGAATTATGTGTCCTGTGCCGCTATGGGAAATTTTGAATTATTACTAGATAACCAGCTGTCATTCTACTACCGTGAAATAGGGTAGTGACACATGAGCAATATAAAAGTCGTTGAAAAATGGCGATAAATTAGAATCCCGAAGTACCTATAGAAAAATCCTATACGCTTCCAATTTATTACAATTAAATTGACTTAGTGTAATGTGAAAATGCTAGACAATTTTTTTTTCGTTTAGAAAGCGTTGCTATAATGATTTATCTGCAACAACATTTTTTAAAGAATCTGCATAAGTGCCAACCTTCTTTATCCCTATAGCTTTGTTTGAAAATGGACTAGAACAGAATGCAAAATGACTTACCTTCTCCGCTCTCTATAATCTGCCTTCCAGCATCGTTGAGCGTATCCACGCTGGTCTGATGCGCCTGTATGTCATTGACCAACACTTTGAGTTTAGCCAGCTCCACCTCCAGAATCTGCGGATCACCTGCGACTGGTTTCAACTCGTCCAAAGTCCTGTCGGTCTTTCCGATCCACACCAGCAACTCGTTGAGCGCATGCTGGAATTGTCCCAAGCGCAGGAGTGCGTTCTCCAACGCCCTTTGACGTTCCACGATGCCCCGCAAGAGGTCGTCCCACCTCTTGTTGACAGCTGACAGAGGTTCTTTGATAGCGGCCGCTTGGTCGGCAGAGGTGCGTTCAGTTAGTTCTTGGGCTTGCCTATAATTCGTTGAAATAAGTCAGAAAATGTGTTATGCTTGGTATGAATGTTTTAAGCATTTATTTCAGCTGGATTCTATGAAACCATCTTGAACGTTTCTTTCAAACCGAAACATAAAATTAGCGATAGAATATATTTCATATAATGAATTATGAACTCCCATATTTAATAATGAACAACACACAATAATCAATGAGATACATAAATAATTGAATGAACACTGTTTAAAAATATGAAGAGATATGATATGCTATCATTGTGACACCAGCTGCATAAATGTAACTAAATATGACAGATACACAACTGCACTCTGTTTTAAAGAAGTTTTATACCGGTCTTACATTGTTAATTTAAAGATTACATTGAATGTGTGATACGAAATTTTTGTAACTAAAAAAACTAACAGAATTTAGGGATTTTATTTACGACGAGTTCAATATCTGTCATTGGGCACCCAAAGCAAGCAGAAGAGCAGTTTGTAGATACAAGCTAAACAATAATATAACATCACAAACTTCCAAGCTCTTTAAGTCACCAAAATCTTGATGAACGCGCAAAAGATGTATTATTTATTTTAATAAAAAAATAATGCAATATTTTTACAATAATATTGTACCATGAAGACTGTGTTCTCAGATAAGTTAAGTACAAGTAATTCTGATAACAGACAAATTCTATGAAATTAAAGATGCAGAAAACCGTTTGCTCGAGATGTTTCGAGCATTATATATGGATTCATAAAATTTGAAAATGTATGTTTTCCATAAAAAATACGTTTCACAACTCAGATGTAAGTATATCACGGTTCTAAAAAATTACCCTTATCCAATATATGAAATACAAAAAAAAATTATCATGCATAAACATACAATACATTTTGATGCAAAACCGCCAAAGAAAAACATTTAAGCTAACGTACCAAAAGCGAAGCAACATAGCAAAAGAGTCGTACGACTTAACTTTGCTTATTTCCCATTGAGAGCATGCAGCTAAGTTTACCATAATATTTTATTGACCTCGCATAGGTATAGAATGAACTGGAACCTTACAAGACAGATCATTAGTAGTTACCTTCTGAAATATATGCAAATGACCAAATCTTTTATAGTAACAGCCCTTAGGTGCTTCTAAGATGGCGAAATAAGTAGAGTGAGTATTTTTCTCCCGAAAACGATCACATTCATTTCAGCAAGATAAAAAAGCAATAGCAAGAAGAAAGAAGACATAAGCTTGGCTATAGTGCATTTGCGTTACAACACAAAATGCGGAAAATCTAAAGTATCCTTGCCTTACGAGACTCCTGTTGTCCAGTTGTGAAGTAATTGAAAATAGGAAAATAAATAAGTTAGTAGATAAAAAACACCTTGTGAAAACGTGAAAGAAACACAGATAAAAAAGTACAAGGTATCCCATAACTATTATTTTAAGTGTGCCTTACATTACTTATATCTCCAGCTAGACTTTCATTTCTCAATTTTGTATGGAAATATTTTTTGCAGTGTTACAAAACATTAATGAATTGTTTATTTCTGGGATACTTTGCGAGTGCAGTTGTAGAATAATCAACTACACCTTAAACCATCAAAGCTAGAATAACTGACTACAGATGTATTTTATGTAGTCGATTTACAAAATGGCAAAAACCAGTGAATCTAAGACATTAAGATTAAAAACTTCACGTACCGGTTGAGAGCTTCAACTTTCACCATATGCGGATCAACCTCAGCCTTGAACATTTTCAGCTGATCAATCTGTTTCTTGACAGCATCAATGTCAGCACCAAGTGGACCCATCTTCTCAAACTTCCTCTCAGCTTTATCAAGGAAGTCCAGCAAGTTCTGTAAATAGAGAAAGACATTTATTTAAATAAATTTGGATCATATCTTTTTACACTTAACACTTCTGACTAGCGTTACACAACAAAGAGTTAAAGAAACTGTTGCGTAAAGGCGGTATAGGAGAACATGAACTAAATAGCTTATACATGAAAAAATGTATTGATTGAAGGACAGTCAAATACCAACACACGCACTGTCTTCAATCTAGTGGCATCTCAATTTTCGACTTTTGTCGTGAGATAGGGGAAGAGAGCAGAATTAAAAATTACCTGGAGAGTTTCGTGGAACTCCATAGCCTTCTCCATAGCATCAATAAGATTTTCCTCACGCTTGGCGTACAACGCCGTGATATTATCCCAAGCATTATCCAGATCTTCGATGTGTTTCTTCACTTCTGGTTTGTCTGGCTCTCCGCAAAGTCTCATCAGCTTCTCTCCAGAACTCCTGACTTGGTCGACTTCCGGTTTGGTCGAGTCGATCTCGTGTCTGATCTCTTGCAGTGCCACTTGTTGCTCTTGAATGGCTTTCGGTTCGACAGCTGGTGGTTCCTGGCACACCAAAGAGTCTTCCAGGTCCTTGAGGGTCGCCATGATTGCATGCAACTCCTTCCAGAATTTCTGAGCCGCATCCAGAGCATTGTCGAGGGATTTGCCTGTATAAGGAATATAAAAAAATAATAGAAGGATGTTTTGGATCCAAGTCTACAATAATACTAATGAAGGAAATAAATAGTTATTAGATTATTTGTTTATTGAATCATTAAGTACATAGTATAGGGTTCTGTATGGAATATCGCTCCAGGCAGAATACCTCTTTGGCCTTGCTTTTGTTGAATTTTTGCATTATCATTTTGCAGAAATATGGCTGAATTTCGTTGAGGCAGAGCTAGACTTTCTTTTTCAACGCGTGCATGTCTATGGTCTTCTTTCTACTCGTGTACAACTGCTTGCTGTACAACTACAGAAACAATGCAATTGCTGGGACAATACATTTCCTGGTCGTGTTCTCTCTTGTTTCGTTGATCAGAATTGGCTACCTAGATCATGTGACCTAACACCACTATTTTGTGCACTTTATGATTCAACAAAAAAATAACATCGTGAAGAAAAAACTGTGTTTTTCATTTACAGCAAACGAGAATTTTGGGACAGACATTATAATCACGAAATATCTCGGAAAGTACCTGATGGAAAATTGTTCTTATAATTGAGAGCGTATAAAATACAAATTGTGACTCACCGCGATCGTGTGTAGCAGCTTGGACATCGTCCCACAGTTTCTTCAGTTTGTCGAGTTTGTGCTTGATATCTTTCACAGCAGGATCGGCTCTGTTACCCGCCTTGCTGATGACGTCATCCGCGGCTCGCCTCACTGCAGCGTAAGCTTCTTTCCTCTTGTCCAAATCGTTGACCAAGTTGTCATTATCCTCGATCTGATCCTTAATCTTAGGCACATGTGCGGATATTGGCTCTAAGTTGTTCACCTGATCTGCAGTATTAGTCAGGGCTCTAAGCATGCCTTCGAGTTTGTCAGAGAACTTGGAACTCTCTTGCAACGCCTGCTCAAGAGCTTGTTGTCTCTCACGTAGCTCTAATTTCAAAGCTGCGTATCTAGCATTGTCGCTATCCAAGAGTTCTTGAACTTTTGAACCATCGTCATCGTTACAGAGACGAATGAGTGCCTCTCCGGTCTTGTTTAGTTTGTCAACAAGAGGCTTGTGTTCATTGATAGATTGGAGGAACAGTTCGTTGCGATCTTGTTGCTGAGCAATGACGTCGGGTCTAAGAGCTGGCATGGTGAGCATAGAGACTTGCTCTTCCATGTCAGCCAGCCAATTGGCGAGGACGTTGTGGGTGTCATGGAAATGTTCAGCCAGCGGCAAGGCTTGCTCCAGAATACCCAGTCTGTCTGAACTTAGAGCAGAAACTGTATCCATAGCTTCACGAAGGTCTTCCATCTTCTCTCTGATGATGCTCGTATCTTCACTTGGTGGACTTTCACGTAGCACCTTCTTAGCGGTTGATAGTACGTCGCGCACTCTTCCTTTTTGGCTGGAAATATCATCGTTAAGCGCTTTATGCTCTTTAAGTTGCACTCTGATGAGATCAGGTTCTGCTGATGGTTTCTCGGCATCTCTGAGCTGGCTCTCAACTTCACGGAACCACTCGAGTAATTCATCAATATCTCCAGTAACTTCAAGTGCTCTCTGCTTGCCAAGATGTATTCTCTCTGCTCTTCTTTGTATCTGCTCGGCGATAGCATCAAATCTCCTATTGTCTCTACTAACTAGACCTTCAATCGTGGAAGCACCCTCACCAGGGCTAGCTTGGCACAGTTGTGGTCCAAGTACGTTGATTGTCTCCAAAACTGGTCTAAGCTCTTGTAAATCAACCTCCAAGCGTGCTATTTCACCTTCATGAGGTTCAGCAGATTGCAAAACTGCTTCAGCACCTTGCATCCATTCTACCAATCTGTTATGGTTATTGTGGAACTTCTGGACCAACGGCAACATTGCTTCAGCGTGTTTGAGCAGATCGGTAGCTCTGGTGGTAAGGTCATTGTATCTTCGTTGTAGAGAGTCTAGTTTGTCCTTGAGTTGCAGAGCTTCATCTGAAGAGATGTGCCGCATGAGTTCCACTCCAGCATCAACAGTGCCATCTACGTCAGCTTGACGTCCCGCGATATCTTCCGATAAGTTGGTTAAATCATCCATTTGTTCCAAAAGTTTGTCATTATGAACAGCGAGGACTTTGTATCTAGCCAATCTTTGTTCCATCTGGTCCATCCAAGCTGCAAGATCCTGGTATGTAAGGACTAAGTGTCTCAATCCTTGGCGGGAAGCGGTCAAGAGATGTCCGATGTTCTCACTAGCTTCGACTAGGTTGCCGTAACGATCAGTGACCTCCTGGAGCTTATCAGCTAACCCAGCTGCTTCATCTTCACCAACAAGTGACATGAGGTTTGCTGCAATATCTGCAAGCTCTCTGAACGATGGCTTCTTGTTCAAGATATCACTATGAACTGCATCATGCTCACGAATCCTTTGCTGTATCTTTTCTTCATCAGTCGGAATTAGCTCCATATCCTTGACCTTCTTCTCAGTACGATCCAACCAATCTTGCAATGGAACAAGCTTGTCTTGGAATTCCTTTGCTACTCTCATAGCTTGTTCCAAGTCCATGGTGCGTTGCTGAGCTCCTTCTGTCAGTGCATCGAAGCGCCCAATGAGATCTTTAAGTTGTTTCTCAATAGCTTTACGTTCAGCTGGTTCGGCTTCTTTTGCGATTTCGTTGCCCATGTTGAACAATGATGACATGGAGTTTTGCCTGTCTAAAAGCATCTTCTTCAGGAACTTTTGCTCTTGAAGTTGGGCTTTAACTACCTTGTAATCAGCGGATGGTGGTTTTTGGTTTGCGACCAGCTCCTCGGTGTCGGTTAGCCATTTAGCCAAACCATCTAGCGCTTCTTGGAATTTACCAGATTGCAATAGACCAATGTCCAATCTACGTTCTCGGTCATTGATCTTTTCTTTCAAATCATTCCAGAGGCTGTTCATCTTCTCCAGGTCCTTCTCCAAAGATGCTGTGTTGACACCTGGGGCAGCAGATTGGATCAAACCTGATCCTACCCTATTAACATCGTCGATGTGCTTGCTCAGAGGCTCGACAACGCTTGCTCTGAATTTCTTGAAGTCCTTCTGCTGACTTCTGATGCTATCTACCTCTGATCCAACTGGTTTAAGTTGTCTTAGTTGATTTGCAGCACTACCAATGCCATCCAAAACGCTAGCATGAGATACATAGAATCCTTCCAATTTCTTCAATGTATTTTCAAGGTCTTTCTCGCGACTATGTGCTCTGTCTTCCAGTTTACCCAGCTGTTTCTTAAGAGTATCGACCTGTTGCCTGGTCTGAGCAGTATCAGGTGCAAAACCACTATCGACAAGACGTTCACCAGAGTGTACTGCGCTAGCAAGACTGTCCGCAGCTTTGTTGATCTTACCAAGGAGCTTGTGAACGTCATCAATCTGTCCACGTACAACCTTCAAATCTCTGCCAGGTGGTTTCATTGCATCTAATTCCGCTTCAAGAGCGGACATGTCGTGAGACAATCCCTTGACTTGTTCGTTGAATTGAGTCACAGCTGTGGCGGCAGATTGCAAGTCTTGACAGCGATCATCCAATTTGCTGGAAAGTTCGTCGATACGATCACCAAGACCATCAACTTCATCTCTCAGGTGACTGGCATCTATTCCATGCTCCTTAGCTTCATTGCATAGATCGTTAGCCTGCTGTCTAACAGCTTGCAGAGGTTTCTTCAACTTGGCTGTTTCTTCTCTCAAAGCCTTCATTCGGTCCAGGAGCTTAGGATCCCTAGCTGCTCCACCCAAAGCATCATGAGATGCCAACTTGTCTTCGCATCTTTCCACACCGTGTTGAAGATCTCTCAGGTTTTCGTTGAAGCCTGCAAGTTTCCTGCACTGATCTTCTAGAGCTTGCGTTTTCAAAATTAGATCGTTGTTCAGTTTGTCCCATCTTTCTTTCAAATCAGACAGTTCACCCTTGACTTCATCTTTATCAATATCGCAAGCAGATAAGAAGGTCTCTCCAAGGGATCTGGTGTTTTCAAAGTCCCCAGATTTTTTCCAAACCTCGTTACGGAAGTTCTGCAGTTCTTTCAGTTGTTTCTCGATGTGTTTTCGTTGGAACGAAGATGGTTGTAAGGTCTCAAGTTTATCTTCAGCTTGTCTCAACCAAGGTAGGAATGTCTCCAATGCTTTGTAATACTTCTTGCAATGTTCTTTGCAAGTTTGTAGCCTACTGTGTCTATCCACAGCTTCTTTTCTGAGTTTATCCCAGTTGTGTTGGATCTTGTCCAAATCTCTCTGTAGTGTTCTGTTATCCACACGATGGTTTCTGGCTAATATATCCCTACCTTTGTTGAGAAGCATTATGACTTCATGTTCCCTCGCAAGAACGTCTCTGTAAACTGGCTCATGGTGTGCTAGTTGTTGTTCAAGCACTTCTTTGATAGCAGATATCAAAAATCGTTCTGAGAGTGATCCAAGCTCATCGGATAGCCATCCAAGAGTTTTCGCGCAGGATTCCTCGAATTGTCGGCCGTCACGCAGTGAGCCTTCAAGTTCTGCCTTCTTATGGTCTAGTTTCTTCTGCAGGGCATTGTACTGTCTTCCTACAGAAGCCAACTTCGATTGAATGTCAGCTCTGGAAGCAGGATCGCTTAGAACATCGCACAAATGGGCACCGTTAGCTTCCAAGTCAGCTAAAAGAGGTCGCTGGCCTTCTAATTGCCTCTCCAAGTTCTCTACTTTGCTAAGTTGTTCTTCGGGATCCTTATCAAGAGGAAGATCATCCAAATTGTCAGAAATAGCTTGTAGAGCATCTCTAAGCCTGGTATACTGAGCATCGAATTCCCTGCTGGTATCAGCGGCAGCACCCAACGAGTCAGCGCGTTCTTCAAGTTTGGCGAGTAACTCAGCCCATTTCTGTTGTACGGTTGCCAGCTTAGTATTGATCTTCTGATGATCCGGTGAACGAGGATCAAGGAACCCTAGCACATCGTCTCCTACGTCGATGAGATGTTGTAGTTGAGGTTGTTGAGTACGGAATTCTTCCCGTAGTACTTGGACCTGTTGGACTTGGGATTGCACCATCCTAGAGTCACTGGAAATAGGACCCAGGACTGTCAACATGCGTTCCTTAGCTGCCAACCATGATGTTAATGAGTCGTGAACATCATGGAACTCCTTCATATCCTCCATGAATTTGATCTTATTCTTCAAGTGATCGTTCAAGCTCTTCCAGTGTGAGACGACATCCTCAAGTTCGTCATTGAGCCTATCTGCACCGATAGCATTATGCTTCCTTTTAACCAAGTCCTTCACTTGAATCTTGGTAGAGTCCAATAGGGACTGTTTCTCATACATCTCTTCTAGCACTTGTCTGATTTGTTTGGCGAGCTTGTCAGCTTCATCTTTCGTGTTTGGTACGCTGTCTTTAGGCAGCTGTCTCTGCACTTTCTCCAAGAAGTTACCAAGAGTCTTCAGGTTGTCCAGGTATTTCTTCAGCTCCTCGCGGACTGAGTCAATTTCAGAATGACGATCATTGATCTTCACGCCGAGCATGTGGTATCTGTTGTTGATTTCGGAGAGCTGTTGTTGTACAGCAGACAGTTCTTCAAGGTGGAAGCCATCTTGGCTGGATCTGCGAGAAGAGAAGCCTGAGGATCCTCCAGGTGATAGAGGACTGAGGGCTTTAGTGGGTGATGGAGATCTGCCATCCTGAGATGACAAACGTCCTGAGGTGAGAGATGGACGTTTGTGAGGGCTGTATCCCTTGCGTCTAGTTGGTGAGTCTGGTCTTTCGCCACGCAATAAGGCATCGTACATGTTTCCTACATCGTTGATTTTGTCAATGTTAGCTGCGTAATCTTTGTACTCCTTAGATATGGGTTTCAGTTCATCATTTTGTTTTTTGAGAATATCGATATCAACAGCAACGACGTCCAATCTAGATATCTTGGTTTCCATCTTGGTCAACCAATCGTTGACTTGTGATCTCAAGCTGTCGAAAGCATTGTGATGTTCAGCACGTAACTTGGATAGCCTAGCCCTCTCCTCCAGAAGGTTATCTAGTTCTTTCCATTGAGTCTCCATAGCCTTGACGCGGTCTCTGACGTTAGCTACATCAGTGACGTCACGCTTATTCAGCAACTCTCTACCGATCTTCACAGTATCTTCAAACATATGCCTATTGTCTTCTCTATTTGCAGCGATCTTCTTCATTTGAACGGCGTACTCTTCAGGTGGCAGCTTGTTCATATCCTTGGACTCAATGATCTCAAGCACGCTGTTGTACCAATCTTCGAACTTGACAGCTTGGTTGTTGAAGACCGTAAGTTCGTTGTGGGTTTCCTTCAGGAATACTCCTCTGTTCTGTACGCGATCGAAAAGTTTCTCGAAACGCACTTTGACGTCATTGAGCTTGCCTTCGATCTTCTTGGCTACGCGAGCGTTGCTCGTAGACACAATCAACTCATTGGCAGAGAGATATACAGAGTCAATGGACGAGATGTGAGTGTCAAGTTCTGACTGAAACACTTGGTGTTCTCTAACCTGTTCCTCCAAACGTTCTTTGATTAGAGACGCAGGGCGTTGCATGTTCTTGAATTGGCTTTCTGCTTGGTTCAACCAATCACTTATACCGTCCAAAGCGTCTTGGACACCTTGTGATTGGACAAGAGCAGTATCCAGTTCTTGGCATCGATTTGCGATGGCGTTGCAAAGTTTATTGTAACGTTTTTCAAGGTCTTGGACGGGTTCTTCGAGGCGAGCCATTTCAGATGGAGAAATTTGGCCTTCCAATGAGCGGAGTAAAGCGCTCGTAGCCTAAGAATTACAGAAACTAATTAACTGGGCTATCGAGTATAGTAATTCTTAGTTGAAAATAACTTTGTGGGCTTTTGGAATCAAAACAAGGCATTATGGATGTAATAAGGCAACATGGAAGGAAATAAACATAATTTAACCTAACTGATTACTAACCTGTTTCGCATTGTCAATCAATCGTCCATTAGCCACAAACTCGTTATTGAGCTGCTTAGCCTGGTGCAACTGTTCTTCCACACCCTTAGGATCTCCAGCAACCGGCTCTTCAAGCAACCTTCTCACCCTAGGTTCTGCGTCCTTGAGCCAGGCTGCAGCCTTATCAATGGCATCTGCATACTCTCTGCGTCTTCCACCGACTCCTGAGAGCCTATCCTGCAGGTTATTGGCACGGTGCAAAAGGTCGCGGTATTGTTGGGTGACAAGCGAGACTTCGCTGCGCACTGGAGAGTCCTGGGAGGTGTAAGGTTCGATGTGAGGCAGTCGAGATGGTAGGGAGGTGCGGAAGTCGTTCAGAAGACTCAAGTATTCCTGGAAAAAATAAGCACGGTGAGTTTAATCCAATACTGAGTGTTCTTAAAGCTGTGACTTTTCTTTACACAACATAATGTAGTTCCTACAAAATGAGAAAAATTTTCCAGAAGCGCAACGTCTTAAAAGAACGGAATCTAGCAGATAATTAGGTAAAAAGATACGACGCTCGTCAGTGTCCAACCCAGGAGCCGAGCACCGTATAGGTATACTGAGCTGTTTTGATTACAAATCATTAACAACAATAAAGATCTTTTCGATTTGATGTTAGTTTACGCTGACTTCAAGATGCTGCAAATGCTTCGCGAAAGTATTCAGATCATTTTCCTGGATGTTTCCACCCCGCGTATTAATTTCACGACTTCGCCACGATGAAAAATCAGCAAAAAATACTAATTTTAAAGTTTTAAATCCATTGTGTTATTCCTGACTATGAGCATTTTGAAAGTTTTTAACTAATAGTATCATGGATCAGTTTACTGAGTGTTTTCATCCACTTTTTTAAGAACATTTAGCACCAAGCTCAATTACTATTCTCCGGAGGAGAAAGCTTGAGACTAAAGTTTCAAGAGTACACTTTGCAATACTTTGTCGAGATCCTAATTAAGTTATTTCATCTAACTAGTTGTTGACGACAATAGTAGTTATAATGCTTACTTTTCCTTCATCGACAAACTTCTGTGCAGACATGGTAATGAATCTCAAATCAGCTTGGTGAGCGATCACGTCACTGACAAACTCCTTGGTACTGTCCACACTGCTCTCCAATCTCTGGATGTCACTCAACGCTCTTTCCTTGTCTTCCAAAATTCTCCTTGCTTTTCCAAGCCAGTTAGAGAAAATAGTGAGTTCGCTCTTCAATTTACTGAGTTCATCTCTGGCTGTCATGAGACGTCTCAAGAGTCTTTCAGTACGGTCAACGGCTTTGTCAAATCTGGACTTTAGGTTTCTGGAGCTCTTTTCCAGGGCAGAGACTTCGCTCTTTGATAGAATATCGCCAGCTGTAAGGACCAGTTGCCTCACTTGGTCGCCACAGTGTGAAACTTGACCTGAGTGTTGATCCAAGTCGTCCCTGATTTGCTTCATGGTGTTGATTTGGTTGATCAGCTCTTCTTCAACCTAAGAAAAATATTGTTATTTAGCATTTTTTGGTCGTCTTGAAATGAATCAAAATTTGTTTGTTTGTTTCAGATTTATTCAGCATTAATGCTACAATGTCCATAATATCCATATTACACAGTATATCACAAAATATATTATGTCTTCAAGTCTACCTATTTTTATACAACATTTCACTACTATGAATTCTGGTTTTCCATGAGATATTTTTTCAATTTCCCTTTGAACATTTTCAAACTGACACACATCGTGATATCATAATTTAATTTATTACATTCGTACAATCTCTTTTGAAATACTGACTTGGTCGATATATTGCTACTACAGTTTTGTAAATGAAAGTCTATATTTCCTCTAGTAGAATAATTGTGGCACTCATTGTTCAATACAATAAAATTTTCTAAGTGATTTGGAAGAAAATGATTTTTCAACTTGAATATGAAAATGAAAACCTAGTAGGCTATCAAATTTTTGATATTTAACCATTGTAGTTCTTTTAGCATAAAATTTATTCTAGTATATTTATTTTTATTTAAGATGTTGCTCATAGCTTTATTTTGTAATATTTGTAATTTTGAAAATACAGTTTCATTTGCAGTGAACAAAATAGTCGAACGATATAACAAATGAGGAAGAATTATAGTGTTGTACACAGTTTTTTTAGAATAAACGCTTAGGCTATGCGAAATTCTGTAAAAGTAATTTATGTTTTTGGATATTTTTGGAATAATATATTCATAGTGCCGTTCAAATATCAATTTACTGTCTACGTGTATGCCCAAATATTTAAATGATTGACACATACAACTATTATCTAGCTGTTCATAGCGCAGAATTGACGTCATTACTGTACACTATAATAGTATTACTGGTTCAAAATTACCTCGTGAAGAACATCTTGGGATGCGATGCGATCTTCAACTTCACCGATCCAGTGTAGCAGCTTAGATAAGGATTCATCGCAGAGCTTGTACTTCTCCTCAACAGCTTGCTGTAATTTCATCAATTATACTATGAAAACACTGTCTTTAACAAAAGTCTTTTTTAATACTTATCTTTTTGAGATACATTTTTGATTATCTTAAACAATAGCATTGCAAGCATTTTTGTAGGTTTACATACTTTGAGTTAGATGACAAAGGATTTCAAATGGCATTCTGCTAAGAAACTATATCGTTTAGAGTATGTTGAGTCTCCAAAAGATAAGATTGTGCAAGAATTCTGCTAACAGCTATTCCTTTTCTAAGTCGGTTGATAAACATCACTAGCGTATTTAACGTACATATGAATTAGGATTTTTGATCGGTAACTATGCAGACCTGCAAGATGCTGCTTGGATTAGGACAAAACAATATGCTTTCACTTTGCAATAAAAAAAGCTATAGGTACCCTAAAACCTAACACATGCATTCTCAAGCACACACGTATAATATGTTAGTGTAATAAATATATGATGTTACCTATGATTAAAACAAAACCTGTGGAGAAATGCTAAAATCATATAAACGATGAAAACAACAAAAAATAAATTAATGGGTACACTAAAAGAAAAAAATAGGAATAAATATATGATTAAGTTCATGAATGAAATAAAGTATGTCGAAGTAAGCCCGATATTTCAAGAATATTTTGCATTAAACCGAAAGCGGTCCTTTCGTTCTTGTAGGATTATTTTTCAAGTCGAGTAACCACGAGTTGTAACTATTTGAATAAACAAAAAAAATACAAAACCATTTAGTAGTCATATATGTCCCCAACAGCATAATGCTTCACTTCGAGTTCCAAAAAATTACAACATATATGTGGTTCAAACAAGAAATTCTAGAACTTCTTATAAATTGACGATAATTATATAGAATACATACGATATATATTTGTATTTCAGTAAACTGTTATAGTATGTAAGTAATCAGCTGTAAAATTAAAGTTATGAATAAGTAATTAAGGTAAACCATAAAAATATAAAATAAATATTAGTGAACAAAATCAAACCAAATGATGATGGTGATGGTGATTGTAAGATAATGGGAGTGATGGCATGAACTTTTGCATGACACTGTAGTCAGTCCAGAGAAGCTTTAAGCACAATCCTCAAAATAAGCCAATTGGAAGCGATGTATGAGTAGTGCTGCCGTTTACAGTTTTCTTATTTGCAGCTTAAAATTGTTTCAGCAATGAAATAAGCTCCAGACTTGTTGAAATGTGTTCTGACAGGCTCTTGGATCTGGTGTGGCAAGCATGGTATTATGATGATGATACTATAACAGCTTTTGGAGCAGACATTTTCAATCCTGTGCCAGATGGAATTACAAAGTCAAACCTACACTCTTGTTTATCTTATTTGTTATTTTATTTTCGTATTTTAAAAAGGCTGCAGTGACAGCCGAAATGTCGGTATAATCATTTATTAATCAAAATTGATTCCAAATAAAATCTTAAGAAATATATTGGAATGACAGCTACAGAATAAGTTCAAGAAGCAACATTCATTTTTACATCAGCAAAGTTCATCTTTAGAACGCATTTTATGGCAAACAATCAAAATATCGACAAATAGGCAACACGATTGAAAAATTCCATCCAACAGACTTTACCAACAATCCTTTGCGATGACACGATCCTTCCAACAAGCACTAGACATGCAGGCCTAGTAGGTAAACCTCCCAGGTATTGATCGTTAACAACAACAATAAGCTCAAACTGCACACCACCCTGAGCGCAATAGCTTACCCTTTCTTCTGCAGGCATCAACAGGCCCTTATCGAGGGCTTTCAGGAAATCTAAACGTTTGTTTTCACCTTTATCGTGGACCCTACCTTCCACAGGGTCCACTAATTCTGTATCTATTGCGTAGAGTAGAGGAACTATTGTACCAGTTTCGGTATCTTTCACGACAGTACTGCTTGGATCGACGAGGTTGTCTGTTATAGCATCTCCCAGTGTCAATTTTTTTCTGTCTATAATGCTTGTCGTGACAAATGGGTCATTGAAGCAACCTGTGGTGGGGTTATAGAGGCCGTAGCTTATAGACTCAATGAGAGTAAATCCTCGATTCGGAGTGACTAGTAGACCGGTATCTAAAGCGGCTGGTAGCGAGTAAAGTTTTGAGGAAGAGCTGTCTAGTACATTGCCTTTCTCAGCATCTATCAGGCCCTTTCTGAATCCTTCCGGTAGTTTTATCAACTTTTTCTTGTTTGTATCTTTAATGAGCGCCGTATCTGGATCGATGAAACCCAGGGTGATCGAGTCTTTCAACGGTATGAGCTCGTTGGATTGTGGAACAGCGAATTTCCCGGTGTTTACATCAAGGAGGTTTGTTTCGATAGCTTGAGTGAAACTGAGTGGTTCTCGGTGGTAGATGGGGATATTTTGATCGTAGATCACAACTAATGACTTAACGTTACCCGACGACACGTCAAACACAACAAGTTTGTTGAGGTCTAAGTATTTACTTTCAATAGCGTCACTAACGAGGGTGAACCTACCCGTGCGCAAGTCTTTCACAACAGCAGTGTTGGGGTCGATAAACTCGAATTTGATAGCTTCGTCTAAAGAACACTCACGCGGTTGTCTTGGCGATTCTTTATTTTCTGATACAATTTTTGATGTGAACGTCTCATCCAAGGGCTTGTCCAAGGTAACCAAAAAACCTTTTTTAAACGCTTCGTCAAAGTTGTAAGATTTTTTGGATTTCGAATCCAATACTCTTCCCTTTTCAACGTCAATTTTGTGCTCAGCAATTGCTGTGGGTAATGACTTGATAGTGTTTGACACTGGGTCTTTGAAACCGGTTGTGTGAGGGTCGATGAAACCAACAGATAGCGCTTGAGACAAGTCATAGAATTCTCCGTTCACAGGATCCGCAAACTTACCAGAATCGGGTCTATACAGGCAATTTTTGATCGCTTCCTCCATAGTAAGTGGGGTAGAAGAGGTAACTATCAGTCCTCTGTTCTTTGCCTCAAGCAAATCTATAGAATTGCCGTTTGGTAACAAATACATTCCACCTTGATCATCGATCAATTTTTGGTCAACGGCAACAGGAAGTTGTACATACTTATTCTGCTTAATATTCTTTACTATGGATAGTAACGGGTTGATGAGTTCATGCTCACAGGCATCTTTGAGATCAAACTTCCTACCTGTCGCAGGGTGTACAAACAACCCTTCTTCTGGTATATAAAGTCCCATCGCTAGAGCCTCGTATAGACCGAAGTTGGCAGTTTCAATGTCAACTATCAAGCCTGCACTCATCGCTTCTGACAATTTCATGACCCTGTCGGATTGAGGATCTTTAAATGTACCATTACGCTTATCTATAAAACCTAAACGACAAGTGTCTGTAAGATTGTACAACTTGTTTTGTTTTTTGTCAAAGTAGCAAGGCATTAAAGGATTTATATTGAAGTTTCTGATTGCCTCGTGTAACGTTATTCTCCTGTCAGTATTTGGATCTAGAATCTTCCCAGAATTTTCATCATACAGGCCTTGGTGGATAGCTCTTTGTAATGATACAGCCGCCTTGTTATCAACCAAAATACCTAAGCTAAATGCTTTTTGTAGAGGTACCTCGTAACCATCACCTTTCGAAAAATCTTTTACCATAGCAGTGTTCCCGTCAACATAGTTATTGTGAATAGCGTCTACTAAAGGCACTTTTCTCCATATACCGATCCTAGTATCTTTCACACTCACAGATTCTGCGTCTATGAGATTGATCTCTATTGCCTCTATAAGTGTCAAATACTGTCCAGTTTGTGGATCAAGGAACAGCTGTGTTTCTTCGTCGTAGATACCCTTGGCTATCGCTTCACTTAGGGCTATGGGGGGTCGTACCTCGACCAACAAACCTCGTTCAAAGGCTTCGTTGAAGTCTACTGGCTCATTGTAGCTCATCAAAACACCTTCGTTGGTGTCTATGATACCGTCAATGACAGCTTGTTCGAAAGTCACTATCTCCTCGTCGATTGTCACCAAGGTTGAAGAGATGTCTACATATCCTCTGTTAATAGCACTTGAGGTCTTCAATCGTTCTTTGTTCTTGGGGTTGATGAACTTGCCAGTGTTAGGGTCGTAAAAACCTTTGAATACAGCTTCGGGTAGCGTGATTTGACTTTTATATGGTACTACCAAGCCCTTATCGTAAGCTTCATAGAGATTTACTTCGGTATTGGTCACTGGATCAGTAGCCTGACCTTTGACTGGATCGATCAATTTTAACTGTATAGCTTCGTTGAGTGTTATTATATCATCTGACCTCGGATCTTTGACAGTGAGGACATTAGGATTGATAATTCCACCTTCGATAGCTTCTACTAACGTCAAATTTGCATCGTTGATTGTAAACTGCCCCGTCTTAGGATCGTAGACTTTTTGAGCTAATGTTTCTTGCAACGACCATGGTAATACCGTACTCAATATATAACCTTTGAGATATGCTTGGTCTAATGTCAGCAATGGATTCACCAAAACTCCTTTTTCGGCATCAACCAAACCGTTTTGAACAGCTTCTTTAATTTCAACAATTCTTCGACGTCTGTCATCTTTTATTCTTGTGGTTACGGGATCTACAAGCTTACAATCAATCGCTTTTTGTAAGGTTATCTCATCTCCTGTGATAGGATTCAATATAAGTCCAGATCGAGGTATGTAGTAGTTCTGCAGTATAGCTTGTAACAGATTGAAAACCACTGGTTTTGTCCTGATCAAATCTTGCTCCAAAGCTTGATGTATGGGCACAAGTTGTCCAGTTTTTGTGTCCTTGACTTTCCCTTCTTCGGAAAGCACTAAGTTCTTTTTGAGAGCCTCGTCCAGGGGAATAAATGCGTTTTCTTTAGTATCTTTAATTTCGCTAATTTTATCGTCTAAGATCTGTCTCTCGATTGCAACAGATATTGAAATACTTTGTTTTGTCAAAGGGTCTATCACTTTAGATATTTGCGGATCGAACATTCCCTTATTTATAACAGCTTGAAGAGAGATTGGACGAGGTATCGCAAGAACATGTCCCTGAAGAAATGCTGCTGAAAACGGTATAGTTTCTTGCGTCGCGGTGTTAACAACCAGACCTCTCTGAGGATCGACCACTGACCTATCTACAGCTTCGTAGTATGGCATCAACTGCATGTTTTTAGGATCTTTAATAGTGACAGATTTTCCATCGATCACGTTTGAAGTAATAGCCTTGATCAAAGGCATAGCTTTGCCGTCTGAAGTAACAGTAGCACTGACAGGATCAAACTTGTCAGTATCAACAATCTCTTGTAGGGTCAACGGTTGGTATTTTTCTTTCGGCTTATCTTTAACATCAATAATCCAACGTAGCTTAACAGCTTCAAAGAAAGGCACTTTCTTACCAGTCTTAGGGTCAACCATGTAACCGGTATGTTTATCAACCAAAGGTCTACTAAGGGCTTCATCTAATGTAATATAAGTGGGCGGTTTCTTTGTCAAGTCTTTAACTAGGATAGAGCTGGGATTGAAAACGCCTAAACCATATATGAACTCCTCAAATGTTATGTGCTGCCCGGTTTGTGGGTTGAGGAACATGCGGTTTCTTAGATCGAAATAGCCCAACTCTGCAAGTTTCTGTGCTGTGATGTTTTTGGAGATAGTTAAGACTCCAGTTTGTAAATCTTCAAGAAGAATTACTTTGTAGTTCGTGACAATCTGGATTTCATCTAAAGGGCTAATCTTATTTTGCTCTAAGCCGTCTTGGACTGTGAAAGGCAATTCTCTGTTCTGATGGATGATCCTACATATTTTTGGTTCAATTTTGTTTTGTGAGATAGCGTCTCCAACAGGCAAAATGATCACTTTTTGGGGCTCCTCTATTGTAACAGCAATTTCTTCTTTAAACTGTGGTTTTTGTTCTGCAACAGGAATATGTTTAAGGTTTTTCTGTGAGTATATTTCCTGTGCGATAACTTCACTAGATGATGTTTCTTGTTTCTTCTTATCTCTATATTCTTTGACTGCTTTCACAGCTGCTGCGCCAGCAATAACTGGAGCAATTACAGGCAACGCAAGCCCCCCTAGTACTGCTATCAGCCCTTTCTTAGCGGCTTCTTTGAATTCTATGGATTTTCCAGACTGTTCGTCCTTCACTTTGCCTGATTTTGGATCTATTAGCCCTTTTTCTACAGCTTGTTCAACGGTGATCGGTTTCTGCAAGTTCACATCGTAAATCATAGAGTTGGGATCTATTATTTCCTTATCTAAAGCCTCTTTGAATGTGAGTTGTTTATTATCATTTGTAGGGTCGATGAAAGTACTAGTTTTCTCGTCGTAAATTGTCTGAAAAGCTTCTGCAATATTCAGTTCTGTTGTTTTAGTTGTCAACACAGTGCTTTGCATCTCTTGGGTAACCTCAGGTACTGCAGATATTTTTCCTTCTTGTAAAGCCTGCTTTATCGGTACTTTTTCACCAGAATGAGGGTCAGTGAACGTACCAGAATTCATGTCAACGAGACCTCTGTGTAACGCATCGCTAAAGCTCATTTTGATGTCTTTGACTATAGTTTTGTTTTTGGTTTCGTTGAGATCTCTAATAATTCCTTGAGCTTTAGCATTGTCTATAGACATTATTTCACCCGTATCGATGTTTTGTACTTGGTTTTTGTTGACCAAAGCATAGCCAGATTGAATTTCTATTGTTTTCGTAGTAACCGTATGTATCGTATCTACGGTTTCGGTAACAGTAGTAACAGGAGCAGAATGGCTCAAAGTAACTGCATTTGAAGGCTCTTTAATGACCAGCAAGCCTCTTTCAACGGCTTCCGATATCGGATAAACTTCACCAGTAGTTGGGCACTTGAACGTGTTAGTGGACGGGTCGATGAGTTTTGACTCTAAGGCATCTTCAACTTTAACACATTCGGGACTAACAGGAAAAGGTACAGCCATGATAAAGTTGCTATCGATAGCTTGGTTTATTGGAATGGTTTCTTTAGAGATCGGGTGAACAATTTCTTTTTTGTCAGTATCAACCAAGCCTCGTCTGACAGCAATAGGGAATGTCATGCCGGCTGGTGGGAGTTCAATTGGGCCTCGAGGCGCCTCTTCATCAAACACATCTTCTTTAACAGCTTCATGTAAATCTACACTACCATGACTAGTTTCCACGGTTGACGTATCATCGTCGATTACGCCAGTTTCTAACGCTTCGCTTAAATTTATTTTATCACCTGTTTTCTTAACTAGTGTACTAAACGGATCTACGATATCACAGACAATAGCTTCGCTAATACTTAACTGAGCACCAGTTTCCGGATGCACGACTTTTTGCGTATCAGTGTCATACAAACCCTGTTTCAATAATTCTGGAATGGATAAACTACGGTTCAAAGGCACTAGGAGTTCGTTGGTACCCTCTGTGTCCAGGATACCCCTGTTTATAGCTTCATTTATGTTAAGGAGATCACCCCTTTGCGGATCAACGATCTTACCCTGCTCTCCGGAAAGCTTGTTAGCTTCCATCGCTTCTTGTAAAGTTAATTTGTGACCTTCGGGAGTCATAAAAGTATCTTTCTTGTCGAGTAGTTCAGCTGTATCTTCGTCGACTATTCCTGTCTTAAGAGCATCTTTTGGTCTCACAATTTTCTTCCTCAGTTTTTGTAAAACGACTTTCTTAGCTTCACGTTCCGGGCTAAGCGATTGTGCCCTTCCAATTTTGACACTATATGTTGGTTCGATGGTTATCCTAGCCCTGGTCTTGTCAGCCTCTGACATACCATCTTCTAAGCTTATGGTAGCCGTGCTCAAGGTTTTGGCTTTCTGGGTTGTAGCAACCTGAGGTTGTAGTCGCTCCATCTGTTGGGCTGTTGCAATACCTTGCTCTACTGCCTCTTCAGGAGAATATACTTTTCCTGTGGTGTGATCTACAATATTTACAGGACTGGAAGATCCACCTTCAAGCGCCTTCATGTCATCGTACTGCTTTTGATCGATAACACCTTCTTGCAAAGCTTTTTCAGCAGGCATTTGTTTGCCAGTGTTAGGGTCAACTACGAACGTCTGTTTGACTATTTTGACTATAGCTTTAGAGCCTAATACTGGTGCACCAATGACAGAGAGTAGCCCAATTTTGGCAGCGTCTTTGAGTGAAATCTTCTGGCCAGATTTGTCTGTGTAAGTGCCTTCCTTCGGGTCAACAATCTTCTTCTCTATAGCTTGATTGATGGGGATTTGACGCCCAGTTTGAGGATCTTTGACGATAACCGACTCTTCGGGGATCTTTCTATCTAAAACAGCAGTTATTAGGTTTGATGTTTTCTTCTGCTCTGGATACAAAACGAGGTCGGTCTGAGGATCGTAGATAACACCAGGTTGTACCTGAATCGGCTCGTCGTGGGTAGTACTAGAGATATCCATAAAAGTGTTTGGAGCTGACTCTATTTGTACTTTGACAGGTTCTCCATCTGCCCTCGTGATCTGAACCGTTTTTTGGGATGTCTGATCTACATCCATGGGCTCTTCTAAAAGGATATATCCTCTGTCTATAGCTTCCTTCATTGTTATTTTAGTACCTTTATCTAAACTATAGTGTCCAGTGCTATCAAGAACATCTTTCTCTAAAGCTGAAGTGATGCTTATTTTTTGCTTAGTTGTAGGGTCAATCACAGATGCGGATGCAGGGTTTATTAGTTTGACACTGATGCACTCTTCAAAGTTTATAAATCTTCCAGAGCCAGGGATGCTGAACATACCTGTGGTTGGATCATACAATCCTTGCTCTATCGCTGTGCCTAACAACCATCCCTCTTTTGGCACTTCAAATACTTGTTTCTCTAGTTCTTGTTTTTCGCAGGCTATGAACTCCGAGGTCAGACTGCTCTTCTTTTGTGTAAACTCTGTAAGTTGGGGAGATTCTTTCTTGCTAATAATTTTGATCACAGTCGACGTAGAAGACTTTGGCACAGCGTTGATAACTACTTTTTCAGAGCTGTCAGCATCAGGAGCTAGTTTACCTTCACTTATAGCTTGAACAATGGGTATGACCTCTTTGGTCACAGGATCCGTGTAAGTTTGGTTTTCATTGTCAATCAATCCTTGTCTTAGGGCTTCAGTATATGTGATGACTTCTTGTTTGACGTCTCTACTAGTTACGGTGACGTACCTTTGAACTAGAGTGCGTGTGATTTTTGTAGATACGTTGAGATTTAGGAGGCTATTAAGCATTGCAGCACCTTCAGGAGTGATAAGATGCTGGGCTATAGCCTCGTTGAGATAAATTACTTTATTGGTACTTAGATCGATTAAATTGCCGGTTTTGGGGTCGATATATCCACGGAATACTGCTTCTAATACGTTTAGTTCTTTTTGATTTTCGACGATGCCGATAGGGCGCGTCAACATTTCGTATACCTCTGGTTTGACTTCACCTGATTTAACAGCTTCGAAGAAAGGTATGAGTTTTCCACTCTTTTTACTCACTAATAAACTCCCGTTGTTATTTTTACTGATATAGCCTTTTGCGTTAGCTGCGTTGAAGCTAATATGATCCGACTTATCGGGTGGTTGAAAACCGTCAACGTCGAAAATAGACTTTCTGACAACGGAAATGACGTAACCTCGGCCAACAGCTTGCGGTATTGTCATGAGTTCGTTCGTAACAGAGTTATGGTACTTACTATCAGGAGTAATAATACCTTCTCGTAATGCTTCACTCAAAGTAAGGTATTCGTTATTTCTAAGGTCTAAGATGGATCTTATCGAGTCAACGTCTAATACGCCACGGTTCGCTGCTTCTAATAAGGTTAGTTTTGACTGATGCATAGGTGAGGAAATTTTACCGCTATCGTCGATAAGTTCGTCATCAACAATTTCTTTAAGAGTTTTTGGTTTGACGATAAGACCGCGCCGCTTGGCTTCCAAGAAACTAAGTTTCTCATGACCGAAAACGTATTTTCCGAGTTTAGGGTTAATGATGTGTTTGTCTAGCGCTTGGATTACAGTGACCTTCGAGTCAGTCTTAGGATCTACGACCTCTCTAACATCTCCATCTACGACATTGCACTTAATAGCCGCATCGACCTGATACTTATTTCCCGTGTTTCTGTCCACAATCCACCCAGTCTTCTCGTCGAGCAACCCTTGGGTGATAGCGTCTGACAACGGGACTGCGCCAGTCTGCAGTTTGACTTCCGTGTGCTGCAGGAGGTATCCCCTCCTGTACGCTTCCCTGATATCGATCCTTTCTCCTGAGTCGAGGAGGTAGGTGCCAGCTGTCACGTCTACCCTACCATCATCTATGGCTTGATTTATCGTGGAGCTGTGCTCGGCAGGGGTTACCTTCATCCGCTTTTCGCTGGTGTCTGCCGAACCGTGCTCAGCCTCGTAAAGCTCCCGTTGGATGGCTTCTAGCAGGGTCAGCTCCCTGCCTGTAAAAATATAAACTAATAGTAAATATGCCATTCCGCGCCGCGATAGCGATACAAAACGACGACGTGCCTGCTCAGTGCTTTGTATGTATGTGATACAAGTTTCCTCCCTGTCACTGCAGTACATCATGAAATTTTCGGGCTGTTTTTCTTGGAGGAATGATGAAATTGCATTGCTTTATGCTCAATGTCACTATCAACTCATAACCAGTACAGAGATCACGTTTCTCGACTCGACTAAGTTGAAGAATCGACAATAGAGTCGAATGATTTGTTCACGATAATCGATCGAATAGAGAATAAAAAATACGACCGTTTTTTGGAAGTCTTTATTGGGAATGCGCCTGACACTAACATTTGGTAGGTGCATCATCGTGATGGAACAATCAGTCTCCTGACTGCCATAAAACGGGTCTTTTTTGCAGAACACTGTTTCGCAAAGGTCTTAAAACCTCCAAATAGCACAAGCTCTCGAAAATTTTCGTCGATTCGGGCAGTTGATGGACGTCCAGAGCGAGGTTTGTCATCAATCAACATCGTAAAAAACGAAACAAGCACGAAACAGCTCTAGCAAAAATAATGACTACAGAGGAACGAAACAAGCCAGAGCGACAACTCACGTGGCGCTGAACTGGTAATGATTTGCGCTGTACACCTTCTAGGAGCAGACATGTGTACTACACAAGCTCCGCCCACTGCAATGCTATTCAGGTATATTTTGGGTACCTTCTCGTATTTAATATTCTGTCTCATACAATTGGAAGCATGATAAATTTAGCAAAAATAAACAAGTTTCTCATTACAAAATGATAAACAATAGATACATAACCTATCAAACAGCGGAAAAACTATATTCGGTCTCTTGGATACTCCCGAATAAATTTGATTTGATATCGAGTCGATAAATCGACTATAGTGAACGTATTCTTACTCAATTGTCGACCAATTTGACCCGTTTCAATCGAGATCGAGACTCGTGATCCTACTACTGATTTTTATTGACAGTAATTAGTCGAGGAAACACCGCGTGTCGTCGCCTGATGTCGGTATCGTGGCTCGGAACGGCATTTCAACATATTCTTTTAAAAATCAATCAAGTTTTGTATTTTTGTACTTAAAAGTGATGTTCCAAAAGCTATATGATGCACGTTGCCCTGAGCTTTGTCAGTGTTTGGCAATGATAAGCTTTTGAAACAATACTAAAGCTTACGATTACAATACCGAAAGGCCACGAAGTATTTGCGAAAGGTAAAGGTTGTTGCTTTGAACTAGTTTGATTTTGGGCAGATATCGTAAGGATAATTAATCTGTCACCAAAGATTATCCAAGTGTCGTATTCATTGATTCGCCAATTCGCAGCGCCACTTAATGCAAACATTGGATACGAGGTTTGCCCAGAAAATACGTATAAAAAAATCGGGGTGTCGTCTCAAGGCGTTGTGGACGGGTGGCCCGGTGGTTCTCTATGCAATCTCCTCCATGCCCAGTTCGAGCCGGAGCGCTCTGCGAGTAAGTCGGATTTACGTGTGCTTGTTGAAAGTAACCATTTTTTTACCTGCCGTCGGCATGGACCTTTCTCTGACAAAAACTTGAAATGAAAAAAATTGGAGATAATTGTCTGATGGATCCAACCGTCAACAAGTGGTTGAAAAGGTTTCGGGAAGGCCGAGAAGATGTGAAAGATGATCGACGCTCAGGACGCCCCTCCACATCGAGCTCTGAGGGAAATGTTGAACGAATTCGGGGCTGTGTTCTTAAAGACTGTCGATAGACAGTTAGAATGATAGCTGAGGAACTGTCAATCCCCAAAACAATCGTCCACGAAATTCTGACAGAATAAATTGTGCGCGTAAATCTTTCCGAAGCTCTTGACTCCAGAACAGAAATCAAGGACAGTTGCTTTCTGTGAGGATTGGTTGGAAAAGGGGGGACTTTCTCAACCGGGTCATCACTGGAGACGAGCCTTGGTTCTACAAATTCAATATGGAGCTGAAATCTCAAAGCATGGAGTAGAAGCAAGCAGAGAAACCGAGAACAAGAAAGTCGAAAAAATCAAGGTCAAAAAATGCTAATTTCAAATTTTCACCGATCTCACATTAATTTGTATAAATATTATAGTCTGGTACCGCTTATTTCAATGAAGACTTGAAACTTGCTTCTAAATGGTTAACATCAAACAAACTCAAATTAAATACAAGCTATGATAATGTAAAAATGTTCAATTATATATTGATGGTGAATATATTGAATGCGTAGAAAATTTTAAATACCTTGGGATTTTTGTTGACTCTCAACTAATTTTTGGCATTAATTATGAGCACAATATTGGTAGTAAAGTGCGATACTTATCAAGAGTTTCTGGATGTCCGAGTTCATATAGTAGAAAAATTATCTATAATATTATCATTCTTTCAAATTTCTTGTACTGCTCGACTATTCTAGATTTAGCTAATAATTCGATTTTTGTAAGACTGCAAATTTTACAAAACAAGTGCATGAGAATAATACTAAGATTCTAAAATCTTTGTATCCTACCATTTTCATTTATTCCACAAGGACTATGTAACTTCTCAGCAACAGACGGTGCGATTAATCCAGCTTTCCTTGCTTCATCAATTGTCATTTGTGTCCCGTCAGGTGATGCTACAATTTTTCCTGTTCTGACGTCTAGAATGCGTTCCGAAATGGCGTCCTGTAATAAATAAAAACAATTCAACAAAAAAAATCTAGAAATGGTACACCGTGGAACATCTACAAAAAATTAAATTCTGACAAAGGATGGTCACAATAGAGAACGTACTACAATTGTAGGACGCCTTTATGGCGTCCTTTATTTTCATAGTTTTTAACTCTTCCGGGTCAGCGATCTATTTTGAGGTTATGTTACAAATTTCTATTTGCATCAAATCGTTCATACTTTTGATTTATATCATCTGTTATATAGCCTGAAATTTTCGTATTGCAAAACTTTTATAGTACCTTTGTATTTTCGTTCTTCAGTCACTTTGATCTGTGTAACTTCAAACACACATGCCTAAACTAAACCATCAAATAGGTTAACAGAAATTTGATTTAAATTTATCAGATCATGACTTTGTCAATTTCGAGTACATTAGAAAACATTATATGGTCACATCATTGAGGTACCTATAATTGTACTTGTGAGTGACGATTAAGAATACTACTTTTAGCACTAGATTATCTCGCACTTTTCGGGTTTCCAAAAAGTATTTTTGACTTCTTCGAATCATAAGCTTCAGTTTTCACCGAGTTGGGTTCGTTCCAAGAAGAGGAAAATAATGCCGATATTAGAAATTGTAATTTCTCAGTGTTTTTTTTTCTTTGGATCATTTGTTTCTGAATCATATTTACAGGTATTATATCAGTATTGTCATTTTTAACAACGTTCTGGCTACAATCCACTCTGGCTCAGAATATTCTATACTAGTGCAGAACCTACTACAATCTGTCATCTATCACAGGTGTCCTATCTCACCGTTCGATGTCAGTAATAATTTCGGTGATAACAGTTAACAGAAGCGTAGGTCCGTTTTCGAGGAAAATTTTAGAACATTAGATTGAAACAGCATTTGGTTAAAAAAAATACATACATATATCGCATCTTTCTAAGTGTAAATCGGTGTAACTGGAGACACTGGTTTGATGATACCCACATAGCGGTGTATGAACAGTACCTAGTCAATGCTTCCATTTATATGATCGTCGTGTAACATTTGTGGTAATTTTACCTTAATTGTCATGTACTCCCCGGTAAACGGATTCACAATTCCAGCAGCATCCGCGATATTATCGGTGCCAATGCTCTCGTGCACCTTTCTGACCCTCTTTGAAGCCCTAATTTCAGCGAACTCCACTCGGGGTTCTCCTATGTGCGTGAGTGTGGTGTGTCTGTCGGGGGGTCGACCTCCATTCAGCACTCTATCTGGTTCGTCAGGAGGCGATCTGCCACCTATAGTTATCGTTGTGCCGTTTTCACCTGAAGTGCGGTGGCTTGTTTTCACATATCTGAAACAGAAGAAAATTTAGTCAAGTAGGTGGTCTCGGCACTTTCCACGGATTCAAATATATCTCTCTTCAACGCTGTAGCTACTTGGAAAGTTTAAGAATTATTAGTGATAAATGATGAGTGAAATATGAGAGATTCGCGGTTTAGCCACATAAAAACTCATTTAAGTGTGATTCAAAGTGAACACAAAGTTCGATTTTTCAATTTTTTATCCCTCAAAAATTATTTTTTGCTCCACCTGATTAGAAAGATGAGAAACATCGAAAAACGGAGTGTGCGAGCTAATATTTTTAGTTTTTAGCTTTACTCCAACACCACTGAACACATTTTTCAAAACCTATGAAGCTATCTGGTTCTTGGTAATAACGTTGTGAAAAATTTTGTCAAAATCCGAGTTATAGAGGGGGGAAAAAATGCAGGATAAGATAGACATAATAGACAGCCCATCGGAAACCAGTGACATGGTCTTTTATGTATGTACATTCAACATTCAAAAACATAATATCGCGATTTATAAATTTCCTGCAAAGTTGATTGGGGACGTTCTGGGTATAAAATTATAGATAGATAGCCCGGAAATATTTTCTGGCAAAAATTCCTCAAGCCATTTGTTAGCGCTAAATGGTTATTTAAACAATTAATGTTGAGACAGAGCAATTAATGGATTAAGCGGATCGTATTTATGATTATACATTGTGATAAATGGTAAAGTTTGATATATCTTATAAGATGTGAATTTAAAACTACAGTAAAACACCGTACAGTAACTCAAACGTTTGTACATTCATGAAATGAAATACAGCAAGACCAAGTAGCTATTACTTTCAGGACCTTAAAAAATATTCTATGTAAGGGCCACATTTTTCCCAAATATTTTCAGTCAATCATTTTTTCTGTTTTTTTCACACAGTGATTAGGATAGATATGCGCCAGTACTGTCTGAATAAGATATGACCATACCACATCAGTACCAAAATTAAGTTTAGCATCGCACGCCACTGTTAACGCGGACTGTTTTTGAATACGATGAGTTATACCAATCTTTTCCAGTTTGGTATTTGTTCATAACTTATACTTCAAAGAAGTAGTATACCAGTATTGAAAAACTATACTTACTGTTTACTGTAGTGTGTGGTCGTGGTATAAGTAGCAGTGTGTTCACTAGCACTGCTCATATGGAATTCAGTCCTAAACGTCCTGAATGGTTGTGGCTGCATCTGCTCTACTAGCCTCTGTAACGAGAAAAAGCAAATGTCAGGCCATTTTTCCATTCCTCAGTATTATTCACGACATCTGGTAGGTACCATTCCCCATATAGTACAGAGGATCCAATATTTACCTATCTGGGGAGTAAAGTGAGCTTTTATGGCCCGCGAGCTCAAGATGCGGAGCGCCGCGGGTTCTAATACATTTTACAAGGTCTGAAGTACATCCAAAAGTGTATCTAAGACCGGCTATAGATTAAACATTGGTTTCAAGTGACCAAAAAATGATGGTACTATATCACTAGTTGCCGATAGTTGAGTCGTTACCTAGCAACAAATAAATATTAATTTTCTTGGTCGATGAGCATAGGTCTATTCAAGGATAGCGGGCGTTAAAACGTATATAACCGCCCAGGGCCATCTACCTGTCTACGAAAATCCTGCGTCCAAGCCACGTGTAAATGTTATAGACAAACTACTTCAACTAATCATGCAGAAATATATATTTTCTATTAGCTCCGGTATAGTTTACAGCATTCCAACGGTGTCTTGACCTACGACAATCTCAAGTATCGATTTTCTAAATTCTTCCCAGCGACCGGCGTAATGGCCTCTGCGAAAATAGATCCGATTCTTTTAATTCGAAGTTTTCAGATACCCCGCTGCTAAATATACTCAAATATTTACTCAGAAATTTTCGCGGCGCTACGGTCTAATGTTTATTTATGTGCTATTATCCATCATTCAAGCTCCTCTCTGTCTGAAGCTCAAGTATAAAATAACCAAGCCAATTTCCTTATTGCTTACTGGGTACTTCAACTTCTGTATCGCATCAAACATTAGAGATTTCGCAGACAGTTGCAATTAACTATGAAAGTGCTATAGTCAGATAGGGGTCCTGTATATATCATCATCATAAAGTATTTTTCAAAGAAAACCTTCCCCGGTTATTTTTTGAACGGTCAAGATAGCAAGTTGAAATTTGAGGTGTACAAATTAACGTAAGGCGCCATTTTTTTAAATGTAATGGGGGTCTTGTCATTTACGATATCAATGCCTTACAAAATGGCGGACTTGCAGCGTTTTTGTCTAATGAACATATAACTCAACAACCAATCATATCAATTTCCTTTTCTTGGAGCGGTCCATCCAAATATGTAACTAAATATGAAACATTCTGCTTAAAAAAATTGACAAACTCTTTTCTAAACGGAAACCATATTTTATCGAACATGAAACGGTTGGACTTATTGGAATTTTGAGGTAACGTTTTTACGCCCTTTTTTCATACCCGCGAAGTCATAAGGCCTAAGCACCCCTGGGGAATCGTCGCGCTATATGGGGATACAGGAGAAAGGGGAGACGCCCCACAGACCCTAGCGAGGGCACACGTGTGCATACAACATTCACACATTCTGGCCCCGCCTACGAGATCCGTCGGGTGGTACCTCCGCGTTCGAACGTCAGAGACCATCTACCACCTACGGACAATCACAACAACCATAGCCAAGAGAACAATTCTCTTGGGACGGGATTCGAACCCGCCCAGCGCACGGCGACTGATTACTAGACCCATATACAACTCACCAACTAATATCAATGTTATCAATTTTCTTTTCTTGGAACGGCCTATCCAACTATCCAACAAAATATGAAACAATCTATGAAAAACATTCTCAAAATCTTTTTCAATGCAAACCATATTTTATCAAAAAGGAAAAGGTGGGAATTCTTCAAATTTTGAGGTAACGTTTTTATGTCCTTGAAGTTTTATGTTGTTTTGCTGAACATTTCAAAAGTTAGTTCTTATCGCAGTAGCTCAAACGTGATCCTACTCTTTGTCTTAGGATTTTAATATGAAAAATGCGTCTTTTTTGGAAAGATGATATTTCGACGTTTATCGACGTCTTCAGGGCTACAAAATGTAAAAAATTGACTTTCGACAAAACGCAAACAATATCTGCACAAGGTAAGGTTCAAAAAATACACCAAAGTCAAATTCTTTTAGCGGTGAAAGTTGAGTACTTGATGAGCACAGAATAAATCTCCACCCAAATTTGTCTATTGTTTTGAAGCTTTCGACACATTGGGTAGGCGATATATTAATGATCTCTTTTGATCTTTCGTCGCATCAAAACACTTCAAGCTTATCAATATTCATCTCGAAGAAATAGCAGAAACCTTGCCAGGATAAATTAAAGATTCAAACTTCTATTTATCATCCTTGACCCAAAGTTTTGCATAAATTGACATTCTCACTCCTTGATATGCAAGGTAAACAGTACTAGTCAATCTGGTATCTACTTTGTAAATAAACATCTACGTAATCGTTTATTTTGAATTTGAAACATGCGAATGATTCTACATATGAATGAAAGTGAACGTGAACCCATTAAATTATCTCATTTAAAGAGAATTTAAAATCGAGTCACATGTTGGATGCAATCCAAGTTTTTGGAAAGTATTTTAAGCATGCACAACAATATGATGACTTCCACATGCGAACAGAACAAAAGTGATTGAAAAAATGAAGGATATAAAGTTATGATGTAAGTTTACATCGAAATTTTTGTCATCTTCAGTTCATCCAATGGCAGGCATTTACCTTTCAATATTAATACAAATTATTCTCCTTGAAAATCCATAACATGGTAGTGCGAATGTATTGTCGCATTGACATATTGGACCAACACAGGCCAACACTAATGTGTGCATTGACCAGGTTTGGCCAACGTGGATGCTGAATTATTAAAAACATACTATGTTGGCGTCAACACATTGGCGAGATCGTTAGCTTCAATGTGTGAATGCGAAATATCACAAATTGGCCGACGTATGCGAATTTGGTAGGCTGTTTTGTAACAGTCCAAACTCAAGACAAAGTGTTGCTTTCATCTAAATACGCATTTCAGAATGAGCCCTGGTCATACGTGCTATACAAAGATCGTAAATCAAATAACAATGTACTTCCATTAGGCGCAATTCCTAAATAGTATAAACAATCATAATGCTTATGCATCTAATATTCTTTTAACTGGATTTGGAATACAAGAATTATGATCTCTCGAGTTTGCAACTCGCTCGAAAAATATAAACAAGCAAAAGCTTTCTGAAAGCATAAACAATGAAGAAAATGATTACCCTTAAGTACTTTAGTACTTAGAGTTAGGTTTATTATATTTCTTTCATCAGTAACCGTCGGGTGACAGTTTATGTATCATTTTAACATATGAATATGTATATGCTGTTAGAAACTCCAGGGTATAATTTCACTATCCATTAAGTAACATAACAGCAATCCTACGTTGCCTTCGAGTCATAATATATTCTTCCAACAAGTGCTTACTCGTTTCTATAAGAATATTTATTTGAATGCTCCCTTTATTTATGCCAGCGGATCTACCTTACCTTGCGACGTAATTTTACAATATCTAGTACAAATGATAACAAAGTCAGATTGTAATTGGCCTTGAAACATGATAGTGGGGACTGCGTACCGAATATCGGAACGAGAAGCAATGACACTTTACGATAAATAGGGGGTTTGGAAACACAAAAAATTCCCTTATCACACCACATAATACATACAATTTACATACCAAACAGGATAGACCCAACTTGAGGCAACCACATCAAAAATTACCGACTACTAGTAGTGTTATCTAAATTGTTAGCACGTCCAACTTTGTACGTTGACTCTTCTGTACTATATTTATCTGATCTAGTCGTTTCTAAAACAAGTTTAGCTGTAACTTTTAGCACTAAACGATCATGGAAAGAAACGATTTTCTGTATGTTACTATTGTAGTAGTGTCATAATTTAATATTTAACGCCACATTGATGCGATTTCTGTCATGTTTAAAATTAGAAATAGCGACTAATTTTCAACGCCACCATGCATTTTCAATTAGCAGTTATTTATAGTTTTTATTTGAAACAAATCAGTTGACCTTACTCATTATTTTCATTCATATCCATATCTATACATGCGTTGTCTGGTTTATACATGGTTTTATCTCAATTTCCGGTCACAGTAGCATTGATCAAGGTAATCACCAATTAAACTAATAAGCAAATATAATGATCCTATAATAGAATTTTTATTGCTACGGATATGTATACATTTTTATATCTATTTAATATACAACGGAATCAAACAACAGGGTAATACTAAGGGTGATCACGGCTGATACATAGGTATTACACAAATAACGGGTTAAAGTTCTTCATGCGTTTGCGATTCAAAAATTTTAATGCCTTGAAGTAGGGGGGATTTACTTTCCACCCTCGATAGCTAAACTGATGTGGTGTCAGTTCGCATTACCGGGCTTGCGGATGATGAGATAGGGTTGGATTTTCGTCAGTTCTGGTGCTTTGATAACAGTTAGATTGGAAGTCGAAGAACGCGTATCGCTTGGTAACATTATCGCATCAGTAATCATTCCAAAAAGTAGAAAAACTGTTAAGACAATGCAAACTGAAAGAATCCAGTGGATAGATATATCGCTGATGAACAGCCAGGATAAATAGTTACAGTTGCATATGAACACCCTATGCATCGAGGTAAGGACGTCATGGTTAAGACAAAGTACTTGATGATGATGAGACAGCCAGAGGCGAATTCTTTCATCAAGCAGTTCTGATTGTAGTTGACATTTCTTTTTGATCCTCTCTTTGGGCTGCTCGACCAAAGACCTCGCTAGCACTGCAGCCTCTAGGGCTTATTGTACCTTGCTCCTCGAGTTTACAGTACACATTCCAGCAGTGTACAGTTCTGTTGGTACTGTTCTAATCTCCCTTGGTTCTAGTTTTGCTTTCCCAAAGAGTTGATGTCTTTTGTGGACCAGCGCCTCATACTCACATAAGACATGTACGGCTGATGCAGCCCTATTTTGCTAAGATATTCTTCCAGGCCATTGCGTCCTGTTAGAAACTGTGTAAAGTGCACGGCGTTTGGAGCATTTCCTCAGTCTTGCTTGTACACTAAGTGCCAATGTTCCTTGTGCTGAATTCTTACCCATTCTGTGACTTGGTTCCTTATTGTGCTTTTTGGCACCCCCAAGGCAGGTTCTGGGCCTGTATAGGGTGTGGATGATCTTTTGTGGTTAAAATAAAAATGAGAGAATTTTTTGACAGCGTTCATTATGTAAAAAACTTATAAAACGCCAAAAAACCTATAAAATGTCATCTTGCAGACTAGGTGGTTTTTAGGGTGCAAACAGTCATTCAAAGTTTGCTCACTAGGATCGTTATGAGCGTCTATCTATGGAGGAATAGCTCAATTACACGTCTACATGCATTGTTGGTTGCATATATTTTGTGGAGTCTAGTAGTCTATAGTTTTTATCTCTGAGAAGAAAGTTGGTTGAATAGCAAGATCGCATCTGGATGATTGTGTGTATTGGGCTGAATGTGTATAAAATCAGTGATATTTGTTGTGTGAGAAAATCATTCAATCAATGAAGTATATCTATTAGCTGTGCCCGACGGATTATTTATATGTTGTCCTTACTGAAGTCAGATTATGTCCAAAGTTATAAATTACGATGTTTTACTTTTTATGTTTTGAAAAACTTTGAGAGTTACGGGAAATAACCATCGCGCCCGCGTTGTGTGTAATTACTGTTAGTAGGTATATGACTTGTAATTCGACGATGGATAAGAAAAAACTGGATGCTCAACTAACTTCCAGCTTTGAATCTCAAAGTGTATTTGAGACAAGAATCTAATGGAATTATCATCAACACATATTATTAGCACACAAATCCTCACTATGTACCTATGCATTGCCGTTACCTCCTGTAATGCCATCTCTGAAGCAGATTTTATATCACATCAGAGCTAAACATTGATAACTGACGTCTGGGCAACACGTACAACTACAAAAACGAGTTTCCAACGTGTACATCAGCTAGTGCTAAGGCCCGTATCGTCAGTCATCCCTAATTGTAGGGCGCGCTTATGGCCTCCTTGATTGTGATAGTTTTCTAATTTTCGTGTCAGCGCTCATTTTGAGGTTACCTCACAAATATCTGTTTGCATCAAATTGTGCATGCTTTTGATTTATATCATTTTTTATCAGCCCGAAATTTCCTACAATTTAAAAAGAAAACATATCTTCACAATAGGAGAGCGCTGACGCTGACATGGGACAAGTGTAATCTAGAAATTTTTGAAGGAGAGAAAGCAATATGACAATCAAGGAGGCCATACACGCGCCCTACAATTCTAGGGACGACTGACGATACGGGCCTTAGGCACTCTCCTATTGTGAAGATATGTTTTCTTTTTAAATTGTAGGAAATTTCAGGCTGATAAAATATGATATAACTCAAAAGCAAGCACAATTTGATGCAAATAGATGTTTGTGACATAACCTCAAAATAGAGTTCTGACACGGAGAAGTAGAAACCTATGACAATCAAGGAGGCCATAAAGGCGCCCTACAATTGTAGGGTCGACTGACGATACGGGCCTTAGTTAACATCTTGTAGAAAAACCTAAATAATGTCACAAAAAACCAATATAATGTTCAAGGTACCCGTGCGGTTCTGATAATGACGTAATGACGTGTTTGCGACTTGTAATCGAATATACCGGTTATCAAATTGGTTTGGATTGACATTTGGATTAAAAGTTTTCTTTGAGGTTTTTAGACTCTCAGAAAATATTAGATATATATTATTGCGTCATATTTGCAATGCACTTAAAACTTAACAAGTGACATTAGATCGATTTTGTATGACACTAATTTTGATCACAAAACAAAAGAGGTGTGTGGCGTATTTTGGGGCTGTTTATTTCGAAACAAAAGTATCTTTAGCGGTTAAAACGAGTGTGGTGCATTTTCGAGGCTATTTTTCTCGAAAAATCATAAACGTATAATTAGTATTTAATATATCACATAATCAGTATGGTTAAGTAGATCTCTTCGGGAACACAACCATACACTTTTTATTTGAACCCATTGGGAAAAAATCCTGTAGGCGCATTAAGCTGAAGGGGACCGACAGTAGCTGTCGCATGTGTATGAAATCTCCGTGATAAGGGCAAAAAGGTTATTGTAGTCATAAATCTGAAGTGCTGGAGGTGGGAAAGATATCAAATCAGACTAGGCAAATTTTCTTTGGATTCTGGGATAACTTCACTGAACATAAATTTTGCCTGTCTCACTCCAATAAAATGGGACTGAGGTAGAATAGTGAACATAAAATCATTGAACTGATTTGCAATGTCTGAATCGCAAACCAATTAAAAAATTAACTCATATCTCAAACCATACATCAATCTTTGTCGTTTATTTCTATGACTGCTGATAAACATACGACATCGATAACGATAAAAGCCGCCCGAAACGATACAGATTTGATCGTCTGAAAAAAAGATATCACAAATATCTATTTTTAATAACAATAAGAAAATGAATTTTAGTCAGCATATTAGAGATTTGCTTTACTACAATCAACTGCATATTTTTTTGCTAACTACCAGTCAATTGTGCGAAATATAATTTAACAAAAAATTGTAAGATATAAACATAAAGCTTCAGTATTAGTATGCAGAAATGTTACTAATACTTGAACCTATTTCTTCAAATTTTCTCTTTCGCAAGTAATTTAGGCTGGTGACAGATACACACCCATGGAACATTCCCTAGTTCATGTCCAAAATCGTACTCGTCCGTCATATTGGCAGCAAGCTTTCAACCTCTCGCACAAAACAAAAAATCCTTAATTTTCCAACAAATCAAAACACCTCCAGTTTAACAAACATTAACACACACTTAAAAACAGCACACACGTAACTTATTGATTACAACTTAAACAATCCGTAAAATTTATTGTAAAGTATACAAAGTATCGTAAAAACGATTCTGAGATGCGTGTAAAAGTATGTCCATAAACAAATTAATAATGTTGTCAAAAATTGTTTAACGGTTAGAGCGTTTGGTGTGATACCGGCATCGCGGACCGCGATGAACTGCTTAAAAAACTCGCGGGCCTGACATTTCGAAGGCGGCGCCAGCGTTGCCAAGTTTAACTTGCGAATCCTGGGGTCCGTTTCTAAACGAGTTTCGACCGTTGGAACTAACTTCGATGATATCGTCTCAAGGCGGCATCGAAATCAATTTCAAAGGTCGAAATTCATTTAGAACTTACTACTGGCGATAGAAATCATCAATACTGACCGCAATGGCCCACTGAGAAGTAGCTTTCATCCCCCAATAACAAAAACAAAAAGCCCATAGGCCAATAATATCGAGGATTATTTTGTTTTTTGGTATTTCATAAAAAACAGTTTCTTTTTTGAATATACAGGTCAAACAACATTTTAGAAACTGATATATTTTATTAGTAAAAATCGCACGTAAACATGATCAAGCTTAATAATATACCAAAAACTGTTTAACATGTCTATGCAAAGGGTACTATAAAAGTTTTGCAATCTGACTTAAGAAACGGACGGCATCATGGTCACGTAGTGAGATAAGGGCAGTTTTACGGAAGAACTTTACGCATGGTATAAGCATAGACCAGTGCTTAGAAGAAATGACGCTTGCATTAAAGAATTATTGTCCTCATTGTACGACTATATCCAGGTGATACAGAGAGAACGCTGTGAGGAAAGGAAGGCCTCGAACGTCAGTAACAGAAGAAAAACATTATTGGTCTGAGGAAAATGACTGACGGAGACCGGAGAGTGCTATACCTGCAGATAGAGGAGACGTGACACCTTCATGCACCAGCAATTCATTCAATTCTGCATGATCATTTACACATAAGAAAACTTTGTTCTCTCTGGGTACTGCATAGTCTGGCGAAAGCGCAGAAGACTCGTCGTACGACTTGGTGCCGAAAGATGCTGAACATGTTTGACAAGGGGCAAATCTTGGTATGTGCCGACCAAGGTTCAAAACAATGTTTGGGTCTTTGATAATGAGGACACACCCATAGCTTCAGAAGATCCCGATCTGTTAAGAAAAAAATGATAGCTGTATTTATCAAATCTAGCGGGATTGTGGAGCGTGTCCTTTTGGACACAGAAGGCAGTCACAGATAAGTGGTACAGTGCCTATCTAAAGTCACAGACTGAAAATCCTGCGGTCAAAGTCAAGAATTTACTCTTGGTACCTCCATTATGACAACGCTCCAGCTCACCGCCGGACTGAAACTTATTGAACAACCTCCTTACAGTCCAGATCTTGCTCTCTGTGACGTTGCACTGTTCCCGCATGTGAAAATGAAGCTAAGAGGAAAACTGCTTTCTAGCGATGAGGACGTTCTAATGACTTGGGACAACGAGTGTGCTGCACCGCCGGGTGAAACTTGGTAGAGCTGGTTGGAGGACTGGTTTTGACGGATGGAGAAATGTGTTGAATGTGGTGGAAATTACTTTGAACGAAGTCAATAAATAAAGCTTTGTACATCTCCTGCTTACAAGACAACAATTTTCTCATGACAGACGGTCGAAATCTCTCAAATACACCAGGATCATGGATTACTGAGTTATATCCAGCAATTTCACCAATGTTGTTAATGAAATTCTGACAAAAACAAATGGAAATTATTAGCTAAGTCGAGAAAGCCTTGACTCATGACCTATCTGATCCTTGAACCTAATCTCCTTTCCCTGTGGAATCATTCAAAATTCTTAGCTTCTTCTGAAAAAACTGATAATTGCTAGATGTAATAACTACGTAACTCTACAAAAAATGACCCTAGTGCATTTAAAAGAGTTCGCCACTCTATGAGAAGATTGGGTCCTCGCATTCTAGCTGCAGGTCATTTTTTTAAATTAACTTAGCATGTGATATTTTTGACATTTTTGCTCACCCCGAAAGAAGCAGTATTTCGGGTATCGTGAAAGGACGAAACAGGCTTATAATAGTCCAAAGATTGTTCTGAGATTATGTTTTCAATTATCTGGCAACACTGTGCGTCGTGTCGCATTCGTCGCCGTCGCGTCGCAGACACTCTAATCTGCAAAACTCGAAAACGCTAACGAATCCGCAGGTATTTTTAGAATTGATGCCATTTATATACTAGAATCGGACGAAATTCTGAGAAAACAAAATAACATAAGCTTTGATAATAACATATTGCGCTGACCGAAACCGACACACATTTCAGTTAGAAAATCGATGCCGGTTTCACGTGCAGCCTTGGCCGAACATCTGTGCCGCGACACGATTGTTTTTTAGTTATTTTTGAACAAGGGGGTGTGGTGATGCGGTTGAGTGTCCTTAGGATGCTTATGTTTTAGGAAGGTGGTCAATTAATTCGGTATTCCCCATCGGTATATCCATCTAAAGCTACGTGAAATGGGTACTGATAAACTGTGTATTTTTCAAGTGTTTCAATATGCTAAACAAGATGTTTTTTGCCTGCGGGCGCCCAAAATCAATACGTGACAATTCATATTATTCAATGCAACCGTTTATGTTTCTTTTGTAACAACCTATACTTCAAATTATTGAATATTGGAGGTAAATAATATATTTTAGCAAAAAAATGCGACTTTGTCTAGGCAGAGAAGACCCCATTGGGGTAATCACAACTTTCAGCTATTTAAATAAGTAAATATTTCGTTCAAATATTATCTTTCTTCAAAACAAATACCTACTGAATAAGAATGTTACCTATCAGTGGCGATAAATCTATACTGAATTACGTCATATCCGTTAAAGTTGGATCTAGAAATACCGGTTACACGAATCCTCAAAAATTGGCACAAATAATCCAGGTATAGCCAATCCGCTGAAAACGCTATGATTTTCTAATGATTGAGCTTATAGCGTGTATGTACAATGCCAAGAAATATTTTAACCCTACGTGACTGTGTCGACCTAATTTTGAATCTAATTATAAGAGTTGGAACTTCTGGGGTCACGATATTTTTACTAACTTTTTTTCCAAACAAAAATAAATTGCTGATACTTCTAGACTAGTCGAAAATATTCTTCGTTCATTTATCAACACCTGTTTAATGTTAACGTAAACACAGAATTTTACCTTGTTGGATCCTTCAAAAAGTTTCGTACAAACCGACATATAAAACATAAAACACTTAAGCTTAGTTGAACAGGCCATGTGGTGAAAGATTTATGTTTCAAATATTTGGGATCCTAAATCAAAAGCCGGAATATTACATGCTTTGTGACAAGGCTCTGATAAAAGTCTGATCTTTGGGAATTCAAACAAGGAGCTACAACAGACTCAGACTTCAGCATTTTGAACTTTGAGGAACATTATAGTGTAGTCCGTCAAGTTTAAGTACGGAGAGCGTATCAGTAGTGTACCAAACAAGTCAACAATAACCAGAAAATTAATAAAACGCGACAGTGACGAATAATCCCAATCGAAATATACGATTATATCAGCGTACAAAAATCTTATGAATAATAGATTATAGTGACCAATGACGTAATGTTCTTGATGAAAGAAAGATGATTAATAGTTCACCAAAGTCTACCCAATTTCTAAAAATACCGATCATATAAAGGTGAACAAAAAAATAATAATGTATGTAGTCCAAGGACTATTGTATTTTTGTCGTTATATTGAAGTGTTAGGATACTATGAAATCAACAACAAAACAGAGTAATCTGTATGTAAGCGAGTATCTGTGAATCCTCACTGGACCTTGTCTAAGGTAGTAATGTAGTAAAAGTACGTTAACCTCATTTTGCCATTTTTGTCTTTGAATCAGCCAGTAGCGTAACTCTTATGGTTTGTTTCTACTTTCAAGTCATCCATCATCTTGTAAGAAGTGGCAAATTTATTACGGTTTTCATTAGCGATGTAAAACAATTCACAAAAACGGCGGTAGCCGCCGTGGAAGAAATGATGAAACATTTATAAGCTTATTCTTATATTGATACCTTTATGGTTGAAGGATTTAGAAACTGTGAAACAAAAACGGTAGTGATAAGACTACATGTAGTCTTAAAATACGTCTGGATTGATTTGTGGACTATATGACCACCACAAATATCGATGGTGACTTTATACGAGAACGAAACATGGGAATTTGAAAACTTGACATAATTCTCTACCTCACTGGCATCAAAACTAGATTGCTGTAACTACCATTTATGATTTATCCCATACCTGCTTCCATACACATATAGAAATGAAAACCTGATTTGTTAAAAATGTGAAACTTGCTTATTTGGATATAAATAAACGTGACGGGACTTTATGCATTACTTTATCACTTATCGTGTATGTATAATTATTGCTTGTTATGAAAAGTTTACGTATTCGTTTACTTTTGCGAAACGCACGTTAGATAAGATCATGGTTATTATGAATAAGTAATTTACAAAAACTTACTATGTGATATGTCATTTCAATGCTGAAAACGCGATTTTAGAGCGCTGAGAATTTTTTAATGTTATGCAGACGCTAAATGCGAGGCGCTGACGTTGAGCCAATTGCTATCAACGAATTCGGACTAGGTAGAAGGAGAAAGTATAGTCAACGCCAAACAAAGTGGCGTGCACGTCATCACGATAAAAATTCCCCGACCTAATGCCTAGGTTTCTATCACAAACAATTGCTCTATTGCAGTTTCATATTAATGTGATATATAAATTGTAAAATGGTCATTACTCTCTTATTATGGTTAATAGTCATATAAACATTGTTATTAAAATATCACATAAGTTGCTTTCTGATAAATTTAGACGCATTATGCGAAATAAAATGTTTTGCAAACGCTCCAATCACTTATCGACATGTAAACGCACTAAACCGATTTCGCAGCGTTGACACATTGTCACCTTGAAACTTATTTAAACTGGGAACTGACATTTGTATTAATTTTGACACTGAATCAATTTGTGGCATTTCAAATCTTTATAAATCCTTTGGCCCCGCATACTGTAAATCAACAACTGTTTGTTTCAAAACAAAATTATTCATTTTACGAGTAGATAAAGGCAATTTTGGTATATAAAGATGCCCAAACAGT